GTGTAGCTTTGTAGCTTAATATGTATCACAGCTACATAATGCTTTAACAATGATGTCATTTCACCCCAGAAAGTGTCATGACACAACTATCAAAAAGTTGGCAAATGCAGCCTTTATGACAAATGACGCCTATTGGAATACGTGTTTATAAACAGGGTTGGGACGTAATGAGATACAAGTCTTGGGAATCTTTATTCAGAATACAGAAATGAAGTATGTGTATTCAGTCCAAGTTACATTTTGTAAAAGCAGGATTTAGAATACAGTTACTTTTTACATTTTCAGAACACTTATAGAATCCTGACTCACTAAATTAGAAAAAAATATAACATCTTTCAAAGAAACCATCACTGCTTGTTAAGTAACTATTTTAAAATCAGCATGCAGCATAAAAGTAAAGATGTTGTTCTAAAGACAAACTTAAAAAATTGCTTCCTTACAAAAACTGAAGTTCCTGCTAAAGCCTGAGTAGACTGATAAATCACTGTGATGAGTCTGTTATTAATCTGAGCATTATTAAACTCTTTTGAGGGATGATTGAACTGAGTAGTGGACATGTTCATGAATGATGAGCTTACCTCTGGCATTGCACTGGACTTCTGTGACAAGTTGCATACCTATCACATCACATAGCTAGTTATTTTAGAGTCAAATTTGCAAGATTTTGTCTTTGGGATATGGGAAATTATTGGCTTAGGTCATGAAAAGGCAGTGGGTTTATGGGAGCAGCGGTGGACTGAACCAGGTAATGAGAGCCAAAATAACACTTTTGTATTCATTTTAATAATTAATTAAAAAAAAAACATATTAACAGAACAATGAGGAACAGTGTGAAGTAAACAAAAGCTATATTTGTTTATTAATATGAGTCCTAAAAGTATCCTGAATATGTAATGTGTTGTAAAAGTATACATTACTTAATACATTTAGGGCAGTGTATTCTGTGTTCAGCCATCACTACTTTTTTTAAAGGTATTTTGCCCAACCCCATTTATAAATGATTGTCAGTCTATGTTAATTGTTATAAAGGGCTTATATAGGTGCCATATAGTCTTATAAACATTGTGCTACAGTAAAGTGTTACTGATGTTTCTTTCTTCTACAAGGGATGATCATTCAGGATATCGTGATTCTGCTGCATTCAGTCAGGAGTGTAATACTAAAATCTGTACTTTCCCTGTGTTCATCAGGGTGAACAACTTGTCTCACATGTTGCCACACATCTTTTCGGACTGTGGGCCACCAGGCCACCTCTAAAATCCGCAACAGAGTCTTAAGTCTGCCCAAGTGACCCCCTAGTGGATTGTCATGAAAATAGTGGAGAAAAGCGGTGGTCATCTCCTTGGGCACTACCAGTTGATACTTCCAGCCTGCTCCTTTAATGGGAATTGTCCTGTAAAGGACATCTTGAAGTATCTCCCAACCAATGCGCTCTGTCTGCTTGCTGATGTCGGCCTCTTTGGCCCGCATCTCTCTGACTTCTTGATCTTGTTTTTGAGCATGTGCGACCTCAGCCAGAGAAGTGGGCAAATCAGAGGTGTAGGCAGATGGCAAGTCACACCGGGCCGAAGGGAAGACTCAACTGGCATACACCTGGCATGGGGCCGTCTGGACCTTGGAGACCTACATTATGGCAGACAGCAACTTAGCCTTTCCTCTTATTCTGGGTCTGGATTTTTTAACAAAAGCTCAAGTCCTGCTTAATTTAGGGGGACATACATATGGAGTGTTGATCCAGGGGAAAAGATCTTTCTTTCCATTTTTAAGCCGCTCTCCATGTGATTTGACCTGGTCACTATGGGCGGAATCAAGAAAGGCAGTGAATTTGTATGTGGCTATGGCTCCTCCTCTCTCCTTCAGTGTGAAGGTCACTGTTGCGTCTGGAACCCATGAAGCTCTGTTGAAATCTCATCCACCAGAGATGCAGGTGCTGTTTCAAACCTGGCCCTCATTGTGTTCTTCAAAATTAGGAAGGACCACCATAACCCAGCATCATATATATACCAGTGATGCGATTCCAGTTCGCACTAGGGCCTATAGGGTGTCCCCCCTGAAAAGAAACATCATAGAGGAGCATGTGAAATGCATGTTGGAAGATGACATCATAGAGCCATCTCAGTCTGCTTGGGCTTCGCCTGTGGTGCTGGTGGGAAAACCAGATGGATCCTACCGCTTCTGTGTCGACTACAGAAAACTGAACGCCAAGACACCCCAAGATGCATACCCTATGCCACTGATTCATGACATCCTGGAATCTTTACATGGGGCAAGGTGTTTCAGCTCTTTAGATTTGAAATCTGGCTATTGGCAAGTAGCAATGGATCCAAGGAGCAAGGCCAAGACAGCCTTTATTACGCCTGTAGGACTTTACCATTTTAAATCTATGCCTTTTGGTTTAAAAAATGCAGGGGCAACCTTCCAGCGCCTTATGGAAACAGTTTTAGGGGAATTACGGGGCCACATATGCTTTGTGTATATTGATGACATCATTGTCTACTCCCCTAACCGCGAGCAGCATTTAAAAGATCTCCATGCTGTATTCGCCAAACTGCAGGCTGCAAACCTCACTTTGAACTTGAAAAAGTGCCACTTCTTGCAACCTCAGCTTAGGTTTTTGGGACATATCGTCTCAGGAAAGGGGGTGGAGATTGATGAAGAGAAAACCCAGGCTGTGACTAATTATCCTGTCCCGCAAGACATCAAGTCCTTGCAAAGGTTCTTGGGTCTTGTGGGATGGTATCACAAATTCATCCCTCACTTTGCAGACCTTGCTGCGCCTTTGAACCACCTGAAGAAAAAGGCAGTTGAGTGGGCATGGACAGAGGAATGCCAGAAGAGTTTTGATCAGCTAAAGCAGGCCTTGAAAACACCTCCTGTTCTGGCCCAGCCTGATCTATCTCGGCCCTTCCAGGTACATACTGATGCCAGTAATGTAGGGCTAGGAGCAATTCTGACCCAGGAGACTGCAGAGGGGGAGACAGTGATTGCATATGCCTCCAGAGCGCTCCGTGGGGCAGAACAGAACTACTCTACATCGGAGAAGGAGTGCCTAGCAGTGGTTTGGGCCATAGAGAAATGGCGCCATTACCTGGAGGGAGACAAGTTCATGGTTTTCACGGACCATAGTGCTCTGGCCTGGGCATTCAATTGTCCAAAGACCAGCTCCAGGCTTACCCGCTGGACTCTGAGGCTGCAACAATTTAACTTTGATGTTTACTATCGTAAAGGCTGCATGAACGTCATGCCAGATGCGCTCTCGCGGGCAGTGGAGCCTGACCAATCACCAGTGATGGCCCCTTATGTGTCTACACCCCCAACTGCCTACACCCCTGATTTGCCCACTTCTCTGGCTGAGGTCGCACATGCTCAAAAACAAGATCAAGAAGTCAGAGAGATGCGGGCCAAAGAGGCCGACATCAGCAAGCAGACAGAGCGCATTGGTTGGGAGATACTTCAAGATGTCCTTTACAGGACAATTCCCATTAAAGGAGCAGGCTGGAAGTATCAACTGGTAGCGCCCAAGGAGATGACCACCGCTTTTCTCCACTATTTTCATGACAATCCACTAGGGGGTCACTTGGGCAGACTTAAGACTCTGTTGCGGATTTTAGAGGTGGCCTGGTGGCCCACAGTCCGAAAAGATGTGTGGCAACATGTGAGACTGTGTGCGATTTGCCAGCAGTACAAGCCAGACAACAAGAAACCTGCTGGGTTTTTACAGACAACTGAAGTGGAAGAAGCTGGATATATGCTGGGACTGGATTTTATGGGGCCCTTTCCTCGAAGCAAGAAGGGAAACAGTTATCTGCTAGTTGTGGTAGACTATTACACCAAGTGGATAGAGTTATTCCCTCTACGGGACAGTAAAACCCCACGTCTTTGTCAGTTGCTGCGAGATGAGATCTTCACCAGATGGGGTGTGCCAAAATACCTTGTCTCAGATCGGGGCCCCCAGTTCACCAGCCAGCTCCTCACTGATGTATGCAAGAAATGGGGAGTAATACAGAAGATGACCACCAGCTACCATCCTCAGGCCAACTTCACAGAGCGGGTTAACCTCACTCTAAAAACTATGATGGCCTCCTTTGTGGGTAATCGCCATTAAGACTGGGATAAGTGGTTGTCAGAGTTCCGGTTTGCGATCAACAGCACCCAGCATGAAACAACAGGGCGAACTCCGGCTGAATTGGCCCTGGGAAGGCAACTGAAAGGCCCATTAGAAAGGCTAATTCATCAAACACCAGCACCTCATCCTCAACAGCAATCATATACCCTACTTGAACAACAACACCAGATGGCACAGGAGGTAAGGCAGAAAGTGGGAGTGGCCAGACAAAGACAAGCCAGATATTATAATGCCCACAGGAGACCAGCGCAATTTCTTGTGGGAGATCTGGTCTGGGTTAGGGCACACCCACAGTCCAAAGCCTCTGATAGGTTTTCATCCAAATTAGCACCAAAGTGGACAGGTCCAGCTAAGGTGATGAAAATTCTAGGTCCTGTTAATTATAGGCTACAATGGCAGAATAACCCTGACAGAGTAGACAAAGTGCATGTGGGAAATCTCAAGCCTTATTTTGGAGTTGAGTCCCTCGTACCTCCGGCTGGGGGGGGGGATCTGTGACAGTGCCACATGAGAAGTCTTAAAATGGTTTAAATTAAAATCCTTGCAAGGTTAAACCTTCTTTGTGTGTGGTTACCGTATTAAATGAATGGAGTTTTTTTATTCTGTATTAGCCATGTATTATACAGGGGCCCTAACTGAAACTGAACTAAGAGTTGCGTAGGCCCTTTAAGAGCTCTGCTGGAAAAGGGGGGTGGAGTCACTGAGACAGGTGACTGGAACCAGGAAGAGGAAGGAGAGAAAAAAGTTTGGCCATGTGGAAGTGAGGGTGGTGATGTGTTTGGGGTGAGAGGAGCAGTACAACCCAAAGCCTACCACTCAACCTGGGAACTCATGAGCTCGGCCGAGGATCCATCTAAAAGGGCAAGACAAGCGCATGGAGGAACTAGAAGGTGGATTTCCTCTAACTGTCTTGGATGTAACTGGATGTCAGGCCTGCTCCACCGGTGAGATCTATCCTGGATTTTTTCTTTCCTTCCTCTTCCTGGTTCCAGTCACCTTCTCATGTGGCACTGTCACAGATGTGTGGCAACATGTGAGACTGTGTGCGATTTGCCAGCAGTACAAGCCGGACAACAAGAAACCTGCTGGGTTTTTACAGACAACTGAAGTGGAAGAAGCTGGATATATGCTGGGACTGGATTTTATGGGGCCCTTTCCTCGAAGCAAGAAGGGAAACAGTTATCTGCTAGTTGTGGTAGACTATTACACCAAGTGGATAGAGTTATTCCCTCTACGGGACAGTAAAACCCCACGTCTTTGTCAGTTACTGCGGGATGAGATCTTCACCAGATGGGGTGTGCCAAAATACCTTGTCTCAGATCGGGGCCCCCAGTTCACCAGCCAGCTCCTCACTGATGTATGCAAGAAATGGGGAGTAATACAGAAGATAACCACCAGCTACCATCCTCAGGCCAACTTCACAGAGCGGGTTAACCGCACTCTAAAAACTATGATGGCCTCCTTTGTGGGTAATCGCCATGAAGACTGGGATAAGTGGTTGTCAGAGTTCCGGTTTGCGATCAACAGCACCCAGCATGAAACAACAGGGCGAACTCCGGCTGAATTGGCCCTGGGAAGGCAACTGAAAGGCCCATTAGAAAGGCTAATTCATCAAACACCAGCACCTCATCCTCAACAGCAATCATATACCCTACTTGTCAGTTGCTGCTTGGGCTTCACTCTGTAACAATCCCCTTGTAAATCTCAACCAAGAAAACAGTTACTGAAGTCCAAGGACTATACACCCCAAGTATAAGAGTAGAGGAGATTGCAAATAAGCCCAAACAGGAGAGACAAAAACCCGTTGAAGTTATATTGGAAAAATCAGTGGAACAAACACATACACATATACAACCCCTATATACACACAATAAGTGCCCTTTTAGATGGATCCTCGGCCGAGCTCATGAGTTCCCAGGTTGAGTGGTAGGCTTTGGGTTGTACTGCTCCTCTCACCCCAAACACATCACCACCCTCACTTCCACATGGCCAAACTTTTTTCTCTCCTTCCTCTTCCTGGTTCCAGTCACCTGTCTCAGTGACTCCACCCCCCTTTTCCAGCAGAGCTCTTAAAGGGCCTACGCAACTCTTAGTTCAGTTTCAGTTAGGGCCCCTGTATAATACATGGCTAATACAGAATAAAAAAAACTCCATTCATTTAATACGGTAACCACACACAAAGAAGGTTTAACCTTGCAAGGATTTTAATTTAAACCATTTTAAGACTTCTCATGTGGCACTGTCACAAACTTAAATACTATAACCAAATACTTCATAGCTACAAGTTCAGTCTACATGTATTTAAGTTTATTTCTACAAATCACAACCATTTTCAACATTTTCTATCACAAGATTCCTGATAATCAGCTGTTTTTTCATGTAAATGTTTGATGTACTTAATTGCCCACTTTATCTATGTGTCCATGCTATTTTCTAGGGAAAGAAAGGTTCCATGGCAAGTTAAGCTTTATCTGCAGTAATGATTTTAACAATTTTCTATGTCATTTCTGTGAGCTAAGTTTTGAAAATAAAAACTACACTTGAAAACACGGTGTATGTTACATTATTTCTCATTATGTTCAGAGCTAAATGCAGGAGTAATGGTGTATTTGTCTGTTACCAGTGTCGACTCCTGGGGAACTGAGGATTGTGCTGGTTGGAAAGACTGGAGTGGGAAAGAGTGCCACAGGAAACACGATCCTGAGAAAAGAAGTATTTGTGTCTGATGTGTCTTGTTCCTCTGTGACCTCAGAGTGTGATAAAGTCAAAGAGTATGTTAATAATAGAAGAGTTGCCGTCATCGACACTAAATTATCAAATGAAGAAGTTCAAGAAAAGATCAAGCTGTGTGTATCCCTGTCTGCACCAGGACCTCATGTGTTCTTGGTGGTTCTCCAGCTGGGCAGATTCACCACAGAAGAGAAAGAAACAGTGGAGATCATTAAACAGATTTTTGGTGAAGATTCTGCTAAGTACACCATGGTCCTTTTCACGCATGGAGAGAGGCTGAAGAAAAGCAGAAAAAGCATACATGAGTTTATTCGTGAGAATTCTGATCTGTTAACAGTCATCCAATCCTGCAGTGGACAATATCATGTCTTCAGCAACGAGGACGAAGATCCAACTCAGGTTACAGCTCTGCTCGAGCAGATAGATAAACTGATTACTATAAATGGTGGACAGCACTACACAAATGAAATGCTGCAGATGGCTGAGAGAGCCATCCGAGAAGAACAGTTAAGAATTCAAAGACACAATGAAGAGCAGGATCCCCAGAAGGCAAGAGACATGGCAGAAAGAAACAACAGTTACCTAAAAGCTGCTACTGGCATTGGTTTAGCTGGTGTAGCAGGTGCAGTCACTGTTGCAGCAATCAGAGGACACTGCATAATACAGTAATTCATAAGCACAGACTAAGGATGTAACAGTACAATATATAGTATTGTACTGAATTACACTGCATACAACATGGATTTTATTGTATTGTTATTAGCATATTAAATTGTGGTTAGAGCGTTAGATTGGGACAGTATAACAGCTTTTCAGACTTTCAAATAATGTACTTTTATAACATTGGATGCTTTACTTAACTGAAAATGAAAACATTAATATATTAACATAAGGTATATTTTGAGTTTTTACTGCAATAAAAAAAAATATATATATAGCAGACACTGCTGTATCAAATTGAAATCTAAATATTGTGAATCATTACACCCCAACTACAGACCAAGCCTAAAATCTAATGCTAAAAGTAGCATTACTAAGTCAAGAGAGCAATGATGCTCGTGTGCTGTTGTCCTGTAAAATCTGAAAAACCAATTTAAAAGTGAGGTGTTGAGTCAGAGTTCACATGAAGAGTTCATGACAACAGTAGATAATTCACTTATAACCTCAGAAGACATGTCCTTCACCAAGTTTTGTCTGAGTTCTCTTTGAATACTCTTTTAACTCACAATCATCAGACTCATCTGCGTGGGAAAGGTATCTGAAGTACAATCCACATTACAAGACGTTCTTCCACATTATTATATTATAATTGTATTATACGCAATTATACTCCAAATCCCCAAAACTTGCACAGCGTAGCTTTGAATACCATAATTCCAAAAAGTAGGGACAGTGTGTGAAATGCTAATAAAAACATTCTCGCTTAATAATGCACCACAAATAGTCTAAACTTTTATCATTTACTTTAAAATGTCCCTCAGGGTTCAATTCTGGGACCAGTATTCTTTTCAATGTATGTCAGTAATATTGCTTTATCTGTAACTGACTGAAAGGTTCATCTATAAACAGACAATCCTACTTTATACTGTTCAGCAGACTGTACAATCAATTTGGTTAACATACACAAGTCTTTGAATGGCATTCAAGTTGCATTCTATACTCATAAACTTTTACTAAACATAAACAAAACTAAAACCTGAACATCACTACCCTAAATGTTTCTCTATGAAAAAGTCACAGAACATTTAGGCATTTGGGCGGACAAGAAACTTAACATGTCCATGTAAAAATCATATAAATACACTTACTAGGAAATTGAGGAAGGAAATCGAGGAAAAAGCTAGGCTTTATATTTAGAAATAATCATATTTCTCATTGTACAGTAGAAAGATGATTGTGCAAGTGACTTTTATGACTGTGCTGGACAATGGAGATGTTATTTATACGCATGTTGAAGTTGTACTCTTAAGCAACGGGACTGAATTGGAGTCTTACCACTCTCTGCTCTTTGCTTGATCACTGGGATTAATTACAGTACCTATCACTGTATTTCACATGCTAAAGTAGGTTGCCATTCGCTAACGGTTAGACACAATGTACTACATTCTTTTAATTGTGTTTTAATTTTTAATTCTTTTTCATTTTAAATGTGTTTATTTTATTTTCATGGTTTAATGCTTATTGTGCTTATTTTATTGTTTTATTCATTTGCTAGGTCTCCGCTTCATTAACAATGAGGGTCTAAATAAAGGAGAAATTCATTTCTAATACAACTAATACCTGTTCTTTTATTCTATGTAGTTGTTCAAGATGTCTAAACTGTAAAGTACCAGTGTTCCAAATAATAGAATATTATTTACAACACTGTCAAAAAAATGTCTTTGCAGGACATGAAACATTTCTGTTTGTTCTTCCTTCACTGAATACACCTTTCTTACACTTACAGTGTGAATGTGAATTAATAGTTTGCATAGGATCAGTGTCAATTAGATAAAAGAGTTTCAAAGAGACTTATCTAGAACAAACGAGCTAGTGAGAACCACCTGAGAACGGTGTCAGCTTTCACGCTGCAAAAGAGTACAGCAGGAAATACCACTAGAGAAGTGTTTCTATGTGACATTGCATTAAACTCAAGTCATAAGAAGAGATCACAGATCATTTAATGAAAAGATAATCAAGAGCTCAGATATTGCCAGAACACACGAGTATCTGGATACATTTGGTTGCATTTTTAGAAAATAAGCAGCCAGTTTCAATCAAGCCTTCATCTCTTAAGAAAAGCCTTCGCTACATAGAATCTGTGGATTAATTTTAATGGAATTCCCAGGATGGACTTATATAAGGATTCATAATATCTTGGAATAAGGCTCAGACTTTCCAGTTATTATGACGTGGCTCTTTAGAAAAGAAAAGAAAAGAAAAGAAAAGAAATCTGATTGTGTATACAAGATGACACTGTACGCATGAAATATGCACACAATTACTAATGTGTTTATGTGGGAGTTAGTGTCTGTGTCTGTGAATTTTGTGGTTCTCCATGTCAGCAGCAATGAGAGGTACTGTCCCAGAGAAGCTACACTGTATAGACAAAAGTATTAGGACATACTTCCTAATTATTGAGTTCAGGTGTTTCAGCCACATGCTGTAAAAATGTTTAGCTTGTGCAACAAAAAAGAACTTGGTACAGAAATTCCCCGAATGTTTTTCTTGTTCACTCAAAGAAAAAGAAAAAAAGAGAGAGCTGACGGCGTCTTTAGAGAATGACCAACACAAACTGTGCAGCAACAGATGAATTATCATCTCTGACTTTCCATCTACAAGATGGACCAACAGGGTAGGAGTGTCTAATAGAGTGGACACAGAGTGGATACAGTGTTTAAAAACTCCAGCAGCACTGCTGTGTCCAGCACACCACGCAAATAATACCTGCTCTGTGGTGGTTCTGTGGGGTTTCTGACCACTGAAGAACAGGAGTTGTAACTATCAGACATTGTCGAGTTTTGGTCATGCGCCATTGTTGGAGGAACAGCGCCTCCAGCTGGACATTAGGGTGAACTGTCGACTCCACAAAAAGGAGTACTGTTGTAGTTTAGCCTATGTCATTGATAATATCAGATTATGAACTCTTACATGTTACATTGCTAACACTTTACAATACAGGTCCACAAAATAAGCACGTATTAATACTTAACTAATGCTTTCATCACAGTAAATTAATGCATGGACTAATACGTTACACATCAGGAAATGTGTACATATATACATTAATAAAGAACCGAATCAAATATAAATAACCATTAATAAAGGCAATCATTAATTAATAACATAATTCTAACTCAGTCTGTTAATTAATACCATGACTTAATACATTGATTAAGACTATTTCTATAATGCCTAATGTCTGATGGAGATGATGTAGGTTTACACAAATTATAGGCTAATAACGGTAACACTTTACAATACTGGCCCACAAATAAGCATATATTAATAATTAATGCTTTCATTCACAGTGAATTAATACATGGACCAATAATTCCGGTCCTAAAATCTAATTGGCTGAGCCGCGTTCGAAGCCGTTGTAAAATCCACAATATACCTAAACCTATGACCGATTCACAGCAACTGGACTCTGTATTACTGCGCCACGGCACGAAAAAAACCCTTGCGCTGTTAATGGAATCATATTTGACTCTCATGCTGCTCAAATGGACCACCGAGAATATTAATGAATTAAGAACCCGTTTTTTTTGTTTAAACTGAGGGGCTGGTGACTTATGTTGTTAACTAGAACTAGGCTGGTCAGCTAGCTAACCTAACAGGCTAAAAGATAGCAAACAGCCTAAACAACGCTATCATTAATATCACAGGCTTGAATTAAAGTATTTACGGTATGATTAACTGTAAAACGGCAGTATAAAAGTGTAAAAAATATCACTCGAATGACTTACACGCTTCAAACGTTCGTGTTTCAGTCAAGAGTAACGTTGGCCAAACCCAGACTGAATCCCAAACGGCTCCGTACTCCCTAAATAGTGTGCTAACTATGAAGGTTTAGAAATTCTACTCTCTACAGCCAAATAGTGCTTGGGTTATCGAGTACGGATGTGGTAGAGCCCCAAATGACTATTTCTTAGCTATAGTCTGTACCGTTGGGTTGCAGGATCCAGTATTGAAATTTCTAGCTACGTAACGTTAGTGCACTACGTAGTGAGCAGGAAGCTGTTTGAGATTCAGCCCCAGCGCGAGAAGAGGTGCGGCGCTGGTTTGGTGCTAAATAAGATTCGTGGTGGTAATGTGGTGACCAAAAAGTACTGATAGTCGATTTTTGTATTGAACAGTGCTGGGTTATCATGTGTTCATTGTTATACGGCAAAAAGTAAAATTACCGCAATGGTTGCTTAGCAACGATACCATACTCTGAAGGAACTACATTTCTTGGCGGAATACTTGTTGATGCCGATTATTATTAATAATAACAAATTATTTTCTGAAAAAGTGTGTATTTAATCATATTTCATGTTGGCCGCTGTTTTATAAAAGCTTGAGGCTGTGCGTTACCGTGAGTTTATCACAGGTAAGGGAGTTTTAGGAACTCCGCTTCAAGTCATGCCTAAGAACACCCTTCCCGCGATAAAATCGCAGTAACACACGGCCTCGCTTATTGCTTTATTATAAGTTAATTACTATTAAACTAATCCGTAGGGAAATCAATGGAAGGTTAAACATATTTACCAAAATGCGCTATTACATATTTTAAAATCCGTTTTGGGGCTGAGCTCAGATTGAAAAGATTGCATGATGTGCTATTTATTTACTTAATCATTAATGATGCGGCAGGAAAAAAGTGAGTATGTAATGATAAATTTGCGAATTCATGGCTTAACATATTAATGCATCATCTACATTATAGCCTTATAACCAATGTCAAAAAGGCAGTAAACATGCTCAGAATATTAAAGAATGTGTAGTTTTGCATAATTGTTGTGTAAATTATATATATGAATATTATATATTGTTAATTGGTTGATATTTATATTATTTAATTATAAAAGCATTAATATCAATTAACTTACCAGTAATGTAATCTGCTAAAGGTAAACCAGTACATCACATGATAAACAAACCCCTTTCTAACATCATCTAACAGCATTTACAAAAAATTGACAAAATTCTCTATAAATGCCAACATTTTCAGCAAACATGTGCTCTAACATCAAATATAAAACTATACTGAACAAATACCTGAACTTAAAACAACTTTCAAACACCTAAAAAGGAAGATGATACTATGTGGTGAGCACCAGATACTATAAGTGAGCAACAGATACTATGTGGTGAGCACCAGATACTATAAAGTGAGCACCAGATACTATGTGGCGAGCAATAGATACTATGTGGTGAGCACCAGATACTATAAAGTGAGCACCAGATACTGTGTGATGAGCACCCAATACTATCAGGTGAGCACCAGATACAATATGGTGAGCACCCGATACTATCAGGTGTGCACCAGATACTATGTTTGTCACTAATTATATTTGTCATTTAAACTTGAAGACATTTTGCCCGCTTGCTTATTTTTGTTGCTGGTATGTATAGTTTTAATGCAAAAGCATCACCACATAGTAGCTGGTGCTCATTTGATACTAATAGGTGCTCACCTGATAGTGTCTGGTACACCACATCCCTTTCACCTAAAAAAAATATATACATCACATCCCTTCAGGGGCTCCTTAGTAAAAGTTTTTTTTGTCATCCTCTCTTTAAAGTTTTGAACCACAATAAATTAATGATATGTTAGTATGTTAACTAATGACTTGTTAATATATATTTACATCATGATTTTAATTGGCAGGACACATTATCATTAAGTAATGGTGAATGTAGATAAATTAAATGGTACTTGAATATGTTAACTAATGATACTTAAATATACTGACATGAAATTGAACTGTCACTGTCAGGTGAAATGACTGCTTCAATTATTTTATTAAATGTACTTTGCAAAAATGTATTCAACCTTTGGATACATATTTATCTCTTGGCCTTGCTGTTAGAAAGGGGTTTGTTAATCATGTGACATATTGGTTTATATGTAGCAGGAAGACAGCTGCACTTGACTGATTAGGACTGACTGTTGTCAGCTGTGAAACTCACTACTTAAGAAGATCTCTCACACACACATCTCTCCACTTAGTCTTGAGTTCACGCTGCCATGTGTAAGTGCTCTCAACCAAGCTGATAACTCCAGGTATTGTCCTCCTTCAAGAAGTGCCCTAACCAATCGGAGGTCTGTCACTGGCAGCATTAATGGCCGCTTTCCAGCAGGGCCTGAGCAATGAGGTTAAAGATGAACTTGCCATTCCATCTTTCCTGGATAAGCTCATCAAACAGGCTCTCCCTTAAACTGGATAACCATGTGCCCCCAGTGCATGGTCCCATCCCTGAATCCCATTGTACCCCATTTCTCCTGAGCTGGCAGAGTAGCTCAAGCAGTTAGGGTGTACCTGTCTTTCCGAGCCTTTACTGTTGGCAATCTGTCCTGAATGCCCTGAACTTAAAGGGAAAACCACAGTCGATTGCAGGGAGAAGGACCTGTGACAAACCCAGACAATTCTCCCAAGGCACCTGGCTTTTCTTAACTGCTACCCTCTTCTTGGGGGGCAACAACATGAGAACTTGTAACAGATGTATTTTTCCATTGTTTTGCCTCCTTGGTGTTTGTGTTGACTTGCACGCATTCGGTCTCTTTCTCGCATGAAGCACCGGTATAATGAGGTGCAATCTAAGAAGCTTTGCATCTCACAGAAACTATGAAATATACAATGCGTTCACCTTCCTTGAGTCTGTTTCCATTCCTGCCCTGCTCACCACATGACCCTGGAACCTCACGCGCCACTGATGAAGGTCATTGTCATCTATGTCGTCTCACTTACTGTCGTCCCTTTCGCATACCACACCCACTAAGTTTTTCATGTAACTGGAGCAAGTTTAAGCCGCCACAATATATAGTATATACAAGTAATAAATATTTGTTTAAGTTAACTATATAATATGTAACTTTAACATATAACTATATTAACTAATGTGAGAAATATGAGGTATATTTCAGATTTTAACGTTAAGGAGTTACATGGTAACGGCAAGTACTACCAAACTGCTTCAAGCCTATGTGATAGAAGGGTTGGTTACAGGTACGGATGACAAAGGTATAAAAATTGCAGAGTACCCACCACTGAGTACTCAGGAAGTATCTTTTTTCCTGTAGCAATAACCATACATAGTGTTATAGATCAAGTGTAAGTTAACAAATAGTGGTAAGAGATAAGTGGTGTACTGGACTGTAAAACATGGATAAATGAGGCACAAACAACACAAAAAATGGAAATGCATTGTAGTACAAGCTAACCAGTGAAACAAGACTTTCAATACAGAGAATAACTACATAATATACAAGAACATAACAAATGATTAAAGTGCTACATCCAAAAGGCACACAGCAGAGTTCAAATTACCATTTCAAAAACATATATGAGTTCACTGGTAAAATGTGACAAAATTTTCATAATTAGTTTGTAGGATTTGGCTCAAATAACACACAAAAGCATGATTTTTCAGGTTTCTTGCGTAGATCTCCACAAAGAGCGGGGACTTTCCCCATTAGCACCATAATAATGTTGACCTTTCTCCACTTGTGGTGTAACCAGCAAACCGACTGGCTCTTTTTATTGAAGCACAGAACTTTCTCCATAAACTGACGCTATGTTGAGCATTACAAGCTTTCCTATTCATATTTTAACCAGTGACAGGTCTTTCCATTTATAACATCTCTGATTGATGATTGTTTAAGATGCAAAACTGGCTGGTTAGCTTCTTCAGCTGGACTTGTTAGTCTACATTTTTTCAGTGTCAGCAGTCCTTTTGGATTCTTTACTGTTTGTAGGCAATCTGTACAGCAAGTCTGTCATGGTATGTCTCTCTGCGTGTGACTGTGCCTGCAGGTATGTGTATATGCGTGTTTAGTAATCAGAGATAGAAGGAATTTTCTGTTTCTGTTTGTTGTTTTTTTTGTGTGTAAGTTTGTCACTTGTCTTCCAGGTAGTTTGGAATGTTGTTTGTTGTCTGTGGGTCAAATGTGAACTCTAAAATTAAGTTTATTTTGCATTGTGGTTCACCCCTTTAGTACAATACATTTCCATTTTTACTTTAATCTTGTATGAGACTTTTTTGAGAACCTCATTTACAACAATTATAAATAGAGGCCAAAATAGAACTCTAAACGGCCCTCACGTGTGTTTAGTGCTATAAGGCCTCTATACTGGCTCCTAATGTTTCATGTTGGTGTGTCGTGCTTGGTCTTTCATGATAGTAATTTGTAGATGCTCCCTATTCAGGTCTCAGTGGTTTCAGAGGTTAAAACGTCAATGAATGAGGCAAAAACGACACAGGATTAGGGCAAATTTATTTTACTAGTACAAGCAAACCAGTGAAACAAGACTTTCAATACAGTAGTGTTGCAGTGCTCGAGTCAGGTCTCGGTCTCAGTCTCAACTTCATTTGGACTTGGACTTGGTCTTGTCTCGTGGTAAGGTGGACTCTTAAGACCAGCTGAGTGTGAGCTGAATTGTTATTGAACATCAACAAAACCAGAACAAACAGAATAAAACAGTTTTTTCTCTGTATCAGAGAGGTCTACACAGATGACCACAAATGTAAGTGATCAGATCTTTTTTTTTCTGACTCACCTAACATGATGGCTGATGTTTGGCAGAGACAGAGTGCTGGATATCAGGCTGAAGATGAAAACAGAGTTCTGGCTCAATTCTATAGACACCTATTCACAATGTTTAGTCTCCAAGTGATGGTGTAAGTTGTTGGGTTTCACAGTTTCATTTGAAAAGACCCCTGAACAAACAGCCCAGAGTGGTAGTTACTATTTTTTGTTCCCATACACATGAAGCCCAGAGCTCTGTATTAATTATTTTGTTAGTTTCAGTTTATGCTTGCATTGAAAATATAAACGTTATTAGCATTTTGCCAGAACAATCAATGAGCTTGACTTAAACATGATGTTTTATTTTTGAAAATAATCAACAATATTTAACAGATTTAAAATTAGCTTGGTTAAATGTTTGCGTTATTCACAGCTTGTGAATATAACTCGCTACGCTGCCAGACAAGAATTGCTTCTTGAAGTCAATGCAGGTTCTTTACAACCAATTTAATTAATTAAAATTAATTTCCACTAGTATTCACTTTCTTGCAACCAGAGTTTGATTCTGTGTTGTATTAAGAAGGATTATTTAAATTGGTTTGAAAATTTTATGGGAAGGTGTTAGTATTCTTTACAGACATATAAAAAATGTAAAGATGTTATATTACTCCTTCATTGTTCAATAATTTATTGAAAATAGCAGATTTTTTGTACTTTTTAATGGCTATAATATTAAATTCATTGATTTTAGTGGTAGTACATATTTGTACTATATTGACTTCAAGGTTTTCTATCTCTGTGTTATACCTATTGAGCATATGTTTCATTGGATTCAGGAAATTAGCAAGTTACAGCTTGTAGTGGCTTGATTTATTTGCATACTAGATGATGTCTTCTTGCTCCAAGTGTGTGGACAATTTTAGTTATATGCAGGAAAACATTTTTAAATTTCTTGTGCGGTTGGTAGTGGTCAAACCCACAGTGGTCAAACCTCTCACTGTCAAATGTAAGTATCCATACCTAACAACCTAGCCTAAATATAACACAACAGAATGCACTATGACCATTAAACTAGTCTTTAACAATATTTACAATAACAACAACAAAGTTGTTTGTAAAATGTCTTTGTAAACATTTCACAGGGGTTGTCAAGTGGGCAACTTCCCAAAAGCCCACGAAAATCTTCCATACTCACAATGGGTTAGGACACATGTCAACATCAGAGACAACAACAGATACACCTCAGGATTACTGAGAAACCCAAGCATTACTGAGAAACTTCTCCACAATGCCAGTCCATCTTTGTTCTCCAGCTGTTTGCAGGTGGATCTAAGTATGCCATCTTCAGCGATACTTACAGCCCGTAGGCTAAAAGTATGGTCTTTTCAGCTGTACACAAACCCCACTGATGCAGGCTTTAGGTATGCCAAAATCCAGAACATCCTGTAAAGCATGTCAAAGTATGCCAGCATACCAGCTTCCAAAAAATCTTGCAACAACAGGCTTCTTCACATAATACAGGTTAATTCACATGTCTCCAAGTAGTCTGTGAGCACCAAGAAAAGAACTCTGTTTGAGTAAAAGTATTTTTATCGTTTGATTACTGTAAAACATTCAGAAACAACTAGTTGTTTAAATTATTAGGATTTTGCAAGGTCTTATGAATTTAATAGAAGTTGTTGAATGTTTTGCGTAAAGAAAAGCCATGACATTAACTGGAAGGGCTATTTGAGTCAGTATGGAATGACCTGTCTGTGTGAGAGGGTAGTTTCTGTGTCTATTTGTTGTTTTTTTGAGTAAGCTTGTCACTGTTATCTTCCAGGTGGTTTGGAATGTTGTTTGTTATGTTTCACACTACAACATAGACACCACTGCTGTGCTTTAACCTAAATCAGATGCATAACGTTATGTATGGTTATTTTCTGCATGCAACAAAGAAAGCAAATAGTTACAACATACAAAGTTATGCTTTATTTTACAGTCCTGTTTCCATCACATTACAGCAAACCTATTAGTATTACCTATTAAATTATGAGTAAGTGCAACCTGGTAGTTGTCCATGTAAATGAAAAGGATGTACCAGAAAATTGCTGCTAAGTACCCTGTATTTGCCTATGAAATACTAGTTACTTACTGTTCTGTAAAATAAAGTGCTACCCAAAAATGACAAAAAAATTATCAAGAAAGATCCAGAAAAAAATGATCTATTTCTTCCTTTTTATTTGTGAATTTAAATTACAACATTGACATTGGATGGCATTAGTAACTCAGAAGTATATTTTTCAGCACACAGCATAGAGGGGGAGTAATGAAAACACTAGTGGATGACTGGCATCTTTAAACAACACTCAGAGTGTCAATCAAGTATTTCTCCAGTTTGGATTAGCTGGGCTGAGAGAGAGACGGGTGACGAGAAGAGACAAAAATCACAGAAAAGAAGATGAGGAGATAGCAGTAAAAAAGCATGAAAAAAAATGAATAGAAGTGAGCAGTAGTGTTTCAAAAAACTGTTGCGTTTGCATTAGAGGTTTAGAAGAAGTCTGTGAATGATAAATATTTACTGTAGAAACAGTTTCATGTGAGTTATGGCCATTCTTTGAGCACCTGGAGAGCCAAAACTAACTAGTCTTTAAGAGTTTATGGAGTGGGTGCTTGCAAACTGTAGTTCATGTGCATGGACTGGCTGGTTTTTGCTTTAAATGGGCCGAGAATCCACCCAAGAATGATGATTCTTCCACGTGTGCTGCTGGTGAAAATGGGACTGTTCCGCTGCAACTGAACTGTAAGTTGCATCTCTGTAAGCTGTGAACAGAGAATGAGCTTTACCTGTCATTATTGTTCATTTACGGAGTACAGCTACATTCAACTATGTAAGCAGAGTAAACCAAAGCAAGAATTAATATCTTAGGCACTTTCTTAAAGCCTAGAAAGACTGTGGGGTGTTTGGTTTGTTTAAGTACAACCCCATTTCCAAAAAAGTTGGGATGCTGTGCAAAATGTAAATAAAAACAAAACGCAATGATATGCAAATCATTTAAACCCTATATTTCATTGAAAATAGTCCACAGACAACATATCAAATGTTTAAACTGAGAAATTTTATTGTTTTTTGAAAAATATTTGCCCATTTTGAATTTGATGCCAACAAAATGTTAAAAAAGGTTTGGACAGGGGCAACAAAAGGCTGGTAAGGTTGTGTAATGCTAAAAAAACAACTGGTGGTTGATTGACAACTGGTCAGTAACATGATTGGGTATAAAAAAGCATCCCAGATGTCTTTCAGAAGTAAAGATGAGGAGGGGTTCACCACTCTGTGAAAGACTGCACAGGCAAATAGTGCAACAACTGAAGAATAACATTTCTCAACATAAGTAGCAAAGAACATGGGCATTTCATTATCTACAGTACATGATATCATTAATAGATTTAGAGAATCTGCAGAAATCTCTGTACGTAAGGGACAAGGCAAAAAAACAACATTTGCTGGCCATGATCTTTGGGCCCTCAGTTGGCACTGCATTAAAAACAGATATGATTCTATAGTGGAAATCACTGCATGGGCTCAGAAACACTTCTGAAAACCTGGATCCTGTGGACCTACAAATCAACATTTGAAACTCTTTTTGGAAATCATGAACACTGTGCCCTCCAGGCTAAAGACCACTCAGCTTGTTATCAGTGCACAGTTCAATAGCCAGAGCTCATGATGGTATAGGGGGGCATTAGTGCGTTTGGCATGGGTGACATGTACATCTGTGAAGGCACCATTAATGCTGAACGATATAAAAGTTTTGGCAAAATACGCTGCCATCCAGATGACGTCTTTTTCAGGGAAGGCCTTGATTTTTTCAGCAAGACAATGACAAACCACATTCTGCATCTATTACAACAGTATGGCTCTGTATTAAAAGAGTCCTGGTGCTAAACTGACCTGCCTGCGGTCCAGATCTGTGACACACTGATAACATTTAGTGAATTATGAAATGAAAAATACAACAAAGGAGACCCTGAATTGTTGTGCAGCTGAAATCCTATGTCAAACAAGAATGGGAAAACATGTAACTTTCAAAACTAGAGCAGTGTCTCCTCAGTTCCCAAATGCTTACAGAGTTTTGTTAAAAGAATATGTGAAGAAACACAGTGGTAAACATGCCCCCGTCCCAATGTTTTTGGAATGTGTTGTTGGCATCAAATTCAAAATGGGCATTTATTTTTCAAAAAACAAAACAATTTCTCAGTTACAACATTTGATATGTTGTCTTTGTACTATTTTCATTTAAAACTACAGTTTACATGATTTGCACATCATTGCATTCTATCTTTATTTACATTCTGCACAGCATCCCAACTTTTGTGGAAATGGGGTTGTATTTAATTGTGCTCTTTTATTTCTTTGTACTAATCAGTAATTCATTGCCTTTTCTTTCAATTGCTGTACTTTTAGACTATTAATTCGCCTCAGTCCTGGTAAAACAGTTAAGCTCAATAATAATTTCACTTTATAAATCTGTCTTAGAAATTAATCACTCAGGTTGGGTGTTTTATTTTTGGTATTATGTAGTTCTCCTATCTTTCTTCTAAAACTGCAAACTCATAGCCTCGTCCTCTCGGTTTTTAACCCTTTTCGGGGCGTAGGGGATAAAAGTGCTACACTCACTGTTGCTTTTCTCTCTTCTAGCATCTCACAACATTCTCCTGACTGAGTAGGTGGAAGATTCGGGTGGCCCCCAGGGACGCCAACCAGATTTCAAGGTAGTGTTTGAATAACATTCTGGCTTTAAAGGGGGGTGGTTCTCTTCAAGACACATTCTGATTTTATCAGTTATAATGTGATAAGGTACAGACACGTATGTAAATCACTGATGCATACAGTTATGAAAGGGAGGAGCGAGGGTGAAGACAAAACTATCGGCTTGCCAGATTGGATACAGAAAGTTCTGGAACTGCTAGAGTGGAGCCAGAAAATTTCAAAACTAGATTCCGTGACTGTATCACACACAGCACCAGCTTTTGTGGAGAGAAAATGTCCTGCTCAACACTGAAAATGAGCAATGAAGAATCAAACAATGGTAAGTGCATTTTTGCAACTAGAAGTTTAGATAAAAACATTGCAAAAAAAGGTTTTACAAAAAACAACTGCATGTTGCAACAGAGTGATCACGAAAGTCATTCATGAAATGATTACTATGAGGCATCTTTTTATCAAAAGAATATTTATGCAATTGTTTCACAGATATTTTATTGTTTTAAAATTTGTTTTGTTAAACATGTAAGTAACAAAAGCTAATAAATACATAAGTGTAAGCAAATGTAAAGGAATCATAACTATGAACATATATAAATTCTACAAATTAATTCTTATTCTACAAAATTATTATTGTTATAGATTTTTTGATACTGACACTTTATGGTGTGAATAATGCCTTGATTATACAGCACTTGAAATACTTGGATACATGAAGTTTTAGAGCTCTCTAAGAACCCAACTTTTAACACAAAACACAAGTTACTATGCTTTCTACATTTTTCTGTACATACACGCAAGTACAGTACAGTGATCTTATAGCTTTACATTAATGAACAAGCACAATAAAGAAGCATTAATAACTTAATCTATAATTTATGACATTCATTACTTTGCCAAGCTGAGATACTGTTCTACCTATAAACCTGTAAACTTAGTGTAAGCTGTACATCGAGCTCTCCCTGAACTTAAGCATGTCTCATGCCCTCTTTCTGGTTGTGTACTATCTCCTCCTTTGCAAAGAAAAAATGAAAACACAAAGTTAATTATCTTAATTATTATTTAAACGCATATATTTTTTCTGAAGTATCTGGTACTTTATATCATCACCAATGTATACTATGTATGCAATGTATACCATGTGGCCCAGTATTACATTGTGCCAGGATAAAAAATACTGTATGATTTATTGAAAAAAAGGCATCTAAATCCGATTTACACTTGTTTCATATAACATATGCTTATAAAACATCCACGCATGAGCAATTGTGCCTCAGCTGAAAAGCACTCAAGACAAATCTTCTGAAAAGTTCCTTTTAAGCGTATCTACCTATATTTTGTGAATTTAGGCTGGACAATGAAGCATCAAATGAGAATATTTAACTGCTAGTTAGCTAGCTAACGTTAAGATGCCGTAGGCAACAAAACACAACCAAAGCAAACCTAAACTAATGAAACAGTTCTTACATGGCTGACCTGTCGCTCCCTTGCTGAATAAATCAGTAATTTTTTAACACCTAGCAACTTCTTCTAAGTGTGTTTTTTTATCCTTTCCCTCTCTGCGCCACTTTTCCTGTTCTTCTCCATTTCTTGGTAAGTCGCAATAAGCACAAACTTGCTAGCTTTATTGCATGCACGCAACCAGGTAATGCATGTTTTTTTTACAAGCTACCTCTTGGCAGAAAGAAGTGATTTGCGAAGGAGGACTGCAGAGACAGTGTGTGTTCACAAGCTATACTGTGTTGTTTAGTTCATCAGACATTGTAACATCATCTAGCCAGGCCGTCCAGGTAAGCTGACAGGCCAGGCCAGGCCAGCAAAGGAGAGACAATCAGGGAGAGACATACAGGAATGCAATCCTGCATAGGACAAAATAAATGAGAGAGAAACAGAACCGGTGTACCCTGAGTAGCAAACAACTTGGTCAGGTACAAGATTCAACTGGGCAGAGTTACTGAGCCATGCCATTACCATAGGCTGTGGGATAGAGACACCATCCAGAATCTACATAATGATGTTGTCATAGGCTATAACAGGGCATCATAGTCCAGATCTGCAAGAGGGCAATTCTGGTGGTAATCCATTATCAGGCACTAGTCAATGGGAGCGGGTGGCAGTGGTACTGCACCCTCAGGAAAACCAGATGGTGCTGTGGCTTTCTGACATAAGTTGTAATCGCAAAGTTGTTCAGCTAAAACAATTGAATCAAAAGAGACATTTTATTTATCTGAAGGAAATCGAAAATCGTGACACTTGGATTTTGAATGATTTTAAGACTCGTTGCACACTGTAGCCTCCTCTGAAAGCCAGTATGGGTCAAAATTTGCATGTCTGAATCTCAATTCATCACACTCCCCAAATATGATGATGTGCATTAACCTTTTAAGGTTGTTCATCAAAACAAACACACAAGGGACACCAGTCAGTATGGTATGGTGTGATGTCCCCACCTCCTCTGAGGATGCCTGTTTCTGTAAATAATAACAGAGAATATAATCTTTTACATTTTAGAGACTGCACACTGTGTAGTGTATTTCTGTACTTTATGAATGTTGAAATATGTTACATCAGTTAGTAGTTCACCTGGAACCTTGTCAGACTCAGCAGTTATTGTTTAGTCAATATTGAAGTACCCTAATCAAAAGTTTACTATTATCTACTGAGTGATTAACTAGTACTCCTTGGTAGTTAAAAGTAATTATTTAAGCATTAATGCAGCACTACTCATTCGTCCTTGCTTAGTTCCTGAATAGTTATCTATTAACTATGACTTGGTATTGTAAAGTGTTACAGATTATTTCAATCCTAAAGCTAGTTTGAAAATGCTGTTTTCAAACAAGTGACAATAGAAAGAAATACATTTACAATATAAAACACTTTTTCTAACTTTTTTGGCTTACTAAATTGTATTGTTTGAATCCAGTTTTATGTCTGAGATATACTTAATTTAGATGTTGGCAAACAGAGTAACTTTATAGGATAATTGAATGCCCATACATAGACATACCATTCAAGTGCCATGATGATTAGTCAATGATAAGCGTGTCAAATGCCTGCTAAAAGCTGTTTGGCTGATGGCAGACACACTGACTTGCAAGTCATTCTTATAAACTCTCTTATACATAAGTTCAAATATGCAGCATGCAAAGTTTCAGCTTCATCAATTGTATGGATGCTGATAAACAATCATTTAGCTTTGATAGTGCCTCCTATTGACATACATGTACCAAAATTGACAGGCAATTTCAGAATCTTCCGAGACTCAAGCCTCAAGTTTCATTAGAATCAGATAAAGCGTTCATGAGTTACAGCTGTTTTAGTCAACAATTCTCTACTGCAGAAGGACTGAATGGCATGTGGCTGCCATGTTGTTTAAAAATGTCATTCTTTAAATATAATTATTGAGTTTCAAACTCTTGCAGATAGGTTGATACCAGTATCATGAAGATTGGATGTAAAACACAAAAGCAGATTTTGCAAAAAATACAAAATTTTTCCAGGGGGTTGAGTTTTTGATGACTTTGGCCTAGTATGACCCAATAAATCAGCAGCACTGAGAAGTATGTCTCTATGCCTCATGGTGCAGGAAATATGGGCCAAAACAAAAAACAATATGCTGTAGCGCCCCCTTTCAGGCTCTTCTCATGTGCCTAAGTAGCAGCAGGGACTACTACCTATTGACCAGATTACATGTCTGTAGGACTTAAAGTTTGGTCTGCACAATTTGTTTTAGTGGAGAGAAGTCAAAAATAATAGGAATCCAACAATCAGTGTTGCTAGATGGTTGCTATGGTATCTTAGCTGGTTGCTAGGGCATTGCTATAGTGGTACATATGTTTTTCTAGGTGATTTCTTAGGTGTTATGATGTGGTCTCTATAGTATTGGTGATGGCTGTTTGTTTGTTGCTATGGCATCTCTGGTAGGTCTTGTGGGTTTTCAGGTGGTGGCTAGGACAATGTTAGTTGGTTGCTGGGGTACCTCTTTTTAGTTGGTTGCTATGATACCTATGCTTGTATGTTGTTAGGTGGTTGTTGACATTTTGCTAGGAGTTATAATGTTCCAAGTGGTTGCTAGGGTATTGTTAAATGGTTACTAGAATGTGGCTAGATGGTTGCTGTGGGACCTCTGGTTGTTGCAAGGGTATTGCTATGTGATTGCTGTGGTACTGGAGTTTATTGCCAGGGTAGGTAGCTAGGTGATTGCTATGGAATCTCTCAAGGTTGCTGGTGCTTGCTAGGATGTTGCTAGTTTTTGCAATGGGGTGAGAAGTGAAGGTATCACACACTTCTATATCCTAAGAATAGCTCAACCACTTTGAGATTACTGTATTTAGAAATTTGTTTCCAAAAAAAGTTGGGATGCTGTGCAAAATATATCCTATGTTTAATAGACAATAGTACAAATACAACATATCAAATATTGCAACTGAGAATATTTTTTTTTAATTTAAATTTTCAATGCCCGTTTTGAAATTGTTGCCAGCAACATGTTTTTAAAAAGTTTGAGACGGGGGCATGTTTACCACTGTGTTGCATCACCTCTTCCTTTAACAACACTTTGTATGTGTTTGGAAACTGAGGAGACCAGTTGTTGTAGTTTTAAAAGTGAACTGTTTTCCCGTTCTTGGAATTGCTTTAGCTGTGCATTTACTCTGCTGTTTCATTAGAAAATGCACTTTTCCTGTTAAAATTTGTTGCAAAATTCTTACCTGCATAATTAAGTTGTCAAATTAAGTGATTATAGCACTCATAAACAATTATGTGGAAGTTATCGAGAGCTGTGTTTTACTATGGTAAATTATTGTATTAATAACTCCAGTAATTTTAGCTGTGAAATGCTGTAAGTTACAATACGTAAAATAATTACAATAGTTTTTTTTTCCATGCAGTATAATAAATTGCAATAACAGTAAGTCTATTTTAGAGTGAAGAACAGATGAACATTGTATTTTTCCAAATATATTAACCCCAGTGGGAAAGAGACAATACAGTGCCATAAAAGTATTTACCTCCTTGGAAGATTTCTTGTATTATAATCATAGAACATTAAATCACAATAGATTTAATCTGGTTTTATTTTACACTGATCAACAGAAACAGAATGTCTTTCATGTCAAAGTAAAGACAGGTCTTTGCAACATGATTTAAATTAATTACAAATATAAAACACAAACCTATCGCGCTCTTCATCTCAGGACTATTGATTACACACACACAGCTCTGTTCCTTGTTTCTACTGTTTGTTAGTTTAGTATATAAGCCCGTTGCGAAGTATATAAGTACTACACTATAAGTATATAGTATATAAGTATATATAGTAAGTATATATAGTATATATAGTATACATATAGTATAGTATATAGGTTCATTGCGAAGTATCATCACTCGTGCGTATTAAGCGTTTCCTTTTTGTTTACTTCTGTCACTCTGTGTATGACCCGTTTTTTGTTTGTGACCACGATTCTTGCCCTTTTTTCCTGTTCTGATTCTCTGGTTATCGACCTTCTGCTTGTGTTTACTGACTCTGAGGTTGAATTGCCCCTTTGATGTTAAAGTTTGGACTTAAGCCTCTGCTGTGAGCATCTGGTTCCGTTTGCCACCGTTACAGCACCAATGGTGTTCACAGCAGCACTTTAAAGTTACTGGTAGACAGTTACAAAACACACTCTAAAATGATTAAGAAAAAAAGGACCAAAGAAAAATTTAAATCTAACAGACATTAATACATGTCATATTTGCACTTGAGTGTGTTGCCATGCAGTGGAAAGGTAACTATTGTTTTTGATATGTTGAGGTATTAAAATTTGAAGTGTCTTTCTCTTCTGTGACCTCAGACTGTCAAAACACCAATGGCATAGAGGTTGCTGTCAATGACACATCAGGCATATTTGATATACAAACGAAGAAACTGAGGAACAGATCAGATAAACACATGAAGAAACTGAGAAAAAGGTCAAGTTGTGCATATCCCTGTCTGCACCAGGACCTCATGTGTTCTTGGTGACTCTCCAGCTGGGCAGATTCACCAAGGAAGAGCAAGAAACAGTGACAATCATCCAGAAGATTCCTCAAAATGCAGCATGGTTCTTTTCACCCATGGAGACTGACTGAAGAACATGACCATTCAGGAATTTATTTGTGAAAGTCCTGATCTCCTGAAATTTATCCAGTCCACCTGCCTTGCGTGAGGACTCTTGGATTTGACTCAGAATCAGAGTTGCCTTCAGATTTTCTGGTATTTTCATAAATCAGATGAGTTCAGAGTACACTACCACCTGAATTGCACTTGAAAGCAGCATAAGCAGCAAAAACTCAATCAAAAAGTGGTGTGGAATCAATGCAACACTGGCAGTCATGGAGAGCAGATAAGATTGGGGGTATAGGGCCGGTAAATTATATAAAAACAGCTGGTGCTGAAAGCAATTGCATATATCATGAAGCATTTTTTAATACTCATTGTTTATGTTCGAGACCACTCTGAAAACCTAAAAAGAATTTTGTGTAAATGAACAGTAACATATACACTATTGTGTGCAGTCTTACATATTTTCAAAACTGAAAGGAGAATATGATTGTTAAAGAAGGACACAGTTTCTTTAATGCTAAATGCTGTTATAAGTTTTAAGCCTCCTTGTGGAGCATCTCTAGTCTGCTAAACATAAGTGAGTGAGTGATGTAGTGACTGACTGAGTTATAAGCCATGTCTTTGTATCTAAAAAATACATGTTTTTCCAAGGTTGAATAAACTTTTTTGTATAAATAATATGAATGCAAACTCTTCACCACTTTCAACCTTTCTATTATTTTATATTCATTGTGAATGGCTTCAACTTAAACATGAACAGCTGTTTCAAAGGGAATTATCTGGAACAAATGAGCTATATAGAACAATTCTTTCCAGGAGCAAAGGAGCATCTGAGACTGGTGTTGGTCGGCCTTCAGGGAGTGGGCAAGAGCGCCACAGGAAACACCATCCTGGGTAGAGAAGAGTTCCAGTCAGACATCAGTTCCACCTGCCTGACACTGCGGAGTAAAAGCAGTGAAGGCCTGGTGTGTGGGAGACTGCTGACAGTGGTGGACACTCCAGGTCTGTTCAGCTGCAAGCTTTCTGGTGCAGAGGTGAAGCAAGAACTGAAAAGAGCCTTGACCCTCTGTGCTCCTGGACCCCACACCTTTCTCATCGTCATCCAGCTGGGACGCTTCACAGAGCAAGAGAGGGCTGTAATGGATAAATTGAATGAAATGTTGGGCTCTAATGTGCATTTGTACTCTATGGTGCTCTTCACTTATGGAGACAGGCTTAAGAATAAAACAATAGATCAGTTTATCAAAGAGGACAAGAACTTGAAGACACTGATTGACAAATGTGGGGGACAGTACCATGTGTTCAGTAATACTGATATGGAAAATAAAGCACAGGTCAGTGAGCTTTTGGACAAGATCCACAATCAGATGACAAAGAGAAAACAACCATTTTATGTAAAGAGTGTGACAAAAGTGCACAATACATGGAAAACTTTAATCTACATTGCAGCACCTATTGTAATTGTGTTGGTAGTTTTAGCTATGATCAAATATATCAGTGAACCAGCAGAATCAGTGAAGAATGCTATTACTAATCAGGTGACTGAAAAGGCTTTAAATGAGACCATTCTTGAGCAGCCTGAGAGGATTTTGGAGGCAGTTTTCGAGCAGCCTGAGAAGGCTTTGGAGTCAGTTCTTGAGCAGCCAGAGAGGGCCTTGGAGTCAATTCTTGAGCAGCCTGAGAAGGCTTGGGAGTCAATTCTTGAGCAACCTGAGAAGGCTTTGGAGTCAGTTCTTGAGCAGCCAGAGAGGGCCTTGGAGTCAGTTCTTGAGCAGCCTGAGAAGGCTTTAGATAATTTTCTTGATGAGAAGGATTTGGGAAAAAGTGCAAAACTTTGGGACATGCTACTACGAAGGATAGAGAACAACAAGACAGAGCTAATCGCCACAGCTGTAGTGGGGTTTGGAGTAGGCTTGTGGATTCTGAAATTCCTGAAAAAGTAGTTCCTGTAGTAGATCTGCACTGAGTGATACCAAAAATCTGTAATGAAATGGTCACTCAGCACAGATCTTAAATGCTGGTGAGGAGAAAACACATTACTAATTCTTGTCTGTTCTTATTCAGATGGCTATATATTATAGGTTATATGTGATGTGTGTCCATTAAATGTGTCTGTTTAAAGGTTTGAATATGTAGTCATCATATGCAATAATGTTAAATACCTTTAGGTCAGTAGTCTTCTTTATGGCATTTTAACATTTTCTTTGTGTAACATATTAGTGAATATAATTAATTTGGACTGACAACCATAAAATAAAAACAGAAATGTTCAAGATAATTTCCATTATGCTTGTTCTTATTTTTAGTTTGTGAATCAAAGACTAATTACCATATTTCCAGGAACCTCTGAACTGTTGGATGAATGGCTATACTGGGAAATATATGCCAGGACATTAATCTTCTTCTCTGAGAAGAACACACTTAGAGACTTAGATACAGCAAAGATTTGAATTGTTGTAGGGTGCCAAATCCCCGTTATAACCCCAGTAAATCTGTTCACATCATGTTCACGCCATGAGTACTTGGATATTTGGCCCAAATTTAACATATTTATTGTGTGTCACTAAATTTTGGATGATAATGCGTCTGTTTTCTTTAAACAGTGCATGACAAACAGAATCCATATGAAGAATTCAGGATAGTTCTTTTGGGAAAGACTGGAGTTGGGAAAAGTGCTGCTGGAAACACCATCCTGGGAGAAGAAGCCTTTAATTGTGACATATCAGCATCATCCGTGACGGACGCTTGCTGTAAGGTCACCAAGGATGTGAACGGAAAGAAAGTCACTGTTATTGACACGCCAGGCCTTTTTGACACAAGTTTTACCTTAGAGGAGACGGTCAATAGGATCAAGCTTTGCTTCCCTCTCTCTGCCCCTGGCCCACACGCCTTCCTGATGGTGGTGCAGCCAGGCAGGTTCACTCAGGAAGACTGCAAGACCGTTGAGATTTTTCTGAAGATCTTTGGGGAAGAAGCCAGCAGACACACTTTGGTTCTCTTCACCCATGGAGACAAGCTTAGGGAGAGGAGCATTCATGAATTTGTTGGTTGCAGCCCAGACCTGGAGACATTCTTCAACAAAAGCAACCAACGATACCATGTTCTCAACAATGAGCTGAAGGATTCCACTCAGGTAGACCAGCTTCTGGAGAAGATTGAAAACATGGTGTCTGAGAATGGAGGAAGCTATTATACCAACGGAATGCTCCAGAAGGCAGAGCGAGCGATTGAAGAAGAGAAAAGACGGATCCTGAAGGAAAATGAAGTGAGCAGACAGTTGGAGGCACTGAAGCTAGAAGTCCAAGAAGTTAGGAAGGAGCTGTGGGAAAGACGAGAGAAAGAAGCAAGAGAGCAAGCAGAGAAGAATAACAACTATATAATCATAATTACACAGATTTTGTGGGATATTCTTGAGAAATACATCACAAAGAAGTAATAAAGGACGTTTTTGAATATGCTTTGCTTGTGTATACTGTAAGCATTAACTTTGCTCCAGTTTAACCTTTCACAAACACAGTATTTTTTAGCATTCCTAAAATGTTTAAAAGAACATCAGAGTAAATGTCAACAGAAGGCTTAAAAGGCTTGTATTTGGATAACATTTCTGAGAATAATTTTTCAGAAAATCTATCCAGTAGTTGACAGTAATGCTGTTGTTGTGGCGTCTCCTCTGCTATTCTCTGCTATGTACTGGATGCTCTTCATTTATTCAGTGACTTCAAGTTCAGTACAGCCTGAAAGTTGTGTATTGTTCCAAATAAAGCATTGTTTGGCTCTTCGCAGCTTATATTTTATTTATCACCATCATCTCTAAATTCCTGTTCCTATGCCAGAACAAATCATAAATAAATACAGTAATTTTCTATAAGAATTATTTGGTTGGCAGTAGTTAACACTTCATAAATTTATGTAATAATTGTATAAATTAAATAATATAATTAACATCTGGGAATCATGGGTGATCATGAAAATTCAGATCATGAATGAACAAGCATTAAATACTCATAGTATAAATCACCAACAAACACGGTCAATGTTAAAAACAAAATATGTGTTATGTTACTTCATGAATGAAGAACAAACATGAATTTATCCGGCAGTTACTGTTGAATAAGTATAAGGTACCAAAATAGTACCCTAAAGTAGACTACCTAAAATAATAACAACCATAAATCATCACAACAACCAAAATGCTTCACGACTCGCATGATACTCTGCCTTCAACAGATGTGAAAATTATTGTTTCTTGGTTGATTTATGTTTGCTATTTTTAGTCTTAGAGCTATAGGCTTAAACACACCTATTTATGGTCTACTGAAGAGTTTCTGTCAACTTGAAGTGGTAAATTCACCTAGCCAGAACACTGGAATTATCAACCAGAGACAGAATAGTCAATGATTACTCAGCATATTTATGTGTCAGAATAGGAATAATGTGTTATGTAATAATATAGTTATTAAAATGTCTTGTTATTGCACTTATGTAATGTCTCAGTTCTATATTCTGTATCTTAACTCTTAAATTTAAAATCTCTTCAGTTTTTGAACTCTAACCTATTTGCACTAGTTAAGTATACATTATCTGAGTAGATAACAAACCACTTTTGAGGTTACTCTGCATAAGCGTGCTGCTTTTAAATGGCCTTGGTTTTACCAGAAAAGCTAATGTCCCAGTAGGACACACTATATTAACATCCTTCGAACTTTGATAATGTAGTTGAGTGCATTGAAATCTGTGATGCAGCGTGAATTGGGTTGTGACATCAACACTATTTTCATGATGGCCAAGGAATGAAACAAACAGTCCAAAGGAAAGCAATTCAATAAACTGTACAAATATAATAAATGGTAGTAGTAGTGTAAGTTAAGCTTTATTTGCAGTGGTGATTTTAACCTTTGTACATGACGGAAAAACAAAAAAAAATACCAAACCACTGTAGTTAGACTCTATAATAAACATAATGCAATCACAAGTCAAGTCTTAGCCTATTGATAAAAACAAAAACACAACTGAAAACACGGTGTGGGTTACATTATTTCTCTTTATGTTCAATGTTCATGAACTAAATGCAGGAGTAATGGTGTATTTGTCTGTTAACAGTGTGGTGTCCGCGGGAGAATACTAGTGAACTGAGGATTGTGCTGGTTGGAAAGACTGGAGTGGGAAAGAGTGCCACAGGAAACACAATCCTGAGAAAAGAAGCATTTAAATCTGAATTGTCTTCTTCCTCTGTGACCTCACAGTGTGATAAAGTCAAAGAGAACATTGATGATAGAAGAGTTGCCGTCATCAACACTCCAGGCCTTTTTGACACTAATTTATCAAATGAAGAAGTTCAAGAAAAGATCAAGCTGTGTGTATCCCTGTCTGCACCAGGACCTCATGTGTTCTTGGTGATTATCCAGCTGGGCAGATTCACAGAGGAAGAGAAAAAAACAGTGGAGATAATTAAACAGATTTTTGGTGAAGACTCTGCTAAGTACACCATGGTCCTTTTCACGCATGGAGAGAGGCTGAAGAAAAGCAGAAAAAGCATACATGAGTTTGTTCATGAAAATTCCGATCTGTTGACATTTATTCAATCCTGCAGTGGACGATATCATGTCTTCAGCAACGACGACGAAGTTCCAGCTCAGGTTACAGCTCTGCTCGAGCAGATAGATGAACTGATTACCAAAAATGGTGGACAGCACTACACAAATGAAATGCTGCAGATGGCTGAGAGAGCCATTCTGGAAGAACAGTTCAGAATTCAAAGATACAATGAAGAGCAGGATCCCCAGAAGGCAAGAGATATGGCAGAAAGAAACAACAGTTTCCTAAAAGCTGCTACTGGCATTGGTTTAGCTGGTGTAGCAGGTGCAGTCGCTATTGCAGCAATCAGAGGACACTGCACAATACAGTAATTCATAAGCACAGACTAAGGATGTAACAATACAATATATAGCATTGTACTGAATTAAATTGCATCATATATTGCATACAACATATATTTTATGATACTTTTAATAGCATATTAACTTGTGGTTAGAGCGTTAGTTTGGGACAGTATAACAGTTTTTCAGGCTTTTAAATATTGTACTTTTATTATATTGAATGTTCTAATGAACTGAAAATGGAAACATTAATACATTAATGACATATTTTTGCTGCATCAAAAAAAAAAAAATCTATTCCAGACACCACTGTATATGTTGTGAATCGTTACACCCCAATTACAGACCAAGCCTAAAATCTAAAATGTAAATGCAGAATTACAAAAATTGAGTTTTTGCGCTGTTGCGAATCCTGTAAAACCCCAAAGAATAATTTACAAGTGAGGTGTCAGGTCAGATTTCATGGGAATTTTTTGGATCATATCATATGTCTTTATGAATTAACATCACACGTAGAAGAAGTCAAAAAGAAGGTCTGGCTTAATGTTCAGGTCTCCAATGCAAAAACAACTTTATACTCAATATATGATGACAACAGTAGCTCATTTACTTATATCCTCGGAAGAGTTCTCTTTAAATTTTCTCTCAATCATGTGGTCACAATCATTAGATTCATTCACTTGGTAAAGGTATCTGAAGTACAATCTACATTCCAAGATGTTCTTTCATACAACCTGTGCAATAATACATGTACACCTTAGGGGTCTCCAAATCCCCAAAACTTGCATAGTGTAGCTTTAAATACAACCCTAATTCCAAAAAAGTTGGGATAGTGTGTGAAATGTTAATAAAAAAAAAAACAGAAATCAGTGATTAGTAAATCCTGTTTGACTTGTATTCAGTTGAAGACAATACAAAACCATAATATGTGATGATGTACCTCATGAACTGAACTGTTTTTTAAATTGTAAACATACACTCATTCCAAATTTGATGCCTGCAACATTTTTGAAAAAAGTTGGGACATGAGCATGTTTACCACTGTGTTACATCACATTTCCTTTTATCAACACCTAATAATCATTTGGAGCCCGAAGACACAAAATGATCTAGTTTTTAAAGCATTCTTTAAATAATCTTCAGTTGCAAACCATATGGGACCTGTGTTTTGTATTTTGAGCTTAATAATGCACCACAAATAGTCTAAACTTTTATCAGTCACTAAAATGTCCCTCAGGGTTCAATTCTGGGACCTGTATTCTTTTTAACGTATATCAATGTATATCAATAATGAAGGTTCATCTTTAAGCAGACAACACTATTTTGTTTCAAGCTTCCCATTGCACAATAGAAAGATGATTGTGTAAGTGACTTTTATGACTGTGGTGGACAATGGACATGTTACCTATAAGCATGTTGAAGTCAGTACTCTTAAGCAACTGGACTGAACAGTTTATCACCCTGCTCTTTGCTTGATCACTGGGGATAATTACAGAACCTCTCACTGTATTTTATATCCTAAAGTGGGTTGTCATTCTCTAATGGTGAGACACAATGTACTACATTCTTTTGTGTTATTATTCCCAACTGCCTCTTATATATTATTTTTAACTTCTGTTTCTTTTATTTCAATGGTTTAATGCTAATTGTACTTTTCAGTTTATTGTTTTATTCATTTGCTAGGTCTCAGCTACATTAATAATGAGGGTCTAAATAAAGGAGAAATTAATTTCTGTACAACTAATACCTGTTCTTTTGATGTGTGTAGTTCCTCATGATGGATAGACTGTCAAGTAACAGAGTTGCAAATAATGGAATATTATTTACAACACTGTCAAAAATGTATGCAGTACATTAAACATTTCTGTTTGTTCTTCCTTTACTGAATACACCCTTCTTACAGTGTAAAAATCAAATTAATAGTTTACACAGGGCCAGTGGCAACTAGATATAAAGAGTTTCACAGAGACTTATCTAGAACAAATGAGCTAGGGAGAACAACCTAACACTGAAAATAAAACACAGAATAAGAATATTTAATAAAGAGATTAGAGATCATTTAGAAAAGAGATCATCAAGAGATCAGACATTTCCAGAACAGACGAGTATCTTTGGTTACATTTGGTTGCATTTTTAGGAAATAAGCAACCAGTTTTAATCAAGCTTTTACCTCTAAAGAAAACCCTTTGCTGCATAGAATCCGTGGTTTAATTTAATGGAATTCCCAGGATGGAATTATATGAGGAATGATAATATTTTGGAATAAGGCTCAGACTTTTATTATGTTATTATGTTGTGGCGCTGTAGAAAAACTCACACTACTAACAAAAGTATCCAGTAAATCAAAAGTATGATGAAATGGCCAGCACTAAGTTAGTCTGGTTGGAATAGCTTCAAATACAACTGCATATTCCTTAAGAAATATAGAAATGTTTACCTTGTTGCAGAAAATCTGGGTAGTTAAATGGCTTGTCATTTGAGTCAAGATTCTGCCCAGATGTGTTTATCTGAGGTGGAGAGCCAATGTCTGTGTCTATGAATTTTATGGTTCTCCATGTCAGCAGCAATCGTAGGTACTGTCCTATGTTTATGACACTGGAAATTGTATTTATCATTCCCGTTAAAGAGATTGTGTTCCATACGGGACGAGTTCCTGAGAATGGCACAGGCTCATCTCCTACTGTGCTCTGTATAGAGTGGCTCTATTGTTCTACTCAGACAATCCTCTGTGTCTATTTGCTTATTTTCTGAAGGACTTGTTTATCTTTTGTGTGGTATCACTCTTAAATAAAGACTGTTCTTTAAGGGTTCTTTAGCAAAGACATTGGTTCTATATAGAACCATGAACACTAAAAGAACCATCTGCATGCTTAAATAGTTCTTTGCATGGTGAAATGGTTCTTCAGATTGATGGAGAATGTGTTGTATGTTTATATTTTTAAAAAAGGTTCTATATAGCACCAAAAAGGTTTCTGCTGTTGCTACAATGTCAAGTTTGATACAATAGAAGAACCCTTTTGGTGCTATATAGAACCATTTTCAAAAAGATTATATAAAAAACCATATATAACACATTTTCCATCAATCTGGGGAACCATTTCACCATGCAAAAAAAATTTAAGCATGCAAATGGCTCTTTGAGTGTTTATGGCTCTACAGAGAACCAATGTCTTTATTAAAGAACCTTTAATCTTTTTTAAGAGTGTTTCACTAAATCAGCCAGTGATTCCTTGAATAATAAGACTCTCAGTGATCACTTAGAACTTTGCACCTTAAGAAGTACAGATGTTGCTTTCCTTTCTTAACATTGTCTCTTTGTGTTTGGCACCCAGCTCAGATTACTGAAGAGTTGTATTCCCAGGAACGTTAGACTTTTGACCTATTCTGAAGAGCTGCTCAGTGACTGGTGCACTCTGGTGCTTTCTATGTTTCTGCTGGTTGTAGAGCTGGGGACGTTATGCGGGATCGGCATGTTGTGATGGAAAAAAAAAACTGGAAGACGTTTTTATAAAGAGATGCAGAGGAGACTTTATCATAATCCTCTTCACTCATGGAGACCAGTTAGCATGGTTTGTGGAAAAAAAAATCCCTGAAAAAGCTGGTGCATGGTTTGTGTTCACTTGTCCAGGAAAGTTTCACTGCAAATCCATACAGAGTTATTCATTTATTGATCAACTTCATCCTACGATGAAATGTTTATATCCTGATGGGATGGGTCTCTTCCAGGATGACAGTGCCCAATACAGAGGACCAAGATGTTAGACAGGAACCTCCACTGCCATCCACCTGCCTGACATGATGGCTTAACATTCGGAGTGCAGCTGTGGTTCATACTAAAAGTTGTAAAAAATTAAAAAATTGTAGAAAAATTATAACATGCGCAGGCATCCTAGAGCTTCAAGACAACAGAATCTCTGAACTATTCCTGTTTCAAATATGTGCACTTTCCTTACTCTTTTAAATGTAATCTAAAAGAAATGTACATTCTAGCCAAAGTAACAAAAAAGTGAAAATGTCTATTTTGTGTTGTAGCACTGCTTTAGAGAATATCAGTTCAGCACAAGTAATGAGTGCTGTGTAAACACACCTTAGCTGCCACACTCTGCTGCAACTGTGCATCTCCTCTACTTAAAGAGGAACTACTACTATTTTCACAAATTCTCCGTAATTAAATGGTTAAGATGTAAGCAAAGTCATTCAGAGTGGTTTGAGGTGAAATACATCATTATCATGAAACAGTGATGGTAATTGGAAGCAGATTTGTAAAGAATTTAAAGCTACTTCACAGAAATGTAAAATGATTTACATGAATAGATTGCCTCTTTCCTGAGATGATGGTTTTGAAAGGTATTGGCCTAAAACATATTCTTAAATATATATCCATTCATGGCAGGGATGTGCAGGTACACGTAGGGCTTCCTAAGGCAAAACAGTCCCCCAAAACTGTATTCATTTATTTACTTACTTACTTATTTATTTTCCACTGTTTTACCATTATAAAGGATAACTGCCCATTTTGGACCATATATTAAATGCCTATATTTTTGGTGCAGATCTTGCAATCCTTAGTTTCTCATTCAAAGGTACAACAGTGGTTTTAAGGTCCAACTGTGTACCTTATATAAGTTTTCCCAGTGGAAAAGTATAAATTTGTACCTTTTCATAACCTAATGTTTTAAAACAGAACAACAAAAAAAAAGCCTGGAGACGAGACGGGGCGTGTGGAGTCAATACAACTTATGTAAAATATGATTTCAGTGGATTATGGTACAATTATGTTCCCTGACTAAAGGTACTGAGATGTAGCCTCAGTGACAGTTTCGTACCTTTTTTTCTGAGAGGTAGGTTTATCTGTAATGCACCATTTCACATGAAACCACTCTGACTGACTTTGTTTACTTCTCACCGACTGAATTATGCAGAAAGGACAGAAATGTATGGTACAAAACTGTGCCGAAAATGTGAAAATCAGTGGAATTCCACTTAAGTGTTATTTCTACAGCCATACTCATTAAGTACGTTATGAAACAAGAATATGTTTCTGTAACATTTTAGGTTTGTAGACTATAACGAAAACATATTCAAAATAAAATGCAATTGTTCACGCCCTTACAGAACCAACTTGAAACACACACACAGGATGTAAATAAAACTAGAAAAAACTCAACACCCTTCACGTACGCCACTGCTTCTGAATGTAACTGGAAACTGACAACTCTGTGGAATTACCACAACTCCTCTCCCTGTATCAATGCTTCCCAGTCTCAGTGTTGGACTAACGCAGTTGTGTTTTCCTGACTCAACAGAACTGATTCACACCTGAAGATCTTGAAGATTAGTGTTTGTGTTGAATTAATTGTGTTAGAGCTGCCAAAACAACAAGGTGTGCAGTCAGACTCAGCGACTCAGAAACATTTGAACAAACATGACCCACACACCACTAAGTCAATCAAATGTTCACATCTGCTCAGACAACACAGATCCAAAGTCAGTGCCTCTTAGTATATGATCATGGCTGGTTTTTGGCTGAACCCTTTCGATCTTTTGCATCCATCATTCTTCCTTGCTCTTCTTCTCCACCTCTCTCAGCCTTCTCTCCAGCACTTTTACTTTCGCCTCCAGGTGCGTGGTGGCACCTCCCCCGAAAGGTGATGGTCCAATGCCCAGCAGGACGCAGGCGAGCACCAGCCCAGCTAGTCTCATTGCTGTGGTTTCCGCACTGGCTCCAGTATCACTCAGAATCAAGCCAAACAAGGCAACGGCAAAGGCGATCTTCAGTAGCCAGAGAGTGCGCCGCACAAGCCCAGCAACTAAGTGCACTGCCAAGGACAAAATCCAGTAGCCAAGCACTGCCAGCAGGGCCCACTTAGTGACAAAGATCACACCTTCAGGGGTGACGCGCTTCACAGGAAGATTGGCTTAACAAGAAGAAAAATTTATATCAGCATTAATTTTCCAAACCATGCTTTCAATGTTTACTTAATGCAAACTAGCAGTTAGCACTCATCTCTAAAATGCATTTTGTCATCTTCTCTTTACAGCTTTGAACAAATATACCAGAATATCTGTGGTAAGCTGAGAAGAAACTCAAAATTAATAGAGATTTGATTTTAACTGAACAATTTGTCATTACTGATCAGTAATTCTGATATTATGAACACTTTTAGACTAATAAAAAATTGATTTTATTGAGAAATGCAAAATACAATACATACACACACTATACTACATAAAAAATTTTAAAATCTCAAAAATCAATCTCAGTAATGTAACCCAATAGAACACTTACAAACAACCCAGCGGAAGTTCAAAGTAACTTTACACACTTAAAAAGATGATTCTTTGAGGGATAATTAGTAAAGAAAACGCATCTATTTAGAACCAATTTTATTTAATATTTAAAACGGTTCTCCTGATTAATGGAGAAAGTGTTGTATATGGTTCTATATAGCACTGAAAAGGGTTATTCTATTGTTACAAGCTTGATGTCATAACAACAGCAGAACCATTTAAGCCTGAAATAGTTCTATATAGAACTCGTGGCTCTAAACAAAACCACTGCTTTTACTAAAGAACCCTTGATGAACCATCCTTATCCATATAACCATAATAATAATAATAATAATAATAATAATAATAATGTCTCACTTTATTTGGATAGTCCCCTATAGATTATCTACAGATGTTCAAATTGCTAACCAACTATCTGTTGAAACTCAAAATCTGTTGATTCTAAACAGCGGTGGGGTTAGGATTAGGATTTGGACCAGGGTTAGGGCTAGAATCAGGGTGAGTGTTGGGTTTAGGTTTTGGGTTGAGGTTAAGGTTAGGTTTAGGATTAGAGCCAGGTTTAAAGAAAATGATGGTCAATTTAGTAGATATTTAGTTAAATGTAACTTGAAAGTAAATTAAGCATCTACAAAGCATCTGAGGTGGACTATGTACATAAAGTGTTACATAATAATAATAATAATAATAATAACAACAACAACAACAATAATAATTCACCATCCATTTCAGATGCCCCCAGCATTTCTGCTCCATATGTAGCCAGTATGTTCAGCCCATCAGCTACAGCCTTTGAGGTCAATGTTGCGACCTCATTTACTTTCTGTTTAGACATAAACACAACGTAGTCATTAAAAATACACTATTAATACATTTTTGCACAGAACACCTAAGGTGACATCGTCATTATTTTTTATGAGGCAGCAAACTGAAATATTTAAGCCATAAATTACTATATTGAGGCCACAAATTATTATATTGAAGCCACAAGTTAAGTTTTTCTTTACACGTATCCTCAATATAGCAATCTGTCGCCATGATACATTAATTTGTGGACTCAATATATTAATTTGTGGTCACTACTTATTAAAAACAGTCACCATGTCACCTTAGGGGCTCCGTAATTTTTTGCCTTCTTCATGGCAACAACTGAGGTATACCAACCTTTAGCCCCGAGTCCACCAACTGCCGTCCGAACAGAGAGACCAGAAAACCACGTCCATCCTCACACAAACTTGTGAAAGCTGAGTTCAAAGTCTGCCACACTGTCGAAGCTGTTGGCTGATTGTCAGACCCAGAAAACTGACTCTCACATGTCGGTATGGACAGAATCAGCATTACCGCGACTAAAACCGCTGCCATTTTAAAACACCAGCTACTTCAACTGCTGGACACACAAACAGGCAAGTTTTTCCGCTGTCGCGAGCTAACAGCATGAGTTACAGAGAAGTTGTTAGCCTAGCCAGGACAGTGTTTTACCGCCAGGAGGGGAAACAGGAACTCGGAGAAAGCATGGAAAAGCGGGCGAGGCGAGGTGTGGTCAGTGTGGAGTTTGGGGCAGGGCTTTAGGGCTTTAGCTCTGTTAGCTCCGCTCTCCGGCTCAGTCGCTCACTCAGCGTGTTCAGAAACAGACTTGGTGTGAGTTCAGTTCACAGGCGGTGAAGCGCGAGCTCCAACACTTAAAACACGCACTACTGCGTTAAAAACAATATCGACGTGTCCGAATCACGTGACACACTTACATCATACGCTTTCGGTTTTTTGAGGTTCTGGTGTTTGACCGCTAGAGGGAGACACCCCAACGTGAACCCGCTCCAAATGTACCGAAGCTACTGATCCTATACTACTGGGTCAGAGCTGCGCTGGGCCCAGTTTCCCAACAGCATCTTAGCGTTAAAGGGGAATTCCACCAGTTTTTGAAAATTTCTGAGTAATTCAGTACTTGAGATGTAAACAGAGTCACTTAGAATGTCTTGATGTGTAATGGTTTATTGTGGAGACTCAGATTTCTTTACAGTGGTGGTGATAGGAACCAGGGATCGCCACGTCTACAACACACACACAGACATTTTATTTACTATCCAAAGCCACCGGTGAACCTACACAACTCTTAAGTTTTTATATGGTGATGATGGTAAAATAGTCATAAATCTGAAAAAAAAAAGTTTTCTTTGGAGACTATTTTGCCTTTTAACGACTTATATGGATCCCTCCACCTTTGACTGACAGCCACCAAACTGCATGTACTCATTCAGGGCAGGTCTCCAATTTCTAATCCACCTCCATACTGACCCGCACTTCTCTATGTGTCGTTTTTCCTCTCTCATTCCTCCCATAGAGTCCCATTCATTTTTGCCTTCACCCAAGCCCTAGTATATCCTTTGCCCAACAGCCAAAATGCATGTGTTTAGATCTCAACTACTGAATCATGCACACGTAAAAGCCTCATCTGTGAAATAAAGCTTACACGCTTAAACTCGCGCCTTGAATCCGGAGAGAGTGAAGTGTCGGAGCTGCAGCTCATCACAGTTCAATTCTCTAAGTGAAACTCCTGATTCCCAGAAAAAAAAAAAAACACATAATTTACGCACGTAATCATAACAGAGCAGCAGGAGGAGGAGGAGGAGGACGCAGCCTTCAGCTCCACTCAGTAACGCATCTCTCTGGATTCAGGACCTCATCTCTCTTAAGGACCTCCCAGACACAGAGAACAGTAGAGGTTCTAAATTAGCTTCAGAACTTTCCAGAAAGAAGATGATCAAAGGAATAAAATCATTCCTGAAACATTCTTGATTAAAGGGCTTTAAAAACCAAACCTACTAAAGAAATAAAGCAGAAAGAGCTACAAAGACTAAAGGCACCAAAGTAGACTCTGAAAAGGAGGATCCTACGTAGTAGACCTTCCTTATAGAACTGATTTAGACATGATGGAAAGCAGTTTAAGGTTCTCCATCTGTGTGGAGGTTCTTTAGGTTTCTTCACACAGAAAAAAAAACATTCTCTAAACTGCAGGGTTCTTTAGGGAACCAAATGTGATTCTTCAACGGAATCACACAGAGAAGCTTTCTGACACCTTTATTTTACTTCAGGTAACAGAAAATAAATAGAAATAAAAATTATTATTCAGCTGTGTAGATAGACAGACAGATAGACAGACAGACAGACAGATAGATAGACAGACAGAGAGACAGATAGATAGCCAGACAGACAGACATACAGACAGATAGATAGCCAGCCAGATAGATAGACAGACAGAGACAGACAGATAGATAGCCAGACAGACAGAGACAGACAGACAGACAGAGACAGACAAAGACAGACAGACAGAGACAGACAGACATACATAGACAGACAAACAGAGACAGACAGACGGACAGAGACAGACATGTTAGACTCTCCTGATATCTCAGGAGAGTCTAACATGGCAGAGAAAGCTCTTCATAACGCAGCAGCAGGTTCTCTCTTGGAGCCTGGTGACTCTGCTAAGTATCAGGATGTCTCCCGTTTCCTACAGAGCCTGACTGATCGGTATGTACCGAATACAAACATACAAATATCCAGTACAATGTACAAATGTATATACAACGATAGAAATATGAAATGTACATATGAATAACATTACTATGCATAAGCATAAGCTGTGTTGCTAGTGGGTTAGCTTTCAAATTATTAATATTATGGTAACAGATCTGAATCCTGATTGATTAATCCTGGTTCTTTAGCCGCTGGTAGCCAATAAAATGTGATGAAACAAGCTAACAGACATGACATTTCCCTCTAGGGTGGTTAAATATACAAGACTCAATAATGAATATGTGGCACGGTGGCGCAGTGGGTAGCACTGTCGCCTCACAGCAAGAAGGGCCTGGGTTCAATTCCTGGCCGGGTGACCGGGGTCGTTTCTGTGTGGAGTTTGCATGTTCTCCCCGTGTCTGCGTGGGTTTCCTCCGGGTACTCCGGTTTCCTCCCACAGTCCAAAAACATGCCGTCAGGCTGATTGGACATGCTAAATTGCCCCTAGGTGTGAATGTGTATGTCTGTCTGTCTGCCCTGTGATGGACTGGCGACCTGTCCAGGGTGTATCCTGCCTTCCGCCCAATGACAGCTGGGATAGGCTCCAGCACCCCACCACGACCCAGAAGGAGAAGCGGTTTAGATGATGGATGGATGGACTTTAGTGCAAAAGTTGCTGTCTCTGTTACATTAGCACTAAATGGCTGTTCTCCTTTTTTAATCTTTCAGGCAACTACAAGTGATACTTGGTGGAATGCATCAAATGGTAAACTTTTATAATTCAAATACAATTCATTTATATTTTTATTTTAATATCATTATTGTGAAATCACAGCAGATGAACCCTGTAAGACTATGCTAGTGATGACTAATATTGTCAATATGTTCTTTTGCTTGTAGTTCACGAGGGGCGAAATCACCACAATGAACATGGACATTGAAAAGATCGTGAGCACATTGTCACAGAAAGTCATCGTTCCAAAAGTTTGTGAGTTTCTGAATGTGGATGCCGGGTCGCTTTTCTTTGCAAGACCAGGGTTCTCAAACCATTCTTTGGAGTCAGTCACCAAAGACATTCTGAATGCCATTGTGAAGACAGTCATTGACGCTCTTGATGATTCTCACATGTGTGAGCTGCGTAGAAATGTGACAGAAAAGACTGAGCTCCTGGCATCTTCATGTGGGTCAGTTGAGCTCTGTAATTTGTCACTGTCTGTTGAGCCCAGTGCTGAGAGCTTGACGTCCAAAGACCAGCCACAACTTCAGGAATGTGCTAAAGACGTGATTCTTGAGGTTTACACCATCTATCGGGCCAAAGAACTCAAGAGTGCGTCAAATTTGTCTTGCCCTCCAAAGATGTGCGCGACAGATTTTGCAGAATGTTTGCTATCAGAGCTGAGTGACATCAAAACGTCCTCTCAGAGTTCATTGATCAGTGATGATATCAGCTCTGATCCAGCCTGTGGTGCAAGTGACAGCATGGCTGATAAAGCACTCAAAAGAGCTAAGTCCTGTCATAGAATCCCCAGCCTCATGAAACTCACAAATATGGCTTGCAAGATGGAGACTTCCGTTCCTGGACAAACTCTGAGGAGCGCGTCCTTGTATGCCAAAATCGTTGTGGATGAGCTGTTAGTCCAACTGGACTCATTTACAAAGTCCGAGGTATCTGAGGATGCTCAGTCAGTACTTGGACAATGTACCTCTGATACATCTCTCATATCAGAGTTGCTTGTAGACCATTTAATGGCATACATCCTAGAGGTGTCAGGTTCATCCTTTGGAGACCGCAGACCTGCCACTACTCTGGATTGTCGGGTACCTTCTTTCTGCCGAAGCTTCTCAGCTAAGAGCTTCCAGAAAATCCAGAGTGAGGATACTCGGACCAAGGCAGCTCAGGAAGTGAGTAAAATCTTACTCGAGTCTTCAAGCTTCCTTGTGAGTTCTCCACGTTCCCGGCATGCTCACACTAGCCAAAGACACTGCAGTGTGGAACCAACTCCGTCGGAATGCTTGGTTAAGGCATCCGACCTCGTCGATTCTGTCATTGATGGAATTTGCGAACATCTGGATTGTTCAACGTCACCCAATGGTTTGAAAGAAACACGATCTGAAGCTTTGGGTTGGATGGAATCAGGTGTTGACGCCCCTGAGGACATTCTGTGGTACACTGCATGTAGTACTTACAACAGTGCCATGAGACACCTAAGGGATTTTTCTGCAATGTATCAGCAGAAACCACCTAAGGTTGATCCTTTAGAGATCAATGTTGGGGGAACTGTTGGTAAGAAATCACATCTTGAAAGACCATCAGTGATCAATGAACACGAGCCACCCAAGAACAGAGAGATGGTTTCAATGGCCTCTTTACTGGACACCAATCAGGCCACTGAATCCTGCCAGAAAACAAAATCACAGTTATCCTGACGACACCCAGGTTTACTTCACTCTCTCACCAAAAGACTGTGGTCCCGTAGATACTTTGTGTCGGTGCTCAGAGCAAATCCTGAGTCGATCAGAGGAGGATGGGTTCCCCTTTTTGAGTCTTGGTTCCTCTCAAGGTTTCTTCCTCTTGCTCTTAGGGAGTTTTTCCTTGCCACTGTCGCCCTCTGCTTGCTCATTTGGGGCTCGGACCTGGATTTTCTCTGAACCTCCTTTGTGATGCTCGTTGTAAAAAGTGCTGTAGAAACAGATCTTGAATTAAAGGATCTGTCAACATCTCCTCCAGCTAAATCAACACAGAAGTTGTATTACTTGGCAGTGAGGAGGAAAGACCGAAGATCATTGCACACTTCAGAGCTCCAGTATCTAAAGACCAAGTCAGAAACCTGGGTGTACTGACGGATCCAAATCAAAGCTTTAATCCAGCCTGAAATTTTGGCCTGAAAACAAATTTGGACTTGGAACTGCCCTTTTACAAATAAACATTTAATAAATAAATTTTCAAATACTTGATTCACATGTAGAATAAAGGTTTTTACTCTTTGTTTACATTACAAATGTTTGTAAAAAAAAAAAAGTAATAGGTGATGTGGGTCTGTCTATCTATCTATCTATCTATCTATCTATCTATCTATCTATCTATGTATCTGTTAGTATGGAACATGTCTTTTAGTTTCCAGAATGTAGTCTACAAGATGTAGGGCACAGGGTTCAGGGTGTAGGGTGCAGGTGTTCATGGTGTAGGGAGCAGGGTGTAGGGTGCAGGGTTCATGGTTTAGAGAGCAGGGTGAAGGCCACAGGCTGTATTAAGCAGGGTGTAGGGCCCAGGCTGTATGATGCAGTAAGTAGGGAGCAGAGTGTAGGGCACAGGCTGTAGGATGCAGTAAGTAGGGAGCAGGGTGTAGGGCACAGGCTGTAGGATGCTGTAAGTATGGCTCAAGCTGTAGGGCGCAACTAGTAGGGCGTAGCGTGTGGACATGAACACTTCCTCATTTTTTTATTTCATTTGACTCGCTTATAAAAGCCACACTTACAAAAAAATCTTACAAAAATCGAAGCCTGTAAAATTAGGCTTTAATACTAATTAAAATTAAAATGTCTATATTTGTGTTGTAGTCATGGCTACACCTGGTTCCTATCACCACCACTGTAAAGAAACCTGATCCTGAAGCCTCGTTAAGCTTTGACTTTGTAGATCAGTAAAAAGTGCTTTTTTTTTTTTTAATCAATCAATCAATCAATCAATCAACCAATCAATAAACCTTTATTTTGACTCAGAAGTACATTGAGGGTGACCTTCATTTACAGTGTAGCTGAGCAAATTAAACAGAGACTGAAATAGTTGAAGTGAAATTGATCAACTAGAACAAGTGAAAATCAGCAAAACTAAAAGACGTATTAAACAATAAATAAATAAATATTAATGTAATAATAAATAATAACGGCTGAAATATGAAACGGGCAGAACCATTTCTCCATGTAAAGAAACATAAAAGCATTGAAATGGTTCTCTATATAACTCCTGGTTCTAAACAGAACCATTCCCTTTATTAAAGAGTCCTTAAAGAACCATCCTTTTTAAGTGTATAAAAATAGCCTAATAATTTCACTGAATTTTCTCGAAAATTGTTATAATCGATTATATATAATATAATATTGATGCAGTTGAATCACCTCCTCCAGATTAATGTGCTTTAGTCTGGATAAAGTGCGAATCTCCAACTACTGCTTTACTGCTTTTACCTTCCAGCGACGCCAGATGTTTGCATGCCACTCAATGTGTTGATGCATCTATCAACATATTATAAACATATTTATAAACATGCTATGTCAAAGAAACATGAAAGGAACAAAAAGAGGATCAATCGTTGAGCTTGGTTCAGCTTTTTCCTTTTTGTCCACGTTTTGCGCGCCTTGCGCATTATACGCGTAAAAGCGCAAAGAACGCGTACGTTTTGAAAAATCGATGGATTTGCCCTTTAATGTCTTCGTGCTGAAATGCAGGTAGGTTGGAAAAAAAAGGTGGAATTTATCAGTCTCATTCTGTCCATCACGATACATAAACTCCCAAGAGCTCTGGTTTTTAGGTGTTTTTTGTTGTTGCAGTTGTTATTGTTGTTATCCCGGTGCACTTACAGAATTTAACCAGCAGAGGTCGCCAGGTTTCGGCGTTTTGTATGTTTCGCACAGTTAATGGAGTTTCCTTTAATGATTGATTCAGTAAAGCCTCTCTGTTCTTCCTACACGTGTAAACTGGTTACCAGAAAACGATGTTTTTTTCTCAAGCTGTTTTATTTTGCAAAGGAAATATACTTCCACTTCTAAATATGTGTAAAGTTTGTAATATATCTCCGTATACATTTGACATACGCAAATACTAGAAATGAACACTTTTACATATATTTAATCTACGTGCTGCAGTACTTAACAAAAACAACAGAGAGCTCATATCACCCCCGTTTTGAAAGAACCGCACAGGCTACCTGTATCTTTTAGAATGGATTTTAAAGTTCTGCTACTAGTTTTTAAAGCTCAAAATGACCATAAAGCACCACGTACATCACACAATGTCTGTCTATGTTCGAGCACGTGATCCTAGTGCTGCAGACACTGACCTTCTGAAAATATGTTCCGTAAAATACAGAAAATACAGACTCTTTCTGTTATTAGGCTTCTAAACTGTGGAACACAATTCAATCTTTTATTGGAAGGGTAATATCTAATATATTTATATTAGACAGTCAAGCTCAGTGCACACTAAGAAATATCTGAAAACAGATCTATTTAATTTAGCATTTAATTAAAATGTTGCTGCTTTTTTGTATTCATCTTTTTAATGTATGTCACTGTCTTACATGATTTTAATTTAACACTCAATTTCTTCTATGACTGGTAAGCCTTATGATCTGTCTGTAAAGCACTTTGAGTGTCCACTGGTATGAAAAAGTCCTCTATAAACAAAGATTTTATTATTATTATTAATTATTATTATTATTATTATTATTATTATTATTATATACATGCATATATTTTAAGAGATGGACATATGTGCGCATACTGGCATATACTTAAACATTAAAAATAGCACAAATCAATATATTTAGCACAAACAGTGGGGTCCAAAAGTCTGAAACCATGTTGAAAATCTGGGATATTTTTCATTTAAACCAAGAATTTTATCAAATGTAAAACTTATTCAATTTTGACAAATAAAGAAGAAATATGCAAGATTCTGCACTATTTCTAGGTCACCTTTCAAAGCAAAATTAAGCTAATTTGGGACATGTACTTATATTATTCTTCCATATGGGTTTAGATCTACTTTTAATTGTCAATATAATGTTTTTGGACACATTAGTTGATTTTGTCTATCCAGAACAGTAAAAAAAACAATCAGCAAGAAAAAAAATGAACGTGTCATCAATGAAATCAGTACCATTCAATTCATCTGTGGGTAGTCAGATTATTAGAGTTTATTCCCTGTAGGGGAAACGTGTAATTACCTCTATACTCTTAATATTCCTCTTCATATACCATTGACCCTTATACCACACCTAGGATTCTGTGGATTTCTGATAGTAATGCACAGCCTCAATTTTCAGACCAGTGAGACTGATGTTTCTAGCGCAAAGAATTTCAGCTAATAAAATTTCTTGTAATGTCAGATGTCAGAAGAAACAATGGATGACAAAGTGTCTACAAACTAAGCAACATTTTTCATTTCTGAAGCGTTATAAAATTGATTGATATATCAATCAATGTACAAGTGAAGAGTCAACAGTGAACAATATGAACATGGAGCTGAGAGAGAATGGCAAAGATTCAGTGTAAAAATGGAAGATTGGAGAGATGAGAGAAACAGTATGAGGGGGAATTGATTTGTCATTTCTTCTTCTGTGGGTGGGCAAGCTGAAGAGAGGTGAAGAGAGGGTCAAGCAGTGACATGTTTGCGTCATTACGAAGCCTTGGCTGGTTCAGTGCTGTCTGCCTCAAAAACACATCCTTTTCCTGGAAAAAAAGAAAACAAAATGTATATAAATATTGATATGTTTATGCAGAAAAGACAAAAGTGCTTCAGGAGGCCTCCAGGGAATATCTGAGATTTGAGACTTTACCATCTACTTAAGGCCATAAGATTCCAAAGATATCCAATGCCATTACTGTTAGGGGAAGACAGATGCTAGACATGTTTGCTTCAAATGCTTAAATTTAAAACCTGCAGTTACGATGATTACATTACTTGTCATTTGCAATGTATAGGCCATTAATACAGGCTCTACTGACTAAAGGCTCAAGGCTGCCAAGTTAAATTCTTGGAATCCTAATCCCGATAGTCTGTCTCACCAGAGGTTCTGCTTCATACTGTAGCAGCCTGTGAATCATGGCTTCATCTTTCATTGTGACTGCTTGGTACATAGCAGTGCGGTCATTGTAGTCCTTACTGTACATGTCCACCCCTGACAAGATCCAGACATGGAGCATCGCATAATCTTTCTTTGCAACTGCCCTGTGGGTTAGAGGACAGAAGAAAGCTGCAATGTATAAAACACCAATTCAACAATGACATACAACAGTCTGAAAGAAAATTCACTACACAGCAAAGACACTGTCCTGAACAGAAGAGAAGAAAAGCTTACTGGATCATCTCCATGGCAACTTGCACTGAGTGCATTGTCACACTGCTGCCTTTCATGCACAGCACCTTCACAACATCACAGTGGCTGGTGTGTTAAAAAAAAGAGTTCCTCTTAATTCCTCTTAACAGTAAAGGTCAAAAGTTCTACACAGTCAGAGAGGGATTGATAAATTATCTTACTTGATAATTCATAATATATACATTTTTTTAAAAAGTCACTTTAGACTGCAATATTTACATTAACAAAAAAACATAGTTCCCTGGTTCAAGCAGTTTAAAGGGATTAAAGCATCCTACTGGACTGTGGACTAAAATCTCTTAAAATCTCTACTGTGTGCCATGTCGGATTTTCTGTTTTTTTTTTTCATGTTCTTGCACCCAGTCTGTTCATTCTACTCCATCTAAAGCAGAATAACTGAAACAAAACAAACATATAACAAAAATAAACAAAAAACAAAATAATGATTTACTATGTCAAAATAAATGACTAAATTAAAATAAAGACTTACTGTGTTGAAGTAATTACTTAAATTCTCTAAATGTCAATATTGAATAGCTGGAGATAAAATAAGTCATTATTTTGACCTACTAAGTTAAAATAAGTGTTTACTTAGACATAGTATGCCATTTAGGCTATTTCAAAATTTTCAAGACTACTATGAGAAACACAGATTTTTTTCTCCTCTACCTGGCAGGAATGGCCTTTCATAGATTTTAATTGTCATCTTTTTTCTCCCTAATATCAGTGTCTTGCTGCAAGACCCAGGTTTCCGTCTGATGACTCTGCCAAGAATTCTCTTTTTCCCCTTCATCTTTCTGATGGTGGAGTCATGAATGTTAGATTAGATAGGCCTGCAGATCCTGTGGGGAAGTCTTTTGCTTCCTTGTGGATTATGTTACAGCTTGCTTTCGGAAAAACTAGCAGAACTGAAGTCCTCTGGGAAGATTCCCTGTCATAGAAAACCTTCTCTACTTGAACAATGTGACTATGAATGTGCTTCAGTCTGAATGTGATTCAATAGATTTTCGAGACTAATAATAATAAGCAAAGCAGTAGCCTTCAGAAATGTCCTTACATTGTCCATTTCTTTGAATTTTGTGTGGATGGACAGTGTGTGGCAAAAGCTCAACCTTTTTAGAATTACGCAGCACTGTCTTTTTTTTTTTTTCCTTTTCATTCACACATGTCTAAGAACCTCAAGGCTGCAGAATTTGGCTTTTTTCCCCTGGACTAACATGCATGATTTCACCCATTGGCTACTTTGTAAGCTCTTAATGACCTGAATCAGAAAATACTGAAGCAATGAAATCAACGAACTGAGCAGTGGTGTTGCTCTACACTAGCGCACTCACCCCTCCTCTAGTGTGCTCAACTAAGTCCATCAAAGGAGGCAATGTGACTACAAGTATTTGCACCACAGCACAACAACAATTGATTTCACTAATGAGCTGAGCGCTTGACAGAATAAGGAACATAACCAGTGAAAGCACTGCATTACTTGCCAAGACCGAAGAAAATACTTAACACTGCAATCCACTAAACGTAACTCATGTTAAATGCAAAAAATGTTCAAAAAAATGTGACTCCTTGCAAATCCCAGAACTGTGCCTGTTTTTCATGGCCAGTTGCAGGGGGCAGGTGTCTCCAAAGTGGTCCTCCACCTGAAAGGAGGCTCCATTGTCCCAACAGGTACTTCACCATGTCTATATGACCAACCTTACAGGCTATATGTAAGGGCTCGGTGCGGTTATAGTCGTCACGGTTAATATACATCTGAGCAGCACAGGGGAAACAGAAATTTAGCAGAAATTATTAGGCAGTCATGAATATCACTTCCAAGAATGAGCAGTGAAGAACTATGGTGGAATTTTTTTTTTTTTAAAGTGTTCTGAATATAGTTCATTACCTTCACCAGGAACACATGCAGTGAGAGAAGGTCAGCATTTTCCAAAGCCCCAAGAACACAGAAGGGCATCAGTTCATCAACAGACACCTTCCACTCCTGAAATGACAAAGAGGGCTCTGATTCTGATGTGCTTAATCCATATCACCTGAATACAATCTGTGGTACAGACTGATGGGACAAAACTTTGTATCTCCATTTTTGTTGTTGTAACAATACCTGAACGCGCCAGCCGTCCTTTACATTGTGTTAAAATTGTATGATGAATGGATCAGTCCAAATTATTTGTTCTATTAACTTCCTTGCAAAATTAAGAGGGTTTTTTTCCTTCTCCTGTAAAGTTACTGTTTTGGAAATATGAGGTTTGTCCTCACAGAGACGATATGGTAGCTACCACCAATAAAAAAGAGATACTTGAAGGCTGATGTAGTCCACTAAACACTTTAGTAAAATCAAAAGTAGGCCAATAACATAAAGGCAACAAGAAACTGTAATTGCACATCACAAATATTCAGATGAAGTTAAACTTTTTTGGTGTATACTGAATGGTCTTAAACCTCAGAATTGTTCTCACCTTTGTGCTCTTGAGTGTGTGTAGATTCTGTTTTTACCTAAGAACAAATCCCAAATAAGAAAACACTGGCGAATGTCAGAATCTTCATGAAAACTGCGTAAGTGGGTTTCAAGAAGACATTTCATTTTCTCAACAGTAAAACTCAATGGGCCTCATTCACCAACTGTTCTCAAGAAGAAATTTCTTCTTAAAACCCACTTATGCAGGTTTCATGGAGATTCTGACATTCCCCTAGGACTGGGCAATATGACAATATATATATCATTACTGTGATAAATTACAATACCATGCAATACAATATGCTTTTCTGAACATGCACTGTATATCAGCAGTACTTGCATAATGCTGACCAACTGCATGTTTCACTAAAATGAGAGCAAAATTTTAAGAAAAATAAATTTTATTAAGAAAATAACTACATTTTCTTAAAAGCAAACTTGAGAATGTCCTTTGTTTTTTTTTGTTGTTTTTTTTTGGGGTACACGAAAGAACATTCTTATAAACGTCTTAGCGTTTGTCTTAAGATTCCTTGTAAGTTTATGTTAAGAAAGCTTCTGCGAATATGGTTTTCAGTTTTTGTTATGTTGACACCCATAGTTGGATTTCCTGCCGCTGGCTTCTCAGAAGAATCATGAGCATGTAATTTTTTGCTGTGGTTCAGGTTTATTTCTCATGTGGAGGCACGTTCCACAGGTTCCAGAATTGAGACCAATGGTTTGATGAATGTGGCAGTGATCTAAAGTAGGTGCCCACTCTGCAGACTATTCCCCAACAAAAAAAACCCCTAAAGTTTTGACTTTCGTAACATAACTTACCTGGTGTGCTGTAAAGGAGGGAGTAGCTACCTCCCCTTACAAACCAGAACAATTCTGAGAGTTCTGCAGATGAGTTAGGACTTATTCCACTTCTTCAAGTTCTACACTTAAAATGATGGTTCTTCAAGGGTTCCTTAGCAAAGAAAATGGTTTTATATATAATCAAGAACACTCAAATGATTAAAAAGTTCTTCGCATCATGAAAGAGTTCTTCAGATTGATGGTGGACATGCTGTAGATGGTTCTATATAGAACCTGTTCAAAAAGGGTTCGATATAGCGCCAAAAAGTGTTCTTCTATTGTAACAAGCTTGACATCGTAACAATAGAAGAACACTTTTTGGTGCTACATAAAACCCTTTTCAAAAAGGTTCTATATAGAACAGTCTATAGCATGTTCATCAATCTAAAGAAACCTTTCATGATGCAAAGAACCCTTTAATCATGCAAAGGGTGAGTGTTAAGTGTTCATGGTTCTATATAGAACCATTTTCTTTTCTTAAAAAACCCTTGAAGAACCATAATTTTTAAGTGTGTAAGAGTGTAAAGTCAGTAAAGAGTTTGTCCGTCACTAGAGGGCGCTCCCAAGCAAGTCGAAAATGAATGGGTTCCTAGAGCTTTTGCGCAAAATCATAGTTTGTAAATGCTTTATCATTCTTATTCAGAAATAAATAATCATTTTTCAACACAGAGCAGTATAATATTTTTAAACACGACTACATATTTTTTAATATTTTATATATTGTAATATGCAACATGTTTCATCGAAACAGTGTGCAACGGGCTCTGAGGTATGTTTCTCTTGTTTGACTGGTGTGTCAGAGTGTTACCGAGTCAGCAGTAACGTGTACATAAACCTGGTTGTATTAAAAATGCAGTGCACGCAATGGATTCCAATAAAGTCCTCTACAACTGCAGCTGCTGCAGCCCCACATACACAACAGTTAAAGGCTTTTTGAAGCATTAAACACATATTCAAACTCATTTATTCGGGCTCTGAAAGTTCTTTGAAAAGAACGCCAAGTTTGGCCTTCTCAGTTGCCATAGTTACAACGCACCACCGTTTCCGTTTACATAAACATTTTGCCAGAGCCGGTTTATGAGGAGTCTGGCCACTTCCTATTCCCACCGTTACATCAAAAACAGGACTGCTGAACAGCAGAGGGCGCCCGTGAGTGAGTCCTCAATGAATGGGAGTAAATGGCGCTCAACGGCTAAAAACGAAAAGTTAAAATCACTCGCCCAGAACGTTTCTTTAATTTTAGAAAGTAGAAGGATGTATTTCACTAAACAAACTAAGAAATCTTACCTATATATTTCCTACAGCAAACGGGTTTTGGGCAGCAGAAGGCGGGCTTTACTGCTAGAGCGTGATGATTGATTGGCGAGCAGAGCAGCTCATTGGCTGTTCGCGCTCACTGACGTCATGAACATACATGAGGTGCCAACTCCTATAACTCGAGTTTAAAAGCTCTTAAAAATATAACAGCGACGTTAAAATGTTTTCTGATATTCAGTGTTCAGGAAATGATTGCATTCTTTTACATTAAAAATGTTTAAGGATTTATAAACTACGGACTCACTCGGGAGCGTCCTCTAGCGTTCGAGAAAACCGGAATACATTGCAGAGTGGTAATTCTCCTCGCTACAAGTTCTCTGGTTTTGCTACGCTTTGTCGGGGGTGAACGCAGCCCTGTACTTAGCCACTGAGAAGCAGTTAATGTCAGCGTCCTACTGCCCAAAACCTATTTTGCTGTAGAAAAAGAGATACAGGTATGTTTTCTTTGATTTTTTAATGTAACATCCGTCTATTTTCCAAAATTAAAAGAAATTTCTGCATTAATAGCTGGAAACAAATTTTTAGCCGTTTAGCTCCATTCACTGCATTCACTGAGGTCTCACTCACGGGCGCCCTCTAGCGTTTTGCGGTCATATTTTTGGAGAGAGAGGAAATGCTCGGGATACCCATAATCTGACACTGGTTGTAGTCCATTTTCTAACTGCTTGAGGAACGTCTGGAACGGCTTTAACCACCATTAAGCCTGTCTCTTTTGGCGTATAAGCTACCTTTCTTGCTAGTTAACTTGTTTGCTTAACTTATCGGCTGATATGATACTGCACTGTCTGTGAGCTCACACTCAAACCTGCTTACATTTACAGAGACTCACGTAGAGTGACGAAAAGCTTCATTCATTGCTATTTTAGTTGTGCTGATATGAAATAATATAGCGCCTTTACGGTCTCACACATTCACACAAATGGCTACAAATAAACAGACTAATGTGTAGAACCAAACAAAGCTTATATTTTTATACTTCAGGTGTAAAAAACGTGAGCAAACACATGTTCTATGGAGGCACAAATGCTAATAGCATTAGCTTCCTAACTAGAATGTGTCACTGCAAAGCGAATACTTTACAAAGTAGTAATTCTAAAAATACCTTTCAGCATGTCAACTTACAATCTTAGCTTACATTCTGGTGCACCTGGCTCACCTAATAGTGCTTGGTGTCTTTGTCTTAACCATGAAGATTAATTAATTGGCTAAATTGTCGTTGGCATCAGCTGAAAATGTGACCAAAACAGAAGAGAATACCCTGGAGTAGGCTACCAATCCTGTTGGTACCAATTTCAAGCAGCTACTAACAAACATACAACTGTAACCTTCAGTACTTATGACTATTCCGAAAAGCATTATTCTAGTTTTTGCCCAAATGAGGGTGAATGGAGCCCAACGGCTAAAGACGACACCATAAAATGTTTTCTATTTGTCGAGGACCTTCCTTTAATTCTAGAAATTAGAAGAATGTATTTTACTAAGAAGCACTGAAAACTTAACTTTTTCCTTTTTTCTATAGCAAGCAGGTTTTAGATAGTAGGATTGTGGATTCTAGCTACTGCTACTGAGTGCTGATTGGCTGGCAAGCAAAGCAGCTCATTGGCTGAGTGAAGCTTTTTGCGCTCACTGACGTCATGAACGTACATGTGTCATTATAAATTCCTATTAAATAAATACATAAATAAATACACACGTACATACGTACCTATATCTAGAGTTCAGAAGCGCTCAAAAATATAGCTATATATATTTAAGTGTGTGTTAGCATGTTTTATGCTGTTCAGTGTTAAGGAAATTAATGCATTATCCTTTATAAAAATGTTTCAGCATTTACAAACTATGATTTTGCTCAAATGCTCCATATTAACCCATTAAGGGGAAGGGTCTTTGTTGTAACTCTGAAATGCAGAATACCTTTTATTCTAGGTATTCGTATTGCTTGGAACTCTCGAAATATGATAAATGTAAAAATGAAAACAAATGCCTACAAATTAAGATTTAAATGACTTTATAAACAAATAAATGTATTTTTATACAAAACATTTAAGCAACAAACTGACATCCTGCAGTAAATGTCCATTCAGTGACATCCAGTAAATTTATAAATGCATGCAACATTCATACAACATTTTAGAAACATAAAATACATGTCCTATAATGTTATTTTTCCCCCATGCAAATGTTTATTCAGTACAATTCTTAAAAACCTCCACAAAATGTTCTTGGAAGCAATTCGTCTAGGTAGGCTTTAACAAATGAAGATTGTGTAATATGTGGTAAACATTAAGCTGCACAGTGCTTCTTATTGCCCCTGAATGTGGGGCACACAGAAAAAGAAATACAACAGAAACGAATGGCTTGTTTTCTCTTACAGAGGCAGAAAAACCCAGTGCTCCTGTTGCCACGAAACAGAAATACTGTAGGGACAATTGGAAGAATTTCAGAAGGTTAAAGGCCACCAGCTGCAAGATCCAGCACAACACAGCTCTCACTGTCCATTTAAGGAAACATGAAAAACAACAGGCCTCTCAGAACCAGCACTCTCTTTACAGCTGAAATTTAACTCTTTAACAATACTGTTTAATGTAACTGTACTGCAGTTTCAAATGTTGAATGCATGTTTTTTATAAAATGCTGAAATAATCAAAAATATATGTCAAAACATACCATAAAGTAACATATTTAAGAATAAGTATAATAAACTTGAAATGTAGATGTGTGGCATCTGTTGGTTGAAGTCCAGTTTTTTGATGAACAGGAGATCTTCAATTCACCAGCTTTAAAAGAGAAAGAAAAGGGTTGTGAGTTCTGACCTCCAACATATGGATTAGACAGCATCATATGTGTATAAAAAGAGACTAAATAATGCATTGCTTTATAAAGCAAGTTTCTATCTATACCTATTTTCATTTGTTCAAATACATTACAAAGCCCAATACTTTGGGCTTTATTCTTCAGCTGTTCCAAATTAGGCATGCACAGCTGTAGCCAACACTCTGCGGTTGTAATATTCGATAAAGAACAGCTGGAAAGAATCAAGGCAGCCGTGCTCTCTCTCACACTCGGGGATCGAATGGAGTCTGAGCACTTTTGTAAACAAAACCAATCATTACTAAACGTTTGTTTTTCACTCCCAGCGCTGACAACATTTAACCCATTAAGACTACATTCTGGGTTTTCCAGTTTTAGACGTCTGTTAAGAGACAGAAGACAAAGGCCCGTCATTTGAGAATTCATTGAAGGAAGCGAAAAAAGTACTGAACATTGCAGATGTTTTGGGAAATGGAGAACGCATTTGGATTCTGGAATTTGCCCATCGCTGGAGTCAGATTAGGTTACAGATTGACCAACACCAGACTGTATGAGCACTGCATGAACCTTTGAACAAACTGAACATCTGAGAGTTGCGGCAATATTGGGTTTCAAGCAGAACTTTGTTTTTAACCCTTTATTAACTACAATGGAGAAATGCATTCATAACAGAAAGGAGTGGAGAGAAGCTGTGAATTTTTGATGTACTGCTCTTACCCTGTAGCTTATAAACCGTTTCCTTTCATTGTAGAGTATGTATGAGAAAGCAGAGGAGATGACAGTCTGTACCACGTTGAGGCAGGTGAGAATTGACTTCATTTCTTTGCTGAACATCTGAGGACGATAAAAAGAGTAACTCTCAAAATATCAGTGTGTCCTTGCTGATTAGTGTACATTGTTTAAAAAGGTACCAACAATAGAAAACATTTTCATGACACATATCAGGGTTAGCATCAGTATTTAACCCTCAGGGGTCCACTAACTTACGTCAAATTTGATGTTTCAATATATGTTACTCTATCTTTGCGATAATACAGTGCAGAAATTTGGTTCAAACATTTCCTGAATCTGTAGAGTCGCCCTTTCCATTCCATCGTATCTCCAGATCGTTTGTGACTCACATCCGGAGTTATGAGGCTATGAAGAGGGGCTGAGATACACGTCATTTACCTCTCACCATGTATAATTGGTGGATTCTGTCTACATTTTGTGGGCATTTTGTGACAAACTGACCAATAGACCCTCAGGAAATCACATCGGAAACCCTTCATTCTTCATTCAGTTGCCATAGGACACACATGAAATGGCACGCAAAGAATTTGAGACTTATTGTTTTGGAAAACAGTGGTGGAGCATTTTAATATGAAGCATATCGATGCTGTCCAAAGAAAAACAAGTATCTCCAAAATACTAACTTTACAGGAAAAGGCAAAACACTGTTACCTTTTAATGTAAGTTAATGTAAAGAAATTTTATTCCAAGTGATTTAGAGCATTTCTATTGGTTCATTTATAATAAAATTTTCACACAACCTGAAGGAGAGCTGGTGTATTGATATCATGTAGAAAAATAAACATTGACAAAAATGGAGATACATGGTTTTCTTTGGACAGTGACGATAAGGGTTTCATGTTATATGCAAGTGACTTTAAACGTGAATTTAAGAAGATATGCAAAAAATGTCCTTAGACCCCAGAGGGTTAAAGAAAACTGACAAACTGTATGTTTCCTTATAAAATTATTAGGACTGTTTAATTAGATTTTGTACAGCACAGTTTGTGAAATCTTCAAAAAGTTGATTGTATTCATAGGTTTAGTAAAGTATTGTAAACTGTGGCAGTATTGTTTTTTTTCTGCTTCAACTTATCAAATCTTAGATGTTGTGAATCATGAAAATGTCTTGAATTGTCATGATATTTTCACCATATTGCACAGGCTTAAATATGTAAAGGTAACCGAACTGAAAGGTTATATTCATTGCTCTTAAACATACATTAGCATAATGCAGTTCGTCGCATAAGTGGTCCATGTTGGAATGGCATTCTGTTTCTGAGTTCTTAAAAATGTCAACAACGTAGAAGATAAGTGCGATGACTGAGATGAAAGCAGCCAGCACTGTGACTGCCAAGCACGTAAGAACCTAGAGACAGAAGACAGACAGACAAAAGCTTACAATCGCTAACTCACTTTCTCCATTTCACTTGTCAACATGCTGACAACAGTGTTAAAATTTGACTGTTGTGGAAACAGTGAGTGGAAATGAACTGATGAAGTTTAACATCTGCTGCAAAGGAACAGAGCAAACATGATGACCAGCAAAGTAACGAGAAATCATACAGGTGTCCTTCCGCAACCTATTTACTTTCCCTTTTCTCCACTATTGTGTTGGACACCCATTGGGAAATGTCACATATTTTTTTCCATTTCTGCGTAATTAAATGGTTAAGATGTAAACAAAGTCATTCAGAGAGGTCTAATTTTTAAGTATATTATATTTTAAAATTCAGAATTTTAGAGAAACTTCCTGAGTCAGAATTGTTCACACTGGTCTTGATAGGAACCAGATGTCTGATGATTTTAATGCCTCTGAAAGCTCCCTCACAGAAAATGTGTGGTAATGAATGTGCTGCCTGATGTCTGAGACTTTGTTCAATGGTAATTCGGAGAGAAAAACCTGGGGGTCAGGACCCCCATGGCCCCCTCACAGAGCAGGTACTATTTGGGTAGTGGATCGTTCTCAGCACTGCAGTAACACTGATGTGGTGGTGGTGTGTTAGTGTGTGCTGTGCTGGTACGAGTGGATCAGACACAGCTGTGCTGCTGGAGTTTTTAAACACTGTGTCCACTCACTGTCCACTCTATTAGATGCACCTGCGTTGTTAGTCCACCCTGTAGATGTAAAGCCAGAGACGAGAGCTCATCTCTTGCTGTACAGTATGAGCTAATCATCCTCTAGTCCTTCATTAGTGGTCACAGGACGCTGCCCACAGGATGCTGTTGGCTGGATATTTTTGGTTAATTGACTATTCTCAGTCCAGCAGTGACACCGTGGTGTTTAAAAACTCCAGCAGCACTGCTGTGTCTGATCCACTCAGACCAGTGCAACACACACTAACACACCACCACCACGTCAGTGTGACTGCAGTGCTGAGAATGATCCACCACCCAAATAGTACCTGCTATGTGAGGGTCCATGGGGGTCCTGACCACTGAAGAACAGAGTAAAAGGCGGCTAACAAAGTATGCAGAGAAACAGATGGACTACAGTCTGTAATTGTAGAACTACAAAGTGCACTATATAGTAAGTGGAGCTGATAAAATGGACAATGAGTGTAGAAACAAGGAGGTGGTCATAATGTTATGCCTGTTTGGTGTGTATATATATATATATATATATATATATATATATATATATATATATGTATATATATATATATATATATATATATATATATATGTATAAATTAATCAGCTGAGCAATGCTTCTCTGGCTGTTTTACCTGAAATAATGATTATTTTAACTCACCAGTTTTATGCTGTTGCGTTTTTCCATTACTAAGGCAAAAGCACCTGCAATAACAAACTGGAAAGAGAGGATCGTGATAGTGCTTTTAAGTACCACTAAGTTCATTGCAACTGATATCAAGATTTCTCTGGGCCAGTATACTAGCTTTCAATTAAATAGCACAAGTGATCAGATTGAAATCAATGTGTCTTACCGATATGCCGCTCCACCATGGCACACCAAACCTGACAATTTCTGTGAACTCACCGGAGAGCAGTGGAATAGAATAAGTGATGACTAGATATCCCAGCATCACCTGAGAAACCTAAGAGACAGAGCACCAGTTTAACCTTCAACAATAAGCTAAAACATCAGTTTCATGCATCAAACCATGCAAAAATTGTAATCTGTGCTCCACATAGTTAATCTTTCTTCAGTTTTTCAAAATAATGTTTGCAAAATGTAGGTTGTATGTAGTTTTCCTACATTTCTATAAATTCTGAATTTTCACAGGTAATATTTAAAGCTACACCAAATTGTCCTAATTGCCTATGTTTTCTCACAAGAGAATAATACTATTTCCTTCAAACCTTTCTGTTTGGTTATGAGCTATTAATCCTTCAGTGTTCATTATTTTCTAAACATTATGTATTTGTATAAGAAGAATATAAACATACTAGATCACTAAAGAAATAAAAACACTTCTAAAATAATCTTTATAAGGTCACACAAAATCTGTATCCTTTTTTGAGAGGTAATGTTCTTGTGAAAAGCTACAATTCCACCATTTATATTATAGAAGGGCTCAGTGATTGGTGGTGTGGTAGGTTTCACTCTGACACTAGTCTCTCAGATATCCTTTAAACAGGTGTCATTTTAGCATCAGTTAGCTGGAACTGAGCCTGTGCTGTGGGGTGGCATGTTTGGCCTGCTTACTAAGTGCTAGCTTAGTCAAATGCTCCAGTACCAAATAAGGCTGTCACGGTTATGAAGTTCAGCTGACGATTAATTGTCATATAAATGACTGTGATTAGTGATTTAATTATTTTTTGCTCACTGTCTGAAACTATTAAAGTACAAGCCTAAAATGGCCAAATTAGCAGATCAGCCATCTTGTTTCCTTGCTATGTTTCCTTAGTAGCAAACACTAACACTTAGTAGCTAACACATACTTTCTTACAAGTGAAAATACAAGCAAAAAACACTCATCCTGCTAGCACACATGCCAAAAAAGAAACATTTCTTACACTGCCCTATAAATTTGTTAGAGCACCAAGTTAAAAGTTTTTGCTTTGCTGATTTCTTATATTTTACATTTATTTGCCTCAACCCAGCTCATCCAATTCACACTTTGCTTGCTGCGGCATAATGTGACTGTGGAACATGACTGCTTTCATCTCAAACAGTTGCGATCCTCTAAAATGATTGCGATAAGGTGATCATGTAATAACAGTGACGGTCCCAAACACCACATAACAGGTTCAATTTTGTCTTCCTGTCACTCCAACACCAGTCACTCAACTTGTGTTCACTCAGACATTGTATCATCTACACTTTTTTTCAACAGAGCATCAGTAAGACTTGAACCTGTACTGTGATGTGTGGCACTCTGTGACTAAGCTAACTTTAACTTTAACAAATCCTAAGAACCACAGAACAGGTTTAGTTTTGCCTTTCTGTCACTTGAACACCAGTTGCTCATAGTCATTCCCTCAGATCTGGATCATTATCATCTCCTGTCAGTGTTAGTTAGCCAGAATCAAAAATGTTCTTTGGTGAGCAGAGCTGTTATCATGATAGCTAAGCTAATGCTAACCAACTCCTCTCTCCTAGTTTGCAGCACTCCTTAACATTTAGCAATTCTTAGACAGATGGTTTGACATTTATTGAATGATGCCTTGAAAACCATGCAATATGTTCACTTATTTAGTAACCAAATAAAGGAAGGTATTAAAAAAAGGGGGATACCACCCAAACCTAGAACCCAATACATATTCTGTCCTATATAAATTTACTGACCATAAAGATGCAAACAAACCACAAAAACATAGAGTGGTAGAATGGTTCCTAAATCGTAATGGAGCCATTTTTCATTCCTGTAGCCAACAAATACCTCATACGTGGCTGTCAAAACCATACTCTTCACCAGCACTTAATGCTCTTAAATTTTGGCCTGTAACCTTAATGGAACTGAATAATGTTATGAACAAACTCAAGAACACTGCTGCTAGTATGAATGATTTCAAGCCAATGTTATTAAAAGAAATGTCTCCCATCATTATCAAAACTATTACTTCACCTTATCAACCAGTCCCTAATTACTGCTCAGATAGCAAACAATTCTGGGCCAATTCTGGCTTTCCTACACAAGTGTTGCTTGACTACTGGCCAGATGTTAGGCATGTGGACCAAATTCAGGGCCAGATCCTGGACAACTTCATACAGTTTTGCCTTGTGTCTATATTTGTGGACCAATGCTGGCATGAATGTTATTGACCAACAATGTTGTTGGGCCAGATTTGGGCCACATCCATTAGTTCTACTTACTTTACAGTGTGAGCCCAGATCTGGGCCGAGGACCTAGCCATATGCTGGGTCAGAATAAATGCAAGGATATAGCCCAATTAAATGGGTGGTGCATTTCCCTAAATGGGCAAAAGTTATCCCATTATATAAATCAGACGACCCCACAGCTTTCTCTAATATTATGAAAAACATGTTTACAACCAAATCATTTGTCATCTTGATAAATACAAACTATTATACCGCCACCAGTATGGTTTCCGGGAAAAACATTCTCCCTCCATGGCCCTGGTCGAGCTAACTGAGAAAATTTCTAGTGCACTTGATAATGAAAAACCCATAGGAGTCTAATAGCTAATAACAGTCATTGTATCTTGCTACAGAAGTTACCATATTAAGGCATTCAGAATTTGGAGTTAGAATGGTTAAAAAGCTATTTATCACATAGAAAACAGTGTGTTTCATGGCAGATCTCTTGTTCACATAGATGTGGAATTCCTCAAGGCTCAATATTGGAGCCCCTATTGTTTTTAATATATGTTAATGATCTTTATTTGGACGCAAAGAATGTATTCTTTATTTTGTTTGCTGATGACACCAATATTTTTCTGTCTGAGAAAGATGGTTATAAATTAATCTCATCTATTCCCATCTGGTATCAGGTATCATTCACTGGTTTAAAGCTAATAAATTATTCCTCAACATTAAAAAAAGTTCATATATACTTTGCAGCCCTAAAAACAAAAAAAGGCATTGACAGTGTTCCAACAGTGTGTTTGTCTAGTCACACATTAACTCGGGTCCACTGTACTAAATTTCTTGTCAGTACTCACTGATGACAAATTGTGCCAGCAAGAGTATTTTTTCTTAATTTCAAACAAATAGCAAAATAGCAAATTAGCAAAAAATATCGGTGTCGGCAGAAGAATCAAATTCATACTGCCACAAAAAATACTTCTTAACTTGTATTACACCTAGATTTATCTCTTATTGCAATATTACCAGGGCCAGCACTTTCAAAAGTAACATCAGTTGTCTACACATCTATCAGAAATTATTGTTAGAATGGTCACTCCAGCTCATTATTATGTAAAGTCTCATCCACTTTTCCAAAACACCACCTCATCTAATAAAGTCATATAAGCTTCAAAAAACAGGTTAAAATTCATCTACTTTTATTCTTATAAGCCCAAATGTAAAATACCGAACACATTCTGCAATTGTTGCAATTGGTTTAATGTGTTTTTATTTAATTTAGATTAATTATATATTTTTTTTTCTTTCTCTGAGAGAAAGTACTTTATACAAGCCCTTTCTGGGCTCACTTTCCCTGCAAATTCTTTTGTTTCAGAACAGTTTTGGTCACATTCTGCTTTCTCTATTGTACCTTATTGCTCAAACAATGAAAAAAAATTAAAACTCATACTGCTTCCTCAGAATAAACTTCCTCAAGCTAATTACACCCTCAAGCTATTTCCCATATCCTGTTACATGTCAATGACATTTTTAAGACCTAGGAGATGATATTCTCATACTTTGAGAAGATGCTTGCTGCAGCTGGAAAGTAAGAAAATAGTTTTCATGGCCAGTAAAACAGGACGCATGTTGGGTGCCTCAGCAAGAGTCACCATGCATAATATATCAGGTTTTATGCAGTGTTCCTACTTTTTTAGCAAACCTTGTAATTGTAAATGTAACGTATGAAGCAACACCATCAGTTCAAAATGATTTCACAAGTAAACATTTTTTTCTAAATAAAAAGTAACGTTATCATTATGTAAAATGTACAGATATACAATAACTCATTTACTATTTAATGTTTTGTACATGATTTATTTTACTGAGATGCACAATAGTAAAATACATTATGTACAAAACTTTAAATAATGAAGGAGTAAATTTTATGTCAACATAAAATCACTTTTTTTATTTAGAAACAAATGGAAGGAAATTAATTTTTACTTGTGAAACCAATTTAAACTTATGGTACAGCTTCATATGTTACATTTAGAATTACAAGATTTGCTAGAAATGTAGAAACACTGCGTAAAACCTGATATATAAAATTATTTTTGCAAGAATTATTTTAAAAACGGACAACTTTCAGGGATGAAATGCTGCAAAATCTGACATAAATATAATATTTCAGTTCAGTTCGGTTTAAGCAGTTATACTCAATACTGACAATGTGATAACCTTTAAATTCATAGGTTAAAAACTAAGCAGAGCACAGTTCTGAAATTTTGCATGCTTGCATGAATTAAAGTTTTGCTTAAACTTTTCATGAAAAGGTGATCAACTGACAGCCCCAAGGCAAGTTACTGTGGAACGACCCAGTGATTGTTAGAGGATTCTTTGGAAATGTGAATAAAAACCAAGACGAGGCTCAAATGGTATTTGATCTCCTCTTGACACAATCACTTACCCCCATTGCCTTGGGTTCCCCTTTCTGTATGCTCTCTCTCAAGATCTCCTGTTTGTCCGTTAACTTTTTCACAATGTGGTCTTCGCTTACGCTGATAGACAAGTCACTGGACACCGTCACTGCCATTCTCTTTCAATGCCTAGAGACATTCAACAGAGAGAGGGGCAGAATCATAGCCAGCTTTGTTAGGCAAGTTTCTAATTGAAAAAGCAGCATAATAGTGCAGCATAGTAGTGACTGGGAGAAAAATTGTCTTGTGTTAAAAAGTAGTAAAGATGAATGTATTTTCTGCCCAACAGTTTTTAAGGCTAAGAATGGAAAAAAAAAAAGATTCCCAAACAAAACTTGTCTGACAGGTCTGTTCATACATAGTTGCCATTCATTTAAAAGCTCAGGCTATCTTGTATGCTTGTACTTGAAGCACCATTCAGAATTAAATTACAATGTTGCTCTTCCCCAAAGGTATGTTGACATTCTAGTTTCTAACATCATGAGAAACTGCAAGGAAGCAGGAAAGTGGATTAAGTACATTTTACTTGAACTGGAACACTTCCAATATACAGTCCAGAGAAAGTGCGTTTGCAGATGCGAGTTCGTATAAACAGACAGGAAGAGGGAGGTGGCTTTTTTTTTTGGCACCTCTGCACTAAAGTTTGCTGCAGCTGAGACTGTTTTATAGCAGTAGGTCATCTTTCAGTGAAAGAGATCTTGTGCTGATCTATCTCCAGGCCATGGTGATTGCAGTGTTCTCATTTTATTGTAGCTATTTTGCCATTACTGCCATTTCCCTAGCTAAATTACAAAAGTAGGATTTGTGTCAGAATAGACATTTATGAATATGAATATTTATATTTATTATGTAAAACACTTACAACCCCATTTCTAAAAAAGTTGGGACAAAATGTTAATAAAAACAAAATGCAATGATGTGCAAATGATTTAAAGCCTATATTTATTTGAAAATGCTTCAAAGACAACATATCAAATGTTGAAACTGAAAAATTTTATTGTTTTTTGAAAAATATATGCCCATTTAGAATTTGATGGCAACAGCACATTCCAAAAATGGGGGCAACAAAAGGCTGGTGAAGTTGTGTAATGCTAAAAAAACACCTGGTGGTTGACAGGTCAGTAACATGATTGGGTATAAGAAAGCATCCCAGAGAGGCTGAGTCTTTCAGAAGTAAAGATGGGGAGGGTTCACCACTCTGTGAAAGACTAACAATTCTCAACATAAAATAGCACTTTTGCTTTTCATCATCTACGGTACATAAGAACATTAAAAGATTCCGAGAATCTGGAGAAATCTCTGTACGTAAGGGACAAGGCCAAAAAACAGTATTTGCTGGCCATGATCTTTGCCCTCAGACGGCACTGCATTAAAAACAGACATGATTCTGTACTGGAAATCACTGCATGGGCTCAGAAACACCTCTGAAAACCTGTGGAAAACAGTTAGTCGTTGCATCCACAAATCCAAGTTAAAACTCTAAAACGCAAAGAAAAAAACATATATAAACAGAATTCAGAAATGCCGCTGCCTTCTCTAGGCCCAAGCTTATTTAAATGGACTGGGGGAAAGTGGAAAAGTGTCCTGTGGTCCAACAAATCAACATTTGAAACTTTCGTTGGAAATCATGGAACTGTGCACAGTTCAAAAGCCAGTATTCATAATGGTATAGGGGTGCATTAGTGCACATGGCATGGGTGACGTGCACATCTGTGAAGGCCCCATTAATGTCCAGATGACGTCTTTTTCAGGGAACGCCTTATTTATTTCAGCCAGACAATGCCAAACCACATTCTGCATGTATTACAACAGCATTGCTCCGTTTTAAACTGGCCTGCAGTCCAGACCTGTCACCCACTGATAACATTTGGCACATTATGAAATGAAAAATATGACAAAGGAGACCCCGAACTGTTGAGCAGCTGAAATCCTATATCAAACAAGAAAGGGAAAACATTTCACTTTTAAAACTACAGCAACTGGTCTCCTCAGTTCCCAAACACTGAGAACAGAGTGTTGTTAAATGAAGAGGTGATGAAACACAGTGGTAAACATGCCGCCATCCCCCAACTTTTTTGGAACTTGTTGTTGGCATCAAATTCAAAATGGGCATAAAACAATAAAATTTCTCAGTTTCAACATTTGATATGTTGTCTTCGTAGCATTTTGTTACATTCTGCATATTGTTGCATTCTGTTTTTATTTACGTTCTGCACAGTGTCCCAACTTTTTTGGAAATGGGGTTGTATATTGGTGACTAACATTCTATTTAATTTCTACTGACTGCTAGGGGTGATGTGAATCACTGTGGATGCTGAATACCAACAAAGCCACAAAAAATGCATCACTGAATACTCTGCGTGAGAATGATGCTATACAACCAGAAGAACTTGTTGGGACAAATAAATCATCTGATGGATGAATGTCAGCACTCAAGACCACATAATGCCCCCAAGCCTGGAGTGAATGTCAAGTATCATGCTCATCCTTAAAGAAAGCCATTCAACGCGGTACTACAACCACGTGATATGCATGGTATGTGTCTGCAAAAACAGAAGTATATCTCATTTACTAACCAATAACTAACCAATGCTAACCAATACTAACCATACTTCAAATACAAGTTTTAATGTAAAGAGTTTTTTTCAAATCAGTGACTTTATCTTGCTCTGAAAGGCCTACTGCTTGCATAACACCCAACTTTCTCCAACATGCACCAACAGATGTTGGGAACTAGCTGTGTGCTATGATGTTGTAGAAGTGTTGAAGAGAGGGTGTGGGGATGACTTGGGCATGGGCTAGATGTGAAGCATGCATGATAATGGACTATATCTTCTTCCTACACCAGGCGATGATTTTTTTGAGGTTTGAGGCCCTGTGCTGTCATGTTACCAAACCACACTATAAAGCAGCTGGAGACTAAAGACTAAAGCAATCAACACATTTACATGCACTTGGGTAATCAGATAATGGGAAAACACCAGGTCTACATGAGTCAGACAAACAGATTTCTGCTTTGCAACCAACCAATAAACTCACAGAAGAAGAGGTGCCATAAAAACTCAAACTTCATGCTGTGGCTTTTTTTGAACATTGAGCTCATGGCATGTAATCACACAAAATGTGCATTTTTCTGTGGTTATTGGATTATTATGTGCATGTAAACACACTCACTGATGCAGGAGTAAAGGTTTACCAAGATTACTAGGCTAATCCCAAAGCTCGAGTCTCCTCAGAAAGTGCAGTCTCTTTTGAGAATGCCTCTGGTGTTGAGGGACCGTAAGAGAATGACTTCTGAAGGTACAGACAATTTCCATAGGAGAACCATCGATGTTTTTTGGATCACCTCTGTTCTTCCTGAAGTCAACAATCAGTTCCTGAGACACAAGACAGATCATGTGCCTCACTCCTGCTGGCACTCTCGTCATTGTTGTTTATGAGACACATCATAGTGCTGTCAACTGCAAACTTAATGATGCAATTATTTCTGTGCTTGGCTACACAGTCATGCATGCAAAGTTTGCATAGCAGGAGCTGAGGCTGCAGCACTGTGGAGACCCAGTGTTCAGAATCAAAGTAGATTAGACTCTGTTGCAGGGATTAGAAACAGTACAAGCATGAAAATGAAAACTACTCACAAAGCATAATCAAAAACAGAAAAACGTCTGGTGAAAACTTAGTGAAAAGTTAAGCTATTTTAAAATGTGTTTAAATAGTTTATAATGTTGTTATTTTTTTCAGTTAACTTTCATTAAATCAAGGAAATTAACATTTTTCAAACATTTTCTAAATTGTACTTTCACTTCTGCTCCAGCACTCTACACCCCCTTCTCTGGTTGATAATTGGGTAGTGTGTACAGCATATAATGGGCATAACAGAACCATGTCTCTTTATATTTATACATTTTTATCTTTGTATGCCATTTAAGCCCAGTAGCTGCCCTTTATAGTCTGTGACCATGATGAATGGACCAATAGGAACTGTGCAAATTACTTATAATTAAATCTTTTTATATTAACTTAAATTGAAAGTTAGCAACATTTAGAAAGTTTCCATTTTGGAGATACATGGATTTGTTAGGACACTGATGATATATTAGGCCTATTAAAATAACAATAAGACTAAGTCAGTCACTGTTGAATTGTTTTCAATCAGGTTTACTGCGAAATAAAACAAAAGTTTTACTCTAGAAGTTGAAAGTGACATTGTCCCTGTTTTCCATTACTTTCTGTGTTGTTTATTTTCAATTTTGTTTTCATTCCCCTGTTTCTTATTTATGGTCTGCGGTCTGTTAGACAAAAAAGTTAAATATCCATTTATAAATCTTAAGTTACACAGATCAAAGCTATGCTTTAACACCAGCTTGGGTAGAACAATGGTATTGAAAGCAAAATTGTGGTCAACAAACCACATTTAGACATTTTCTTCTCCAGATGTTCAAGTGCTCAGAGCAAATGAAATGACACCATCCATTGATATGGCGGTTGTGGTCATAACCAATCTTAAGCAACCTTAAGGCCCAGAGCATCAAGGTTTACTTCTAACATATGTCATTCCAGGCACTACAGTTACATGGTGGTGTTCTGGTGAACCATTATGGTGGTCTGGCAGCCCATTATGGGTTGTAAAACACAGTGGTTGCCATACTGAATAAGTGTTCCAAGATGATGGAGTTCAGAGGGAAGACATAAAGCAGTAGGTCTGTCCATGTGTACCCCAGTGCATCCAATCCCAAGGGCCAGACACATTTGACGGGGAAAACTATAGCCATGTTGGCTGACATTATAAGCACATGGTGGTACCATTGTGTACCAAACAACATGGTTTGTTGTCATAGTTTCCCATCTTGTTATACATTGCGATTTCAGTGCTATTTATCTGAGGGAAAACCAGTGGTAGCCCTGCAAGACAAAGTTACAGCCAAATACAATCATGGCGATTATCTTCTAGGCTACCAGCTGTAGCTCCATGAGGTACAGATAATTGTGGCAGCCTGCTAAAGATGAGCCTTGGTGCTAAGTTCCATGCTAAGGTTTTGTCCTGCTGAGGTGGTAACTATTACAAGCAGTGTGCAAGCTTGGGCCTAAAGCACTCTTCCTTCTGGAACACTGATATCATGCTTTAACTTTATTCATGCATTCGTCAGTCAGAAACGGCTTCAGATGATCATTTTACACGGAGGGCAGAGGTCATGGCTCTCACGGGGAATCAGGCACAGTGCCTACTGGCTGAGTTATAGCGTGAGATACCAATCGTAGCTCTGCTAAGCTGTGCAAGCTGTTGTAGCTTTCGCTGAAGCTGAGAGATAGTAGCCCAAGCTAGGAGTCATTTTGTGGTCAAGGGTGCTAGTCTGGGGTAACTAATGGTAGCAACCAGTAATGGTTATGTCAGCAGTACAACAGCAATCCAAGCTGTTACCCTGTGTTACTGTGAGAGGAAGAGATCTATTCTCACAATGCAGAGAAATTACATCTCGATATGCAATCTTGAGGTATTTACTGTGACTCACACTGCCTCTGGAAGTCAGTAGGAATTAAATAGAACACAAACACTCACACAGCTATATCCAAACAGATAGGACTTCTAATTAGTAAATTCAGCAACAGATGCTTTGTGTACTAAGATGCCCCACTGCAGTTCTGTGAGATACTCAGAACTTAGAAGTAGTTTTTTGACCTGATACTTTTGTACTTCTACCCGAGTTTTTTTTTTGAGGAGGTACTTGTACTTTTACTTCTGCCATTATTTTACTCAAGTATCAATACTTTTATTTGGATGACTACTCTACTTACCTTTGTTACTGACATAGGTGCTTTATTGTGCACACTAAGCTTGTATAATCTCCACAGAAAAACACTGCCAATAGAATAAGAAGCTCAGGAGCTGCTGCACATGACCCTAAGGTCACCATGCCCAGTGCCATGCGCTGGTGAGATGAAAGATGGTATTAGGCTGTGAAGCAGTGGAGCTTCGTTCTCTGGAGTGATGGAGCTCCATCCAATACCTTTGGTATGAGTTGGATTGTAGTTTGTAATCCAGAACTAATCATCCAAAGGTACCTGACCTCGCTAATGCTCTTGTGTCTGAATGCAATCAAATCCCAACAGCCATGTTCCAACATATTGGGCCAGTTTTCCAAACCCAGCCTAAGCACAGAATTCCTGATTGTATTCCATTAATTCCATTTTCACTGGAATTAAGTCCAAAAATACGTCTCATGTCTGAGAAATCAGCCCCCAATGTGAAGCCTTCCCAGAAGAGCAGAGGATGATACTGTAACAAAAGGGGTGGACATGCCCCCCATTCCCAACTGCTTATTCATGTCATGATTCATACAAATGGACTGTTTTATTCTGTGGTAGCTAACCCAAACTATAAATTGTGACTGTTAATAGTATGTGCAGCACAGATAAATACAGAAATGTATTACTACGCACAGAGTGTAAAACCACAGAGCCCTTAAGGTGATCTGGTGATTTTTTTTATTAATTAATTTTTTTAATAAGGCGTGGCCATAAATTAATAGATTGAGGCAGTGAGTTACTATATCGAGGCTACAAATTACTATACTGAGTAGAGCCCAACCGATATAGAAATTTTAAGACCAATTCTGATTTCGATATTTGAGGACTGAAAAATCCGATATATCTGTCAATGTTATTTTTTTTTTCATTTAGGCAGAATAAGTTAAACACTATGGTTTAAAGGTGCAATTGATAACATTTTTAGTTGAAAACATTGCAAAATGAACTAAAATTATCAACAGAATGTAAAGAAGTAACAGTTTTGACTTTATGTCAAAAGCATCAATGTGTGATGTTGCAGATATCTACTGAAGTTAGCATGCAGACCAGCTAGACCCAGCCCGTACTGTCTCGTACTACCACTTTGTACCTCAAGACGCGATAATGAGCCACTGTCAGATCAGCCGTCACTCCAACATGTGAGGATGAGAAAGTAGCACTGCCCCAAAGGCGTATTCTAACCTCTTGTCAATTAAAGTAACTTATTATAGACCATTTAAGGACAGGTAGCCAATTAAAGGAACAAGGCAAGCAAACTTTATCACCACTGCTGAAGCAAAGCAAGAGTTAACATTGCTTTCCACCACTGGAGACATCTCTCAAAGAGTAGCGGGATGAAGTTTGACACTGAACGTTTCTTCTAGACTGGTAAGTAAACAGCTGTTAATGCTAACATAGACTATTTAGCTATGGCTTATTAGCGTACCTTAGTTTTTCAAGTTACTGAATATGTTTGAATGATCCGTTTGATAAGTTAGAGGAAGGACTGTGCCCTGTTCTATTCCCCTGTTTCTTACGATAGGGGTGGACATTCCCAGTGATATGCTGCCCCCTATTTGTTTGGAGTGTGGAATAGGAATTCGACAGGTTCTTACGTACAATCGTACATACTGTTTCTTTAATTGCTCATTTATGTTAGTTATGTCCCACTGATACATACATAGCATTAGCTAGCTTTGTGGGTAACCTAATGTATCAATAAACAGCATTTTAAGCGATGATGCTGGAGAATTTTTAGAAGTGACGAGCTATAGAGAAAAGATTTGACCGTTGTTTTTTTTTTACTTGCCAGAACTGCCACTACATTAATAAATCTACTATCAAGCTTATCAACAGTTTAGCCTACATCTCTCGCCTACCATAATGTGAAACGTAGGCTAATCGTGATGTTTGCTTGACAGTACCGGTGTTCTAACAACTTGTCCCTTTGAGCGGTCCTACCGAGCATGCGCACATCATTAGTACAAAGTAATAACTTTTTAATTCAGTACAGGCTCAGCTTAATATTACTATTTGCCGATAAGCTGATTTAGACTATTATAAACATCCTCATTATTCCTTTAATGCTGGTAACATTTTCAAATTACTTTGGAGGCCACAAATTGATATATAGAGGCCAAGAAAAACTTAATTTGTGTCCTCAATATATGAATTCGTTGCCTCAATATAATTAGTTACCTCGCTTTGTTAAAAAATACTCACCATGTCACCTCAGGGGCTCTAAAACTAACGTGAATTTTTTTTATATAAATAATTAAGGCTTGGCACTTCAGTCTGTGGTGTCCGTGCTGAAAAAGGTTTTTTCATCAGGGGCAAGTTTAGCAAAGTGGAATTACTCGCGTTAACCAAACAACACGTTAGAAAGCACGACTCCGAGACTTTCTACCTTTTGTGAAAAGTCAAACAGGAGCGATGTGGACTCCACATTTCGAAAGCGAGCACTGCCTGCCAGGACGCACAAAACCACCGAGGACACAGCTGTGCGTAAAGCGAGTGCGCTTCACAACCTGCTCAGCCTGTGAATGTTCTCCGTTATCCAGAGCACTGGGGCTGTCGTGTAGCGGTAAGTGAGGCGAATGGACTTAATCTTGAGGAGGATTCTCTCTGCACGTCCAGTCGCCTTCACTTACCACGATTAGGCGAACATTATTTATGTTCTGTACGATCTCCTATCAGCCCCCCTCCACCACTCCGGCACTAACTTACCTGAAAGTCGTGTAAAAAGTGAACGTTTCCGATCTTCAAACACCTCCGAAGCCCAACTGCAGCACCGCGAACCCGAGAAAGTCTCGATAAGTGCATGCAGAGCACGTCCCACCCGTTAGTTCTCCCTTTAACAGAAATCTCAGACAGAAAGTCCCTCCTGCCCCCTCCTCCTGTCCTGTGCTTGCGCACTGCTTTACTCGCTTTGTTGCTTCATTTCACCAGTACAGCGCTCAGCCTTCTGCTGCAGCGCGCTTGAAAACGACCACTGAGTCCAGAGAGGTTCACCGCTCCCGAGGTAGGTCAGCGTCGTCGATTATTATGAAAATCACCTCGTGCTCTTCTTAGATTATATTCTCGGATGCTGAGCGTTTAAGTGAGTAAACCCGCTGAGAGAATACTTTCTAAAGTCGAATTTTAACTTTTAACCCAGTCTACTTTGTCAAATTCTGTTTTTCTGCATGGTGGTGAGGGGGAGGGGGCTCTGGGGGGAGTCCGTCCCACTCCTGTGTGGACTGGAGTTCACTACACACTCTTAACCCTGGTTTGTCGTGCCTTTGGTAGCTGAGCCTCCGAACCCACCTCCTCACCCTCACCCACCACCACCTCCCAGCAGAGCCTCTTGATGGCGAGGCTGTTTACTCTGCGTGGCTGATAATATGAAGATAATAGGAAGTGATGTTGCTTTGCCTCTGGCCAGTCTGCCCAGTCTTTGTGCAGTGTGAATAGAAAGCAGAGCAGAGCATGTGGTTTCCATCAAACCACTCTCACTCTCTGGGCTCGTTCCAATCTCTACTAACTTCCACTCTGCAGCTCTCCAGTGGAGGGATAAATGAACATCAGCTGTTTACCGTAGCAGTGTGTTATGGTCTCTCCATTGTTCATTCTTGGAGAAACCCATGAGGAACAGTACTTGTAGAGTGAAAGGCACTATGGAAGCTGCTTTGTTTGTCCGCTGGGGCCCCCAGCATGATTTTTTTTTTAGCTTGAATAGGACCACTATCTCTCATTCTCTCATTATTTCACTCCCCCACTTCCTCCCCTAACCAGACCAACATATACCCAGAACGGAGGCCGTTTTTCCTGGAATCTTGCTAGAACATGCTGATGTTGTATCAGCCTTAGGATTTTATAGAACAGAAATACTGTTAATTGAACCCAAAACTTTTCTTTAGCCTTGATTTCTAACAACTTCTGCACTGCAAGTACCATATGAGCATTTCGCTGCTGACAGAACAAAAAGTCGTATTTCTGTTTTTGCCATTTTTCAGTTTTTGACATAATTTGAAAATGCCTGTTGCCTTTTACATTGTGTGCAAAGTTCATGATGAATGGACCAAAAGCAATGGCTCAAAATACAAAAAAGTACAGTATGTTTTTCCTTCTCCTGTAAAGTTATAATTTTGGAGATATAAGGTTTTGTTCCAACAGCAGCGACATGAAGGTTCCTATACAAGATAGAAAGGCCTGCTATTATCATATTATTATCATTAATATTTGAGAGAGGAAGATAACTCAACAGTCTCATCGTTTTAAGAAAGATGGTTATTCAAGGGTTCTTTAGTAAAGGCAATGGTTAGAACCATAAGTTGTGTATAGAACCATTTCATGCTTACATGGTTCTTTGCATGGTGAAATGGTTCTTCAGATTGATGGAGAATGATTTGTATATGATTCTATATAGCGCCAAAGACGGTTCTGCTACTGTTACGATGTCAAGTTTGTAACAATAGAAAAACCCTTTTGGTGCTATATAGAACCATAGAAGAACCCTTTTTGGTGCTAAATAGAACCATTTTCAAAAAGTCTCTAAAAAGAACCACATACAACGCATTCTCATTAATCTGAAGAACCATATGATCATGCATGAAACATTTAAGCATGAAATGATTCTATACAGAACTCATTATTTTACATAGAACCATTCCTTTCACTAAAGAACCCTGAAAGAACCATCTTTATAGAGGCTGATTTTTGACAGTAGGTAATTTTCCCCCCAGCATTCATATTCAATGCCAGTTAACGTGATGCAGTCTAAACTCCAGGTGTCCAGATTAAACTGTTCTGAGTCTGAAACTCTATGTGGAGGTCAGCATGACTGAAGCTGTGATGAAGAGGAACAGAAATAATGGACAGGATATGAGACTGTAATGATTCTGATTTGCATTGTTTTTACTGTGCTTCTTTTTTAAAGTAATCATCAGAGATCTTGTCCAGAAGGTGGTGCTAGTGAATAACAGTTTCTCACAGAGAGCAGTCTCATTCATCAGATACAGTCAAACGTGTATGAATATCTGGGCATGAGATAAATAGTATTTAAGCAGATCAAAGTGGTTAAAGGGGAATTCCACCCAGTTTTTAATTTCTGCAAAATCTGGTAGTTGAAATGTAAATAACGTCATTCAGAGTGGTTTGATGTGAAATAGTTAATTACAAAGAAATTTATTTACAGCGCTGGTCCATATGAACCAGGGGTTGCAATGTCTACAACACAAATATAACCTACACCTGTCTCAGTAGTTTTTATATGTAGTGCTGATTATGATAAAATAGTAATAAATCTGAAAAAAAATTTCATTAGGGAATATTTTGCCACATAATGCCCTGCATGTACCCCTCCACCATGAATGGCTTTTAAAAATATTTTTCAGGCCAAAACTGTATCTCAAAAGTATGGTAAAGCAATGTCTCAAGCATCAGGGAACATATTCGTATATATTCATTTATTCAATATTCATTTTCTGTTGGGTTGCACTGATAGGGGGTTTCTGGGTCAATGCTGATACATAAATATTTATGAAATTGGGACTACATCGATCTAGATTAGCAATATGAATAAATATAACAGTTATTTCTGTAAGGCAGTGGTGCCACATTCTGGTCTTGGTGAGCTACCATCCTGGAGAGTTCAGATCCAACACACCTGGCTGCAATATTCAGACACTCCTGAAGGCCTTTGTTGCTTGGATCAAGTATATATGATTAGCGTTGGAGCTAAACTCTGCAGGGTAGACCACCAGGACCAGGATTGGGCACCCCTGCTGTAGGGTTACAAAAGTGGTAAAAGGAATAAAACACAGCCCAGCAGCACATAAACATTCTGCTCTTCTAGAGTGCAATAAATACATTATCAAATATTGGTTTGAAATATCAGTCAAATTTAATCATCTGGCTATTTTTTTTATGTTTATGATACTTGTGTGATTCCAATATCAATGTGCAAAGTATGGGTGGCCCTGGTAAAATGCCATGTTTTGTTGATCTTCTAAGTGAAAATGAGTTAACACATCGTCTAAATTTGATGCATAATTACTATTTTTTTGCTGATTTTAACATATTGATGAAAAAATAAAACAAAATGTGGCCTGTGCAAAAGTACGTAAGTCTGTTCCATGTAGATAAACATAACTAAGGCTGAAGATATGATAATTCATTTCAGAAGACATGCCCACACATATGAAATGACATCTATTAAGGGTCAGACAGTGGAATGTGTACAGTCTTATGAATATCTAGGGACAATAAGTGAACAAAAGTGAAGCAAACCGTAAAGTTGTGTGCAAAAAGGGGCACCAGCATTTGTATTGTCTGAGGAGACTGTCCTATTTTAACATTAGCAAAACCATATTCTATCGTGCTCTCATTGAATCGATTTTAACCTCCTCTTTGTTGTTGTGGTTTGAAAGTCTATACTTAAGGAACAGGAATTCCCAGAATCAAATGGTCTAGTGGCTAATAAATGAGTCACAACTTAACCTAGAGGCCTTGTACACTAGACAGATAAAGCAGATAACTGATTCAGTTTTAAATGACGACTCCCACCCTCTGAATTCTGAATTATAGCTTTTTCCTACTGGACGTAGGTTTATAGTGACAAAGTGCAGAACAAAGTGGTATAAAAATAGCTTTGTTCCAACAGCCATTACCCAGATGAAGGAGTTGTAGTAATATTGTGAAGAGGACTAAAATGTGTGTGAAGAAGGATGCTGACTCATCTGCTGCAAACCAAATTTAGCTACGGGTATAAATACAGTAACCTGAACCTGAACCTGTGCAGGTGCGCACACCTCCAGTCCTTGGAAGGCTGGTGTCCAGCTCAGTTTGGTAGTTTCCCTGCTCAAACACACCCACTAAACCACTGTTCTTCGTTTTGCTCTTCTACACTTTCCTTTGTACTGTTTTCATGGGTTGCAGTTTTCTAGCTAACACCATAAAACTTTACAGGATGGTAGATGCTATACGATAATAGTGTGCTTGTGCTTTTGGGACTGATCACATGTCTTTGTACAGCGTTCATTTAAACACTATTTTTTCCCAGTGGAAATTATTTCAAATCTAACTGCCATAAATGGTGTCACAGAGGAATCTGTTACACTGACCCTCACAGACATTACATACAGACTCACATGCATACTAGTACACATACCTACACACAAATTAGCAACCACCTGGGATACCACAGCAATTAACAGATGAGTTAATGGGTGTGATTGAGCAGGAAAATCACCAAACTGTGCTGTACACCCACCCTCCAGTACTGGAGTTGTGCACCCCTGATGTATATAGAGAAGGTGTTAGCATATTTTCACTTAGAAAATCAACAAAACTTGTTATTCATCTGTATTGTTCAAACTTTTCCATATGATTGTACTTCACAAATAGCAAAGCCTACAGTGGGTATTCAATAATTATAACTCTTACATTCCATACTTGTTTTCCATAACTCAACTAATTGACTAAATTAATAATTAATTATGAATGATATGGAAATTAACAGACTGACTGATATTAGATAAACTGATGACTGAATATATTATTGAACTGCATAGAATGAGGTTCTATCAAACTTGTACAATTTTTACTACTGATGTTTGTGTCTACATCTACATACATTTTAAATTTATAGTATAAATATGTATTTTAGTGTATTTCTAATATCATGCTAGTCATATATTTTATAAGCAAAAAAGCAGATGATGTGGAAGGTGAAAACCGCTAAAATTATTTGTTCAAACACATCAGCATGTGATCTTTTTACTTTGTTGGTTCACGTACCAGGTCATATTAAGCATCGGCCATTATATCACAGAATTAAAAAGACAAATGACATTTTTTTTCACAATGTTCCATTTTACCCACCTCTAAAATGTCTTTTGAATTTTGATTATGTCACTGTGCAAATAATATTGACCAATAACATCATGCCCCCCCCATCCGGCCACCTCCATCTTTTATTAAAAAGTGCACAGCTAGTATTGACACCCTCCCTGGCTTTAAAGGGCCTATATCCTCTATCTATTTTACAATATATTATTTTATTTCTACGTTATTTGACATTTGTGTCAGCTTAGGCACCAAAAGCTGTCATAATCCATTTTCAGAGAGCCATTTTCCAAACTCTTTATCCCTTAATATTAAACAGGCTGTTTTTTTACAGGTCTTTTGAAACTGATATTTGTAAATTATCTCTATTCTGATTGGCTGCCCTGTATTGTGCCTCGTTCAAAAAGCAGTCAGAGCTGAAACACTCCTTATAACTTTAGTGTGACTGGGTGGAGCTGAACTGCTGTATGCTGAATAGCTGGGTTTATGCAAAATGCACATGTTTTGTGACATAACAAACACATGAATTCAAAACTGGCTACCTAAACACAACCATAGCCTCCTGGAAATTTTCACAAAATACTAAAAGTATTATTGTTACATAAGAATTGTGTCTCATTAATTCATTTTCTCTCCAGTGTACAAAAACTGTCTGATGATGCCTGCCTCCCAGTCAGAGTCTGCAGGGATCGGTCCCCCCAGGCTGCATCGGCCTTTCAGATATTACGATCCTGAAGTGGTGGCGGTAAGTCATTGAACTATACTCAATCCCTTAGATTTGCAGAAATGCGACAATTATGTTGGTTTGGTTTTAGTTTTTGGAGTTAATTCTTCAACCTGGTCATCAAAACACCATTTACAAAATTACAGTCTTTTCCTTATTTCTGTTTGTCATATTCCAAAGTCCTCAAGCATGTTGTTTTAGTAACATGCTACTCCTAATTATGTGTATTGAGCTGTAGTGTCCTGCTGACAAAATGTTATTAAGTTGGCTTGACAATATTCTATGCTTTTATTTGTATTTTTTATACTTTTCTTTGTACTGTTTTCATGTGTCACAGTTTTTGAGCTAGAACCACAAAATTTTACAGGATAGGAAATTCTGTACAGGAATAGTGCACTTGTGCTTTTGGGGCCAATCACGCATTTTTACCGCATCCGTTCAAACACAATTGTTTTCCCATAGGAATTCAAATCATACTGTTGCTCTTACACCAGACACCAAATACACCTTACATACATACTGGCACACATACATACACATATATTAGTAACCACCTGGGATTACACAGCAATGGCCACGCAACACCTTAGCAACCACCTGGGGTATAACAGCAATGGTCTATTAACTCCTTATCAACCACCTAGGACACCATAGCAACAGCCTAGTAACACCTTGCACCCAGCGGGGATACTATAGTAAGGCCCTAGCAATAACTTAGCACCCACCTGGGGCAACACTTTAGCAACCACTTAGGATGCCATAACAATAGCCTAGCAACACCTAAGCAACCACTTGGTTTTCCATAGCAGCTGCCTAGCAACGCCTTAGCAACCACCTGGGAAACCGTAGCAATGGCTTAGCAACACCTTAGCAAACACCTAGGATTTCATAGCAATGACTTTGTCAAGCAAACTACATTAAAATCTGTGATGCTGCCTCTCTCTTCTAGATTCTGGCAATATTATTTGGGCTGTTCCAAATGCTTCTGGGAATTCCGACTTTCTTTTTGGGTGTCAACATGCGTGAGCTTTATATGTGCCCAGTCTTTGTTGGAGCAGTGGTATGTTACTTATTGTATAGACATACGTTTATGACACTATTTATACTTTAAAAAAAGTAGAAATTAAGTTAGACAGTCTTATTAGCGAAACATAATTACACTACGTATTATAATCTCATGTGTCAACTGGCTATAACAATTCTGTGATGTTGTCTCTGCCCAGCATGTAATTGGAGGATCATTTGCATTTGTATGTGAAAGATCTCCCAGCAGGCAGCTGGTAAGGATTAATTTTTTTATTTGCAATATTTTATGTTTAAAACCAAAAGTAAGAATTTGTGAAGCCGTTTTTTTTTATATCAAATGTATACTAACCATTCATACCGATTCTCAAAGATAACACCTTATAGTTTGATTTCCCAAAAAATGTCCTCCCTTGCAGATAGCCAATATTGTGTTTACTCTAAAAGAGGTTTTAATCTGAAATAATGCAAATATAAAGAAGCAATCAGTGGTCAAATGTAATTGACTGTTTATTATTGCACTTATATCTCCATCTTTGTAATCTTTTCCTGTACCGTTCTAGAAAAGCACAGGGCTGTGGCTGTGTTTTATTGTGTTCCTGATCTGCATACAGCTGTTCCATCTCTTATCTTACATTTGTTTGGCTTGTAGCTGAAGAGCAATGAACTTTGACTACTTCTGAGTTCAATTTAGTGGAAAGTTACACTGGACAGATCAAGGTCACTTAGCTAATGACTGATGTAAAAGGAGAAAACAAGTAACATACAGTCAAATGATGTCTGCTGTAATTTGTTTCATTGCTTCCTCTTTTTCCAGTTGAAAAACTGCTTGTATTCTGCTCTCGGTGGCCTGTTTGTGGGCTTGAGTGCGACTGCTGTATACAGCTATGCATTCAACAACATTTTGTCTCTCGAACCCTGTGACCAAGACCAACATTCCACATTCAGAAGCCATTGTGCACGAGATGACTTTGTTGTGAGTCACTGCTATTCTTGATCAATCAGTATATTACATTAGGAATATAATGTTGGAATATTAATGACTATAATGTTTAACATGATTATAAATGGCTTTTTTTTCTACAGGACTTCTTCAGGGTATTTACAGCATTGCTCTCAATCTACGACGTTGCAGCTCTCATCCCTCAATGCTTCATTTCATTTTCAGCCTTGAAAGGTCTGAAAACAAACTGAAATAAACATGTTTATATTGCATATAGGACATATAATCAAATATTTACAAGCAACAAATTGTAACAATGGACTTCATTAGTTTTCATTTCAAAAAAAGCATATGAATGTAGGCTAGTAGCTATACTCTGTACAGAGTGGCTACATTGTGACTTTGTTAGACACACCCACATATACATAAATCAGTAATCTATAAGCTGGAAAAAACAACTGAAGATAACTTTTCTGTCCTATCTATATATATATACAAGCCATTAAGAACCCTATTACAACCTCACAGTGGAAAAGTGCTGTTTATATATGCACCACCATTCAAAAGGTTGAAATCGCTTGTCATATTAGTGTTATTCATTTTATTCAATAATAACTTCAACAGTGTAGACTGAAGTATTATAAACTAGACCTCAGACAGCATTTTTTACATTTTTTATTCAATATTTTCTTCTTTTTTGAGGACATCAAGTGGTTATTAATAGTATGTGTATCCATTTATAGTAATTTCTTGTCAAATTATCAGCCTCAAAATGTATCCCCCACTTTTCAAATACAGAATATAGAAGCCTTCTGGCTGTTCTAACTTCATTCTGAATGTTAAACAGCTATTTTCATTTTTTTTTAGAATCATCTACAGCTCTGTTGGTCATTGTGGACACATCTAATATTTCTTAATCTTTTCATACTAATTATTTGGTACCTGTGAATTTGAAATGCTTTTATACATGTATCTACAACAGAAATGCTTTTATATAATTGAAAACAGTGAAACTTTTGAATGGTATAGAATACTATTGTAAATGCTTGCTTAACTGTGAATTTCACATATTTTGTAAAAATTTCAGCATAATTAAATCATGTAGATGACGTAGATGATGAAGTCATTCAGAGTGGTTTGATGTGAAATGAACCATTCTAGAGAAACATACTGACTCAGAAGAGATATACATGAAGGGCATTATAAGGGAAAACAATACCCAAAGAAAACATTTTTTTCTCCCAGATTTTCCGTTATCAACACTAAAGCCTCCGAAGACACATGTAGGTTCACTGGTCATTTTGGATAGTAAATAGTAAAAAGGCAAAAGAAATCCAAGTCAGTAAGATTCTCTACAATGAGGCAGTTCACATAAAACCACTCTGATTGACTTTGTTTACTTCCTTTATCTCAAAGAGTGAATTATATGGCGACATGGTGATTATTTTTAATAAGGTGTGGCCACAAATTTATATACTGAGGCCACGAGTTACTATATTGAGGCCATGAAATAATATATTGATGCTACAAGTTACTATACTGCTCCGGTTCCCTCCCACAGTCCAAAGACATGCAGTCAGGCCAACTGGACATGCTAAATTGCCCCTAGGTGTGAATGTATGTGTCTTTCTGTCTGCCCTGCGATGGACTGGCGACCCGTCCAGGGTGTATCCTGCCTTCCGCCCAATGACAGCTGGGATAGGCTCCAGCTCCCCCCGCGACCCAGAACAATAAGCGGTTCAGATGATGTGTGTGTGTGAGTTACTATACTGAGGCCATGAATTAATATATTGTGGCCACAAATAAATATAGTGAGGGCACTAGTTAAAACGTCTACTCTTAAGACATGGAGACAAGTTTATTTTTATGTGATGAAAAGATTGAAACAAATGTTATGATGTGCATTCTATAAACATCCTTTTTTTTTAAGTCTCATTCTTTTCATTAAATCTTGTTTAGTGAATTGTTAGAAATGTATATGCAGAAAAAGGGGATGGGTGGACCAGTGGGATGGGGAGGGATAGGGAGACAAAGGGGGTTGTTTTTTTGGATTATTGTGATAAAGAGATGCTTGATTAACAGAAAATTAAAAAAAATGATCACAAAAAATATAATAAGGCCACAAATTACACTATTTAGGCCGTGAATAACTAAACAGAGGCTAAAAAGTAATTTATTGAGGCCATTATTTACTATACTGAGGCCACAAATTACTATATTGAGGCCACAAAATACTAAATAGAGGCCACAGATTGAGACCACAAGTTATGAGAAACTTAATTTGTGGCCTCGCCTTATTTAAAAAAAAATCACTATGTCACCTTAGGGGCTCCGTAGCATTATGCTGAACATGTGAAAAAAATTCTGTGCAGTTTCTTTTTACAAAGAGACACAATGCGCTTTAAAAATTAAAAATATATTAAAACTCTGATGTCTGTCTAAATGTGCTGCGTGCAGTTTTTCTTACACAATGAAGGATTTGTGGCTCTAAAGTTTTAATGGAAAAATCACCCTGTTCAGCCGGGCGTCCTCCCTGCTGGCCTGCAGCGAATGGAACATTCCTGTCACTTTGGGGTTTCCCATCGGTCCGCTCAGCCTCAGACGATACCATGGCGATTAGCAGCTGTTTACAATTTCACATTGATACTGTTCCATCTTTATACATGTATTAGAAATATATCACGAACTAAAAAAATCGAGATTTTACCCGAACTGTGTCTTTTGTTTCACAAAGCAGCTCGCTATTTTCTTTTTTGCTTCGAAATAAGACCGTTGAACATTTCCTCCATTCCCCTTAGCAGAGTCCGGCAGTGGAATTAACCCAAATATGGCGGCGGCATCTGTCAGCAAGAAGTGAAACTTTGGCTCAAGAGAGTGATTATATCTTGTCAAACGCCCTCTTTTCTGCTCGTTGTCGTCGCTCTGACATTCCTGTTTGCCGTATCGTTAGCGTCCTTTCGTGTGCTTTCCGAGGAGCTCCTTCTTTCGAGGGTTTTTATCTTTTAATGTTTTCGCTAGCTAGCTCACTGGAGAACAGGAGCTCCAGTCTAAGTTAGCTTACGGTGCGGCGGCGAAAGTGCCTTTCAGTCCCGTGTTTACCCTGTTTAGGTGATCAGGCCTCTCAGATTCATCACGCTTTTGGCTCGTTTATCAGGTCCGAGACAGTTAAAGGCGTGTGGTGGTTATTTCCAACCGAGGACGGCGCTTCTGTGCTTATTTTTGTACGTCCCTGGCCTCCAATTAAGTTGGATGTTTTTCGATGTGCTGCCGACCTCAAGACATTTGATTTGCTAGCACCGTGTAAGTATTTAACGTTATGTTCACAATTAACTGGTAAAAGTGACGCCTACTGTTGTTGACTGGTTAGCCAGCTAACATTAAACACGTTTATCGTTGCTGCTCACCTGTTCTCAGTGCATATTAGCTCTTATGTACATGTCAATAAACATTAGCCTAGTAACAGTGCTGCCTAAGGTGAAGCAGTAGTGATTTCAGCCAGGATGCTTTTCCTACTGAATAAAATCAGACACTATTAAAAGTTTCTGTTGGTTCCTGGAGGCGTCCAATAGTCAGTAATGGTATTTTGAGTCTTCCTGATGAGTTGATATCACAGTGTAAGGGATTATAATAATTTAACAGGTGCTCTGGGACTGATTCCCGGTTATTTTGATGGTTTCCTAGTGTCATCTAAAGGTGTCCTACAGTAAACTAGTGGTCTCAATTGATGACCATTAAGCCAATTTCCATTAGAAGGCAAATCCATCAGATCTTAATCCTAATGGTTCTGATTATTTTTTTTCAGCAGGGTTTACTAGCTCATAAAGCAGCAACAAGTCGTTTAAAGATTAAACATGGTTGGCTCAAATAAGCTTACATGGCTTGACAAGACACGTTCAGTGCCTTGTGATCTGTAGGGAAAAAGAAACTCAATGTGCCTTATATTCATGTGTGTGAATATATAATATATGTGAAATACATTTTAGTTTAAATTAGTGAGTTGTAGGTATGTAATGTTTGGGTTAGACTCTGCTCATTGAATGTCAAACTAGATTAATCCATAAAACACTAAATCCTCTGTAATTGACAGCTGTCCTGGCAAATCAATGGAGAAGCTTCAGGATCTCAGCCAATCCGAGTTACAGGATTTGCTCGATAACTCGGAGCGGGTGGAGTCGATGGCACTGGAGTCTGATGAGGTGAGATTTCTCTGTTTTGGGATTCACTGAATTTGCTAATTTGTCAGTGTCATGTTGGATGCAGTCAGTGTGTGATCTCACTGTTGCATGCCTGAATATTCAGAGTTCCTGTTTTCTCTGCTGATAGTTGGCTGATAATAGATTGGCAGATAGTTACTTTATTTTCCACTGAGAATCTCTGAGGTCAGTGCCATATGTACAGGTTTGTCAAGACATACAAAAAAAAGCCATCGGACATAAGAAATGACATACATCCGTATAAACAACCCATACACAGAGCAGAGAAGACTAGTAGTGTTTCTTTACAAGAATTCCGGTACACCTGTTTCAGCCAGGACTTTGTTAAGAGCTGAAATGGCTGAGGGGAGAAAGTTTTTCACAAACCAGGCTTTTTTTTTAATGTTAGCTACATTACTTTGGACAGCGACACCAGTTGTCCAGGGCAAACAGTTTCAACATCAGTTAAGTGTACCTGTTACAGAACCTCAGATGAGGATGCAAAGCATGTAGAGGCACAGTCCCAACCTCTTGTGGTTTTTAATGTCTCTGTAAAGCCAGATAATTTGCTGGTTTTGTATTGATGCTAATAATGATGTTCAGCTTTTTTTTTTTTAAAGGACCAGTAATGGCATGTCTGAAAGCTACTGTGCTCAGCCCAGTTCAGTTCTTGTAAGGTGGTGGAAGTTAAGGCAGACACAGGTGTCCTTGTAGTCTATTATTATGAGCATATTTCTGTGTATTACAGTTAAAGAAAGGCAGTTATAACTAAATTATATCCTGCCTATCCATGTTATTTAATTAGTAGGACTAGGTGGGAAATATAGCTGTTACTAAATTTCATTTAAACAGCTATCTGTGTGCACTGCATATATAACTAAAATGCAGGAACAAAACGCCCAAGCATTACAGTGTGTTTCACTCGTTCAGTTCAAACTTCATGAATCAATGACCGTGTTTGCGAACTATGGTTTTGGGAAACAACTGTGTCACCTAGACATGGTTCGTACTATTTAAGTTACCAGTGTAGTTACTGTCATAGTTCAAACTATGGTTTTGGAAAACACTTGCATTGCAACTGCATGGTTCCAATTATTAAGTATTTTGGGAACGCTTTTGGGAAACATCAATGTCAGTGTCAGATTTGCATGCTAAATGTTTGAGTGGCCAGCTGATTTTGATAACCAGGATGGTGTACTCAACACTAGACATTTTGGTTACATAGTTTGGTTCACATACTCATGAACATACCCAAGACCTACATGGGCTTCACACTGATATTTTTTTGGAAACTAATATAAACTTCATTTCAGTTATATAAATAGATTAAGGCATCATAATTTTATGTAAAACACTGAAGATTTAATTTCAAAATTGCAATTATTCAGTCAATACAAGCATCAATAGCTGTGTTCTTTGACAAACTTGACTCAAAGAAAATTGGGGGGGAATCCAAAAAAGAATAAAAAGAGAGCATAGTTAGTCCTGTTAATTGGTTTAGTGCAGTACAGTTTGTGAATTGTTGAATAAATTCTAGGATTTGGTATAATAAATGGTATAAAATGGTCTGTCATGTTGCCCACACACTACATCACGTGTCAAGCTCCAGTCCTTGCAGGCCGAAACACTGCAGAATTCAGCACCCTGCCTCATTAAACACACCTGATTTAGCTCATCAGCTAATTAGCAAGGCCTTTATGAACTGAATTCAGAGTATTAGAAGAGGGTAAACGCTGATATCTTCAGCACCTTGGCCCGGAAGGTCCCCAGTTTGACATGCCTGCTCTAAATGGAGGTGACAGTGAGGGCCTTTCTGTATGTAGCTTTGACATGACTTGCTAAATATTGTCTCTTCAGTCTTAGAAATCAAGTGTAACCTTTGACTCTGTTTCTCCTTGTAGATCCAGAACATTCAGCTGGAAAGGGAAATGGCTCTGGCTTCCAACCGCAGCCTGGCAGAGCAGAACCTTGACATGAAACCCCGGCTAGAGCGAGAGAGAGAACGCCTGGTGGAGAAATACGCTGAGCTGGAGGAAGTGAGGGAGCGATACAAACAGCATTGCGCCCTCAGAGGTAAAGGAACTAAACTCAAATTGAAAGACTACTTGAGCATTCAAGGAAAGAGAAGTACTGAGACATGTGGAAAGTAAAAGTTGAAAAAAAAGAGGGAGGATTAAAGATGGCCTCAGTCAAAAGTGTAACACTGCCAACAATGATTCACAGTCAGGGGGGGCCATTATTAGGTGATAGCAAGGTCATTTATGTAGGTTTAAGGGACGCAACTTATGAAAATGAAAAGTAAGCATGAGCAGTGACAGACAGGGTTGCAGCATGTCATGGAAATGTGGAATGTTAAGGATTTTGAAGGCCAAGCTTCACAGAGTTTAAAATTTCAAAATACGCCACTATGAAATACAATGGCAGAAGAAAATAAATGTTCACGTTACTGCCTCTGACACAATGGAACAGTGAAGAAATGTTTAACAGAGCCAGGTTTCCATGTAGCTGTTGACTTGAACTCAAGCAAAACTGAAATGTCACTAAAATTCTATGAATTTTGTGAGTTTATCAGCTCTGTGCCAGTGAATACAACTGTACATCAGGATTTCTGAAAGTATGGTACGAGTTTACAGAGACATCTTTAATGTTGAGCAGCTTTTCACTGCTGTTGTGTTTAATTTTATAGCTTTACAACAGTAGAGCACAATGACAAAACACACTAGCAGATATAATGGCTCAAGATCAGCTGACAGTCTGTTTGCCATCTATTGTCACTAATTTTCTTTTGTAAGGTAAAGACACGTTGACTTTCTTCGTCAGTCAGTCCATTGGCACCTGCCGCCATCTAGGGCTCCAGAAATGGATATCCAACTCATGGGTGTTACCAGAGAACCTGTCACATAGCAAATGGACAAAGTGAATTTGACTTACTGTATACACTGCATTCTCTGGAGTCTTATGCAAGAGGCACCTGACCTTAACATATCATTATTAGTAAAGAAAGGAAAGTGAAAGAAGAACTGAAAAATGTAAAGAATCATGCGGTCAAAGGAGAGACAGTGGAACAGATTCTATTCTTACAAATCTATTTTTATAACATTATGGCAAATGGCAATTACTGTTAATTATTGTTACACTTCTGTCCTGAATAACAGAGAACGCCTTTACAATTTTATTTCATACTAGAAGTAGGTTGTGCTGGCAGATGATGGTTTAATTAGGTATCTCAGAGACCTTTGTTGTACTGTGACTTTGAATATAATTGAATGAAAACCCAGTCAGATCCCTGGTTAAACTAAGTTGCCATATTATAAAGAATTTTCCGTATATGTTTGTCTACATCTGTCTCAAAAAGTATTCCATTAGTAAAGATAAATGCTCATCTTATGTCATCATTTATCAAATGGGTAGTTTCTGCTTTTGGTTGATGAACTGCATTTGTGGACAAACCGAAGTGAAAGCTAGTGAAAAGATCAAAACCAATGTTCACAAACTCTCTCTCTTGCATTATGTATGATGTTTTCCCTGTCTTTGTTGTTCTTACAGAAACTTTCTTTTTCCACCAGTCCCGAGCAGTTCACCTGCTGTTTACTTTGTCAAGTAGTTTGTAGTATTCGGAATCCAGTTTGTATGAACTAATGTTATGGAAGTTGGTGCTATTAATAAGTCACTAGGAATATGTTGCTCAGCGAGTCTGTCCTGTTTGTTCTCCTACGTCATCCAAGTAGGCCTTCTGTTCTGTGAGCTTTACTTTCCTGAAACTCGTTTTTCTTGTTTCTCAGATGACACTACGTCATCATGTTCAGTGTGGAATATGTGATACCTTTTTCTCTTTCTGTTTCCCCTTTTTCCTTATTGTTCTGCTGTCTTCTTTGTCTTCATGCTTTTTTTTTTACTGTTAGAAGAAAAACCTGTTGGTTGTTGTAGGCAGTGTTGAGAGTAATGCAGTATAAAAGCAACACATTATGGTACTGTAATTATTTTTTCAGTAATAAAGTAATGTAACATTACAGTTGAAATTCTTGTAATAACATTAGTAGTAATAATAATAATAATAATAATAACTAGTTAAGAATTAATTAGTTGTTTCTTGCACTACTCATATGTTTCTAAGCAAATTATAGTAATTGCACACAATTTGTCTGGTGATGTATCGAAATTAAGTTTTTAATGGACAAGTTCTTGGGTGTTGTACCCCCCGCTTGATATTCAGCTTAAACAGTAAATATAGATTACTAGTCTAATGTCACTTGAAGAAACCTTGAAATAGTTCCATGCGGTCAGCGTTTTCACTGTTGAGCCGCTGCTGCTCCCACAGTTTGAACTGTTCGAGCAGCACAAGAGAGCAGAGAAAAAAAGTTGGGTTTTTAATCACTGTTCTTAATTTTCATTGCCATTCAAACTGTTTGGAAAGTCTGTTTTTTTTGTCTTTTTGTCCTTTTTTTTGTCTTTGGACTGAAAAAACAGACCATGTCAGCTGAAAATTTTGGTGGCCAAAATTTTAGTGTATCCCTAACTTTGGTATTTTATGTGCTTATACTTGTAAGTAGTTTTCAGATGCGTACATATGGATGACAGCTAACTAATGAAAGTGAACATGCTGTACACTCCACAAGCAGTCTGTCGAAGCATCTAATCAGAGTGCATGAGACTGTTTACACCTCGTATTAGCAGGTGTTATCATGTCTGGATGTCTGAATTCTATTTACATTTTGCACTAAAATGCACCCTCAGTGTGATCAGGTGAGATCCAGTGTTACTTTCCTGAGTAAAATGCACATCAGCACATCGTTTCTGTTTTATTTCCGTTTACTTTTTCCTCCATTTACTTTCATTGGCTCAGAGTACAAGAAGGCACTTAGCATAGCTGGCTGTCTTGTTCAGAGCCTAGGCAGGAAGGGTGACATGCGTCCCCAGTGATATTTACTCTTTTTATTTGCTCTTTTTTTCTAATTAAATTGAATCTAAGTAAAGTATATTTTCCCTTGGACTATCCGATTGTTACAGATTTGGAAGAGTTTTAGAAAGTAACTTAGAAGTATAGTGAGTTTATGTTTTTTTCTTATGTAAAGCATCCTCATTTAAGTAATGAATCACTTTTTTTTGGAATAACTGCTCTAGCAGTTGTTGTTGGACCATGCAATATTTGCAGTTGATTTGGACCATGCAGTACACAGCCGATTCGGAGTATGAAACATACAGCATCTACCAATACTGCATGCTGATTCTGGTTGTTTTAATCAATGGATGGTTGTATACAGTCCCTGCGTATGAATATGATATGCTTTATTTCAGTCTGGTCTTTCTAATGTGAATATGCTTGAAGTGGACAGTGTTAACAAATTCATGAAATCTCTCATTTCACAAAATTGCTCAAGATTAATTAATATATTATTATACTGGTATTACCCACGTTCATCTCATTGATATTTATAGAGTATTGTAATGCCAGTTTGTGCAGCATTATTAATGCTACGCTAAAGATTATTGATTCAAGCTAATTTTACCAAGTACTCCCAATTATTATAAACCAAGATGCATACCATAGCAATGCCCCCAGCTCGCTGTTTCTGTGAGATTATATTGGTAATTTTTGTTTTTCTTGTTCTACCTGACTTGATAACTGGCCTTTGGGTTGAGGCACATGTTTTGGAGCAGGTGCCTAGGACTGCGATCTGCTCTGTTGACTTGTTGGGCTGTGTTGGTGTACACTGCACTTGAAAGTCCATTCCAAAGGTGCTTAATGTTTTTTTAATTTAATGTAATTGCTGTAACAGTCCAGACGAAGGCATATGTCATCAGTTCAATCGTCCAAACCAGATGCAGTGAGTTATTGTTACCTATGAAAGTAATGACCTGTGAAACCTTTTATGTATTAATGACTTTTTTGTTTTTTTGTTTTACTTTCTTTTCCGCTTTCTTCCCCCTCCACCCAACCTTCTTGTGGTTTCATTCACTCTGTCTTTCTGTCTCTTTACGTCTCTTCGTCATCCCTCTTTTTTTCCAGATGGCATTATGGGACAGGTGTCCCCTGAGGGATTATTCTCTCGTCTGCAGGCAGAGGGCGCCAGCACAGAGGCAGAGTCTGAGGTAAGGGGCTCCTCAAGGACACAAGCCTTTATTTTCTGCCACCCTGCAGCTTAACACTTATAACTTAAGTGTTGCCTAGGTTCTGTGTATTGTCTGTCTGGATTCATGTTCTCATGGTCTCATAAATTCATTTAGATTCATGGTCCAAGTGTAGTTTCAAGCCTCTCTCGCTCTTTCTCTCTCTGACTTTTTGTCTCTCGTTCTCTCTGACTCTCAGGCTCTAGCTGATGAGTTTCTGGAAGGTTCCTTGTCACTTGACTCCTTCCTTGAGCGCTTCCACTCTCTCCGCTCTCTTGCTCACAAAAGACGAGTGTGCGTCGAGAAGCTGCAGGAGATCCTCCGCCAGAAGAGCCAAGGAGTTGGAGACTCTGGCATGACATCACAATCTTGCTCCAATCCGGACGCTGGATCACTATCACCGTGGCAACAGCAGCAACCCCAGCAACAGCCGCAACAGAAACCCAGTGTGTCCACCAACCCCTCCAACTCTGCCCTGCCTTACTCCCCATACCCTGTTTCTCCTCCCAACCAGCCCTCCTCGGCCTCTGCAGCGGGCCCCTCCAACCCTTCTGCTGCATTTCAGCCGTACCCCAACCAGGTCACAGCCTTTACCCCATCCACCGGCTACCCTGCTCCTCGGCCTGGCTTTGGCCCCTCCACATGCCCATACCCCACTCAACCCGCATTTCCTGCTGCCCAGGGTCCACCATTTGGGCAGTATGGCCCTGCTAATGCTCAATACCCCAATCCATACCCTTATGGGGGTTATAGTTACCCCATGGGCCCCCATATGGCCCCTTCCCAATCACCTACAGGTAGGCCGCTTTATAGGCCTGGGTTTGGGGTACCGCAGCCATACTCCTGAACCCTAGTGTGTCTCTCTCTCTCTGTGTGTCTCTCTCTGTGTCTCTCTCTCTCTCTGTGTCTCTCTCTCTCTGTTTCTCTCTCTCTCTTTCTCTCTCTCTCTCTCTCTCTCTCTCTCAAACCCTCAGCTGTCTTGTCTTTTTCCTCCCTCTACCTCCTCTTCCTCCTCCTGACACCAAGATTTGTGGTTTGCGTACCCCTGACACATTCTCTTCCTGTTGAAGGCTTACACAGAACACTTGACTTTGGTTCACCATGTCCCTGTTCCCCCCATCGACACTCAATGAAAGACTGGCACCAAAACCTGTCAGAGACCAAAACGGACGTCACACTTGACTCTGGACTTAGTTCAGCTCAGTTCCTGGCTATTCTAGCATGTTTTCTGAGATCGCAAGTCATTGATAATGTGTTGGTTGTATTTGACGTTATCTTTTAATTTCATTCAACAGAATCGTGTTGCTGTTTGGCCTTGTTTGACTATGGTTCATAAGTCATGTTGTCTTCTTTTTTTTTTGTTTGTTTAACTGCTAAAGAAAAATGTGTCACACTACGTGCGAGTGCATCTCTGAGAATCAGGCTACTCCTACGTTTGTGTAGCCACTTATCTGTGGCATCCTTTTTTATATTGTAGCATTACACCTCTACCATTTACTGAAGGCACAGACTGCTTCACCACGTTTTTCACTGCGTTTTTAGGGCATCTTCATTTGGATGGGTTTGACCCTGGACCATATTGTCCGTAACTTGTCTCAGAGTGCAATCAGTTCTGTTGTGAATGCAAGAGTGCAAACGCTTTGTCCCCCCCCCTTCTTTGTCTGAATTGACTCCTCGTTCCTCCCTTCCCCCTCACACTTTCTTAACCTTTTATCCTGTTTCTTACTCTTTCCTTCCTTTTTTTGTTCTGTTCACACCTCCTTGCTCCATGTATAGCTTATTGACTGAGAACAATGACAATTAACAGAAGGAACAGTTATTTCCAAGTTCTCTAGTGGAGACTGTGTGATTTGTATAAACAGATACTAATAATAATGACAAATAAGAAAAACAAGGGATATTAATATAGACATATCTTTATCTGCTATAGCACAGTTTGTGGCGTGGCGTTCGAGGCAAGGGAAACAAAACACAGCACAGCGCATATGCAAGGGAATTTGGGCTGCATAACATCCGTATGAGTGTTCATACAGCATTCAGTACCCATTTAGACACTGAAAATGTTTTAGCGGTCAGCTTTATGCAGACCATTAACATGGATATTAGCTGTAGGAAGTTGGCATGAAAGAAGGCATTTTTTAATGCCCATTAGAAAGGACTTTTGTGAGTGTATTTATGCCCTTAGTTTGCCTGATATGAGGGTAGATGAAAGCTTGATGCGTCCTCTACGAAGGTGTTATGTAGTCCCATACAACAGCCCCACCTTTTGGAGTGTTTACCTGCTATGTGTTGACTCATAGGATGACCATTTTGAATCACATTTGCACTCCACAATAACAGCTTCTGTCCCTACGGCAGAAGGGCCTGGCGGCGGAGCCTGAGAACCGTCAGCTTTAGATCAGATGCTCGGGGTCAGTTTTTTTTTCCTCCTTAGTTTTATTTTATTATCAGTCATTATTGTTTTTAACTTAAAAGCAATCCAAAAACCAGAGGCGTCCCCAATCAAGCCTCAGGTGGCTTTAATGAATTAATGAACTCAGTAATTAAGACTCAGGTTTGGAGCAAAAACCCCGTCGTCTACGGCCCGTCCTCAGGACCCGAAGCGAGGGAGAAAGCTGACATGAAATAAAGGAGGGGAAATGGGATGATACTTTAGTCGCACACTGTGATGTGCAGCATTAGAGGAAAGACATTCTGTTGGGTTGGTGGTGATGACTGTAGCCTGTTAAAAGTGTATTATTTTTATTTTTATTGCTTTTCTTTTTTTGGTGTGAATATTAAACACTGAAGTTGATCTATGAAAACTGTGTGGACTGTGTTATACAGTGTTTAGTGTTTATCTAGCTTTGCTCGTCTCATACATTTTTTGTTTGTTTGTTTATTTATTCGCTTGCTTGTACATTTACGGTGTGAAGGTTTTGTTTCAGGACTTTAATTAGGCAGCAAAACAGGTAGTTTGACTCACTTTCCAAAAATATTCAAATTCAGTAAAGCTTGAATCATAAACGAGATTCGAGAGGGCGTTGTGGGGATTTTTTTTGTTTGGCAAACCAGCGTTTATGGGGCTTTCAACACATGTACGGCATGGTAAACCAACACAGCGGCGCTTGACAAAGACTGAGAGAGTGAAGGAGGGAGAGAGGCGGCAGGGAAAGAGTCTAAGCGCAAAGAACAAATTAGCAATAGTGAGATGAAAGAAACGAAAGAAGCGAACAGGTATTAGTGCCTGAGAGAAAGAGTCACAGGCAAGATGCATCATGAACATCCATTGCGATTAGTTACTAATGTGAGTCGTGTCATTTCTGCTGTTTAGTATTTTTACTTGGACAGTGGAGCAATATGTCTAAAAAATTTTTGTGTGTTTAATGAAATATTTAATACATAACGTGTATATATGAGAGCTCCTAATGGCAGCTCAGTAATAAGTAATATTAGTTATTATCGAGTGCCTGGTTTGGCTAATCAGTGCTTAAATGAGGTTTCTACGGATGGAATTTAACAAATCGAGTAGATGACTGGGGGCATCAAAGAGAAATCTGGAGCCAAACCTATGATCTTCTAACTGATATCAAATATCTTTTTGAAAACTGTATGTTCTTGTTACTTTTTACTGACTCAATTGTTTTGGATAAATGCTTTTAAACAGAATAAGAGAGTGATCCACCCCTTTTGAGTCTAAGACGATCACTAGTCCAAATCGAGTCCTGTTTGAGACCAAGCCTTGAATAGTTTTTAACTGCTTTAGTCACAGATTTGTCAGTTTAGAGTGATGTAAAAGTGAGTTATACTCCTACAGATTTAGAATTTACGCTTAGTATTGTTGAGTTTTTACTTTCATTTTTATGCAACAAATTAGTTTTGAAAAGGTGGAATTACATCCCATTTGTATTCTGTATCATCAATTTGAGTCTGCGCTCCTGATTTATGTTTGTGTCACAAGGAACAGAGGCAAAAATGTAGTTTAGTTTTCTTTCTGCAAAACATGACTACAATTATATATCAATAAAATATCAATAAAATATCTCCTACTCACAAACACAAATGTGGTGCAAATTGAAAGTTTAGTATAACAGTCCTAAATTTAGTCAGATGTTGGGAAGTTTTCTCAGTTTTTTTAAGAGGTCGACTGTGTATCAGCGTCCTGAGTTCGTCACTGTTCAGTGTCGCTCTGAATAAATCCAGCCAGTGTCAATGTTTAAACAAAAGCAGGTGCAATGACTGAGTTTTGAGATGCCTGAGTATGATTTAGTATGCATTAGTGACAGCTTAAAGAAAACACAAGTAGATCATTTTAAAAAGGTAGTTCTCAGTTCAGGCCAGAGACTAAATTTGAAACCGATGGCCGAGACCAAGACGAGTCTGGGCACAAATACAGTCGTCAAATTATGTTTTGTTGATTTTCTAAGAGAAAATAGATTAAGACATCCTCTACAGAGAACTCACTTCTGCACAATTTAGTACATGATTACTGTTTAGTTGCTCAGTTAAACATATTGATAAAATAAAAATAAATAAATGAATAAAGAAAAAAAGTTTTATTTTTTTCTAGTATGTTAAACTCTGCTAAAATAAATAGAGATGTACACTAAAATGTGTGGAAAAATGTGTTTACGTTTGTGTGTGTGTATGTATGTATATATATATATATATATATATATATATATATATATATATATATATATGAGAGAGAGAGAGTACTATGCAAGTGGGCACCTACAAACACCATGATAAAAGAGCAGGGGTTTGGTTTCACATTTCTCTTTGATGCCCCTCACTATCACAAGGATTTGTTCAAATCCATCAGCACACCTGATTTCTGACTTCATTTTAAGAAGCACTGATCAGCCAAACCAGGAGTTGGGTAATCAGTCAAAACTGGACGGTTATAAGGAGAGCTTTGAAAATGATTAAGCACATGATTAGCCATAGAATTGCTACTTATTGTATTAATGTCATTTGTATTTATTCTAATATTATTGTTTTCCTGAGTAAATAAAAACTCCCGGATATATATATATATATATATATATATATATATATATATATATATATATATATATAATTGTTAACAAAAACTTGTGACAAGTAACAAAGAAGTATTCAAGATTCTGCATTGCTTCTTCGTCACTATTTAAATTTAAGCACATTTGTGAAATTGACCATGTTGAGGCCTGTGTATGAAGAGGTCAGATTCTTTTTAGTCCTGTCTTTTCCACTGAAGGCGACTTACAGGGGGACTTAATCTACTGATCAGACTTCTGCACGACTTGTGGAGTCAGCTCAAGCGCACACTGTGAATAAAGCAAAATCAGCACATACCAAAAACTAAGAAGCTCTAAAATTCATGGTAAAATTTCAGACATTGTACTTTTCATTTAAATTGTTATGCTGATGTTAGAATTTGTAATGAAAATCTTTCTACTAAATCAGAAAGGAATGCAAAATAGAAGCGTTTTTACCAGTCGTCTCAGACTTTTGGACACCACTGTATGTCACAGCTGTCGAAGCAAATGTATCTCCATTTTTGCCATTTTGTACTTTTTTACAGAATTTTATGGAAAATGCCTGCTGCCCTTTACAGTGTGCTAAAATTTCATGATGAATGGACCAATAGAAATGTCGTTCCATTGACTTCCATTCAAAGTTTTCTTTGAATATTGGAAAGATGGTTTTGATCCGACATATATATATATATATATATATATATATATATATATATATACATATATATATATATATATGTATATGTATATATATATAGACGTTATGATGTTTGATGTCATAAGTTTGTTATGTGCTATTTTTGCTATGTACCCTAATTAGCTGTTATGACATATTATAACATCTGTTATGACAATCAGTTGTCCTGACATTATATATATATATATATATATATATATATATATATATATATTCTATTATACATACATGTAGCATTTCTAGAGGATTTTCTGTTCAGTCAGTGTGAATTAGAAATGTGTTAATTTTCTGCACTCGCATTATATTCACAAAAAATGGGTCAAATGAAAAGGGGACAACCGGCCCCCCATTAAGAGAAAATTACCCACAGAGGTGATGGTGCTCCATTTCTTAATCTGATGTCCTAGCAGAATTTTTCGCTAAAGCGAGTTCTGTAAATAAGGCCAGCACATAGATTCCCTATAACATGATAGTGTAATGATCACGTAAAGAGTGAATTACTCCTCACGCTGGAACAAGTTTAAAAATCAACTCACAATTACTCACTAGTTTACTTTTATCAGCGTCTCTCTGCCTCTCTGATTACGCTGCCCTGCTTTGTGCTAACACCCACTCTTGTTACAGGCTTGTTGCAGTTTTTTGTTGAAGTTTAAGATTTTTTTTCTCTCAGTGTTTCTTTGAAGTGAGGAAGCTGTGCAGTGTGCAGACAGCAGCATTAGAGCCGTGGAGATGCACTGTATGGAGGGAGAGAGAAGATGGGGGAGGAGAAATGAAGAAAGGATAGTTTTAACTCCTCTGCCTGTTTCCTTTCACTTCATTCGTGTCTGTTGTTTGCTCTACACACTCCTCCATGCATTTTTCACAGAAGGTAAGTGGATCTGATGTATTTGTGAAAATCTCTTGGGGCCAGGCACAATTTGAGCCTGGGGCCTGGTCTCAGCTACTCTATCAGCGGCTTTTAATGGTGGATTTTCAGCGGGGAAAATTTTATACAGTCCAGGATGAAGATTTGTTTCCTTTTAATCTTTCCACTTGACGGTTTTTCTTCTGTAATGTTGCTGAAAAGTTTTAATGCACTTCAAAGACCAGGAACAGCCAAATTTTCAAGTGACAAATAGCTTAATCACAGCAGTTGTACTTAGGCCAAACTTAAGCCATATCATGACCTCGATTGACCCTTCAGTTGTCACTTAAAACTGTTACTATTAGCTTTACTAGTCTCTCTCAGGGCCTACGATGCGTTACAAACTGTATCAAAAGGTTAGAAGCGTTCTATGCGGAGATCACACCACTGTATGTTTGAAGATTATATCTGTAAGCATGTATACACGAAAGGCTCTTGAAAGGTTTCTTCTTTAAAAGCAAAGCTGACATAAAAAGGCCCAAAGGTCACAAGCTTTGTAAGTTAAGATGTTTTAACTCTAGGTAGCTCTTGTGTTCTTTCTTTATACATTCTGTGTGCAACATACAGGTGTGCGAATGTTTTAGGTAGCCGTGAAAATTGTTTGAAACTGTATATTTCATCAGTAGTAAGTGTACTTTTGCATGTAAATCCACCATTAAAACATTAGAATAAATACAAAGCATAAATACATCTTGTTCCTTGTTTTTAAACATGTTGTTGATATCTTAATTAGAAGAACACAGGTTTGGTTCCTGACTCCAGTTACTGCAAGGATTTGTTTACGTTAATGTAATGAAGGATTGATTAGATAAACTAGATTGTGGATGGTAACTGTAAATACTGGGCTTCCACAAGGAGAGATTTGGAAATGGTTAATGGCTAACATGCGTCAAATCACAATGTATTGCTTATTTGTAGGCCTATTTGTTCTAATGTTAAACAAATTCGTGGTCACCGCCCAGACAAATGGCTTTATACATCGTTGCTCTCCAAAAAAAAAAACAGATTAACAGATTTTTACTTTTCTGCATCATTTTAGCACGGCAGATATTCTTTACATTGTGTGAAATTTTCATGATGAATGGACCAACAGAAATAATCCAAAACTGCTTGGAATAAAATCTCTTTACTTGAACTTACACTGAACATAAAGAATGTTTTTGCCCCCTCCTGTAAACCATTTTGGAGATAATTGTTTTTTTAGATGCCTAAAACTTTTACACAGTACAGTAAACAGTGTTTCGACTGGAATAAACATCAGTTTGATAGAAAAACATTTTTCTATCATCTGATAGTTACTGATGGAACGCATTCTGCTGCTGGCGGTCATGCCCGTTGTCCTACTCGCTGGTGAGTAGAACTTTTATTGATCAAATCTGTAGCATGGTCTATGTTTTAATGCTTGCTCTGGTCCTTATGGACTCTGCTCTAAAAGAAAAACAATCGATTAAATCCATACAAGGCTGCAACGCCATGAACCACCAGATTTCACTGCAACAGTTACCTTTAGATACTCCATCCTTCAGTGGATCACGCTGAGCAGCCCCAGGCTTTCACACATGAAGGCCTGAATCCACAGTTTCGCTCCTTGTTAGCTGTTATACGAATGTTATACAAATGTTAAATTGTTTTTTATGATAAAAAGCTAAATCTAATCGTGTGTTTCCGCATTGAACCGGTGTGCATTCTCAAAAATAAAGGTGACAAAAAGGGCGCGCAGAAGCAGTGGCTTAACTAGAGTTTTATGGGCCCCAGTGCAAAAAAAAATGGGCCCCAATATCAGAATTATTTTTAAAGAGAAAAAAAAATTACCATGTAATTTGCTTGTTTACTTGCTATTGTTATGTCTCAAACAAGTTGTTTGTCTCGAGGCATGCCACTCCACCCACTAGCATGTAACATTAAGCTAAATGTTTACATTAGACTACCTAAGATTTTAAAATGATAAATAATGTCATTTAGCAAGTTGTGAAGGATCTGTTTGAAAATAGTTACCATGGATGAGCTGCATTATCAATAAGACAGAGATAAATAGTGGTCAGTTTTGTCTGTGTACTGTTGATGGAAGCTAAATGGTGAGGTACATTGTTAAGCAGCTGGATCTTTCTGTGAGTCATGGGCGTACAGTGGTGACAGAATTTAGGAGGGGCGCAACAAACATTTTAGGGGACCCAGTCGCCTAAATTCAGTGCCAGTGCTCTTCTGCCCCCCCACCCAATAGTTATGTAACTGCATATAAGAAGCTGTTTTGGTTCCTGAAAGAACTTTCCATATGGATAGTTGTTTGAGGAACTGTTTTTGTAAATGAGATGTGCGAGTGTGAACAGCTTCTTTAAAATGTAACGAAGCTCCACATTGTGTTCTGTATCAAATAAAGGCTGCTCCTAGAACCGTACGTCCAAGCCGAGAACCTTTTAGGAACCTGTTTTGAAGAGTGTGGGCCTGTATTAGCCTTCAGCTGGAAAGAGTCCCGCTCTACAATATTCCAGTGAATGCTATACTCAAAGGCATGATGCTCTGTTTCTTCGTAACTGGATTGAGCCAAGTCTACCATGAATTAACCCTCTTAAATGGCCAGGGCCTGCCAATGGCCAAACGTTTTATTACACACTTCTATAACCTGAGAATAGCTCAACCAGTTTGCACTGAAGTCCCTGTAGTTACTAAATAATAAGCCTTAGTATGCAGTAAGCCTGGGATTTTAAGGTGTTAAGCCACAAAATACTGTAGAAGAGTGGCATGCGTAATTATTGACCAGTATTTGTCACTGTGGTTGCTGTTATTTTAAAATAAGCTGATTGTCTTTTGTTGCATTTGTAAAAACGCTGGTAAGTGCTGTTATAAACAGACAGACGGTGATTGCAATAACACTCCTAACCTCCTAATAACTCCTAACCCAACATGATGAAACACAAGCTAAAGTATTTTATCTTTAAGCATAATTCTTAGCTATTTAATGACTTATTATATCGCATTGCATTAATAGATTTTAGTTATTACAGACATTTATTTAAGAGATATGTTTATGTGCTCAGTCCACATTTTAGCAGAATGCCTCTTCCTGCTGTAATCGAAACTGTTTGCCTTTTGGACAAATTGGCCTTTTATTTCAGTGCTTTAAGATCTCACTCATGTCTTTGCAGAAATTGCTGATTCACTGCAGTGTTGGATTCATTCTTACGCTAAGAGATCGTCTGTTATAGCTCTCTCGATACATTTCAGAGGAAATGATGAGATGATTTATCAGCTCATAGTCTCTCTGAATAAAAGTACCAGACATAACATAGGTTTTGCGAATTATATCACTGCATTAAAGGATTCATCAAAAAAGAATGTAAGTTAACAATACAGATGTTCCTATCTTATTTAACAAAATAACAAAAAATCCTAATTTGATTGTGAATGAAAGAATGAAAATGACAAATTAATTAATTAATTAATCAGTTAATCACTTCACAACATTTGGAACATCTTATGTGGCGTTTTTCCCTATAACACTAAAATCAAACAAGAATGGGTGAATATGCGCTAGTCTTGCTTTATCTTATTATAATTTATCGCAATTAATTTTTTTGCTTGCTTCTTTTCTACCAGCGGTTAAAATCTGCTTCTTGTAGTGTAAATGTGGGTACATGTGTTAGAGAAATGCGCTTTACAGTGTTGTGTCAAAGCGCATTAATTCAACTCAGTGTTTATTAGCACGACTGCTTATTAAATTGGGAATTTTCAGAGACTTTCAGCAGATTTCTTTGAAAATGAGAATGAAATTATGTCGCATTTAGTCACTTTCACTATTAAAACCTAAATATGTTGTGTAATAGTTCGGCATTTCAGCTTGCTAATGGCTGCAGTTCACTCTAGAATTTAACCACACCCTAAAAAAACCCAGTGCTGCAAAGTAAATAAATAAAGAAAGAAAAGAAAAAAAAAACAATAAAGAAGAAAAGAAGACTGTGCTTATGCGTACACTGCACAAAGAACAAGAGCTCGCAGGAGCATCTGAAAAAAAGCCGCAGATATCACTTTTGTCTTTTGTTCTCAGTGACACAGCGTTACAAAGGCTTGATGAAGGCTATAAAGTGTTCTCTCCCACAGAACCTGATGTAATTAAAAAGTTAACCACTATATATACTGTAACGGATCTGCCACTGTATTTTATGGAGGCCGAGCTAAGCATTCTTGTGTCATTTTGATTGTATTTAAAGTTCTACCATCAGTTATAAACACTGAGACAAATGATTAATTTCTTACAAGTGCTTTAGATTCATTCAGCATGAAGAGTTCCTGTATGTGCTGGACTGAGACAGTTAGATTGGACTTTACTCTGAGTTCTCACATGCGTTTCAATGACAGATCTAACTTTTTACAGCACTTTAAAGCAAGTTTTATCAAAACCATGTCAAACTTCATTGCTCTCTATATTAATAATACAACATAATTAATGCTCTATGTGGTGATCAGTGCCTAACTATTAAACTTCTTTGCCATATTTAATAACCAACGTCTTTTTGCTGTCTTCTCCAGAGTTTCATTCTACAACTCCGAACATCACTTTATTTGATCCTACTACAACTTCTAGTCCAACAACCACTCCATGTGTTAGCACCGCTAAGCCCACCATAATCCAGGTCCAACATGTACTGGGCAGGGTGAAGGTGGAATGGGGCAAAACAAGTCCATGTCAGGGCAGGATTTTCTTCTCAATCGATTTCACAAAACCAAAGCCTGTTTGTACCCAAAGTGTTAAAATAAGTAATTTAGGCAATGAGCTGTGTGAGGAGAGGAGATGCGGAAAGTTCCAAGAATTCAAGTTCAACAAAGCTGAGGACGGTTACATCATCTCTAAGAATCTATCTGTGATGTCTGACCATTGCTCAACCATGTCCATCGCCTGCAGTGGTACGTGCATGTTTAAGAGAGCATCGTGCAAAGAAATAATGCAGAATCTTATTTAGTGCAGTGCATATTTACTGCAAGCACTGATCTTCTTTTTCTCTTTTGCAGACAACAACGAGCTGTTGGCCTATAAAGTGGCCACTGGCTTGCTGCTGGTGCTGGTCCTGACTGCCATTCTCTTTCGATTTGCATGGCCGACATACATAGCCGTCCGCAATAGATGTGAGTTTGAAGACGTTTTTTTTTTAATAAAATTATACAGACGTAGATCCTATAAATACTGACATCATACTCATCATACTTGCTTTAAACCCTGATCCTCTGTTTTTCACACTCATAACTACATGACTTACATATTAGTTTGATAGTAGTAACTGAATAATTCATAATGCATAGTAATTCAGAGTATTCATAGTACATGTTACTGAATAGTCTTAAAGTTTTAAGATTAATATCTGAATAATAAGCCTGGGGTTAAAGGGGCGAAGGTATTTAAACATTTAGAGCAGTAAAAGTCAAAATTCATATCATTAATACAGTACGGTCTTAGTCTGAGACACCTCTGCACCTTGTTTAAATCCATTTATCTTTGCAATAAGATGCTTATAAAGACAGCATGTATCATTAGGATGTGAATAAACATGACTACAGTAAATAGTAACAAGAATATCTTGTTTTCAAAAGGTAATTAATATTTTGTGAGCTTGTTTGAAGTTTGGTTCCAGGTGTCTCCTGGAAGCCCCCACTATTGCATGTGTTAAATTTCAGCAAAAGTACGCTTGATTTAATGTAATGAAGAGCTGATTAGCTAACTAATTGGATGATAACTACAACTAATAATGAACCTCTTGAGTAGAAGTTAAATAGATAAATGAACACACTGCTATGCGTAAAGTTAACTACTTAGTGTATTAATATTATTTGCATTTATTGTAAAATCAGTGTTTTTTGAGCAAATAATTGCTCACTGACAAGATAAATAGATATTTAAATTTATTTCGAATTTTCTCAGGTGCCTAAAATTCTACTTGATTTGAACACAGCAGCTGCTTTTCACACTGTGAATATTTCATTATGAATGGACGAACAGAAATGCTCCAAAAAATGTCTTTTCCTTAATTTAAGTTAAGCACATTTTTGCCTTCTCCTGTAAAATTACCATTTTGGAGATGCATTTTTTCATGTGTTTTGTTTTTGGACAGCGACAATACGAATTTTGAAAAACAGCACATACCATGTAGCATTTTTGTACTAAAAAACGCTTTTATTATTGTTCTCCTAATTAACAAAAGCTTTGGTATTGTGGCGGCATTAATATGTGTGGCCGTTAACGCTATTGACGGCTCTGTTTCATTTACTGCAGTTTCACAGAAGCAGCAGAATCGTTGGATCGGCCCGACGCAGAGTCAGAGCGGTGAGTCATTTCTCTCTCTCTCTTTTGCCACACACACACACACACACAAACACACATACACACACACACGCACACACACACACACACACACATATACACGTGCACATTCTTGCAGACATTTGTAGAAGATGGTGCAGCCTTTTCAACTATTTGTGCTGTTTTAGTGTCCTATCACAGAGGCCAGGCTGGTCAGCTAAAGAACAATACAGTCAAGGGGCAGTCCTACCCTGGTGAGTGTGCTCACACTATATACTCATTCACTTTGGCTTACATTCTTCTCACTCACACACAGATGGTACACAGTTTAACCCCTGGACAGGGTCCGCAAAGTTTTACTACACGCTTCTATAACCTCAGAATAGCTCAGCCATTTTGCTTTAAAGTCCCTGTAGTTACTGAATAATAAGCCTTAGTATGTAATAAGCCTGGGATTTTAAAGGTTTAATGCAGTTTGATTTTCGTTCCTCACCAGGTTTGGAGAGGCTTTCGGTAAATCCCAGTAGAGAGCCTTCGTCAAACAGGAACAGTGACTACGACTCTTATGCCTACAACTGAACACCTCCGTGCGTGAGGCATCACCGTGCAGGAGTCGCCGTAGGCTGAACTTTGTGTATATGATGATTTGAAGGGTTTTTTCCCTCTCCGCTTGTGACCTTTGGCTCTATGCTACTGTGTTCAGTGGAAGCCAGACAGGAGCAATCAACACAGAACTAAGCAATCTAAAATATATGATTTGTGTGAACTGACAAATAATACCTATGATTTTGCTTTACGCTCATATGTTCAGTCATATTTTTGACTTGAAAGAATTTGCTAAGGCAGTTTGATTCTGCAGATGTACTATGAGGACGGCTGATGTAAAGTGGTAAACAGGCCTCAGTGAGCAAGGTAAACTATGTTGTTTATTTATTTGTTTGTTTGTTTAATAAGAATATTTCACCTGAGAATATACCTGAGAATATTTCACAAAACAGAATGTCTCATACAAGGCCATACAAGAGGGTGATAAGGCAAAATAATAGATCATGATGCTCAAAGATATTTCCATAATATGCAATACGAATCATGATATTTAGCCTTATTTGTGAAGTCAGAATAGACAAAATGCACCAACAAAACTTGTACCATATTTTAAAAAGACTATGAAAAGGATGAATTTGTATAATATTTTTTTGTTTGAAATGTATTTATTCAACATTTGTAAAAATAAACGGTTTCAGAAGATCAGGCTAATCGTGAATAAATAAAAATTAAAATAAGATGTCATAATGGGTTGATATCCAGCTCAGCTATTTGTTACCATGCAGTTTATACAATTAACATACACTGCATGTTATTGTTTACCGGCTCTCTATAGCCTAATTAGTCTAAATCTTGTTTATGATCCATGCTGGTGTTTGGTGTTCTAGAAGTACCGATGATATCCATGACATAATCAGATAAGCATCCTACGATGTAGTTTACTACGATAACGTAGTAACCACAGATGCCCTGATAATTTCAGTAGAAAGTCATGCCTGTTTAATCTGAGGAGAAGTCAGAGATGTTCCTATTGGACAGTCACAGCCCCAGGTCACAAGTTTCTAAACTTTTCTAAACTTTTTCCCAAATTCAAATGTCTGGATTCCTACAAACCCTGTTTTATTGTTGCTTATGTTGTTTATAATGTGAGAACGCTTTTTTTTTTTTTGTCCTGTTCTTAATAATTCATATGCAGAGTAGTTTGTAGATGAAATGTGTTAAATAACTTTTCTTAAAAACAAAAATAAATTTTGATGAATATCTCCAGTGTTGGAGCCTGATTGCTACTGAATGCTGTATTGGGAGATGCAGAGTGGGAGTGAGAGAGCAGGTGACGGTGGGAGTCTGGCGGGGGGTGGGGGGTTGGGGGGGGGCACGATGTGAATACGGTACGAATGTGATATGAATGCACTGCTTTGCAGCACCGTGGTTTCCTGTCGCGTTTGGACTCACTTCCTGCTTGTTATTTTTGTCGTTCATGCTCTCTCCTGCCCTAAAAATACTGCAGGTTCACAGCGCCCCTACATCCCCATCAGCCCCTTTCCCCCCTGCAGAAATGTCATTCATCCTTTCATTCTTACTTTCTGTTCCTTCCTTTCCTTATGCAGATTTTCTTCCTGTTCCTGTTCCATTCTCTCTCTCTCGTTTTGTCTGATTAGTGATAATCAATGAATTATTATTTTTTACTGTTGATATAATATCAACAGGTTTCTGCTCACATCTTTCAGATTTGAGGTGAATAGAGTGATGGCCAAGAGATAAAAATACAAAGCATTATATATGTTTATATATATATATATATATATATATATATATATATATGTGTGTGTGTGTTTGTGTGTATGTGTGGGTGTGGGTGTGCGTGTGCATGCATGCATGTCTGTGGGTGTGTGTGCGAGTGAGTGGGTGTATGTATGTGAGTGGGTGTGTGTGCGTGCATGTCTTTGTGGGTTTGGGTGAGCATGCGCGCGTGTGTATGTGTATTCGGTCAGTTTGCAGAACAACCAAAAACACGTTTTTAGAACTTTCCACAGGCAAACAGGTGAATAGGTTCATGACATCATGATTGGGTATAAAAGGTGCCCTCATGACTAACAGTGGAAAGGTGTGCTGTGGTCTGTCCACTATTTAATTGGGAGACACTTTATTTTGAGTGGTCCTTTTAGATGAAACACATACTCAATGGACTCTCAGTAACACGTGAAAAACATATGAGGGTTAGGATTAGTTTTTGGGTTGAGGTTAAGGTTAGGGTTAGGATTAGGGCCAGGGTTAGGATTAGGTTTTGAGTAAGGTTGGATAAAGTTATGTTATGCATAATGGAAGTCACAAGTAATGCAAGTAATGTGTCAGCAGTACATCCTCAAGATATTTACTTCAATATCTACTTACTACTGCCACTTCACTGATGTGTTGTTGAGTGGTTGTTGTGGTGTGGTAATACCAAAGGCTTGGATAGTTTGAAAATCTGTGAAGACACCATTAATGCTGAGGGGCACATACACATTTTGGTGCAACATATGCTGCCATCTAGACGACTTTTTTAGGGACATCCCTGCATGTTTCAGCGAGACAGTGCCAAGCCACACTCTCCACATGTTATGTGGTTTCAATAACAAACAATAACAAACAACTTTTTTTTTCAGGTTGAAGAATGGCGTTCACTAGAAATGAAAAGGCATTTTGTGTGCTAGAATATGCTCGAACACAGTCAAACGAGAAAAAAAACTGGAAAGCAGATTTGGACATTAAATGTAAAATGTAAAAATTCAAAGAGGAAGGATGTCTGTGCAGGGCAAAGGGATCTGGACGACCACCAGTATCAGAAGATATTACATTTGTGAAGCTGTGAAATCGGTTATAAAATCTACATCCCTCTGAATTTCTTGTTCAAATTTTGATAAATAAATCTTGTATTGTTCAAAATGAAGCCTATTTAATTTCTTTTGCCCAGGACATGTAGTTACTCAGATACTCACATCTCAAATGATGTCAATTTTTTGGGACACCCTGTATATTAAGTATATATATTACTTAGTTAATTAGTTCATTAAATATCTTGTCTTTGTTGTGTTTTCAGTTGAATTGGATTTGCAAACCATTGCTGCCAGTTTTTATGTATATTTTTCCTACTATTTCAACATTTTTGGAATTTATTATTGCATATCACAGACATCCACACATGCTTATATGACATTAATTTTGTGTGTGCATGTGTTAGTGAGGGGGTGGTGGGATAAGTGCAGTGTCGTTCTCATCCTCAGGTCAGAGAGAGGGATTAACTCTGTAGTTTGAATGAGGTTCCAGCAGAGAACAATGACAGCTGACAACAGATTACATGTACAGATTAGCACAGCGAGAGAGAGAAAATTCCTCCACATCCCTCCATCATCCGGCCCTGTCAGTCTCCCACTGCAAGACTGATACTTTATTTGGGTCTGATATTACTGTTACAAAACATGAAGTAAACGTGCACACGGCAAATGCAAACCCCACTTCCGGAAAAGTTAGAACATTTTTGCAAAATTAAATAAAAGCAAGAATCTGTGATTTGTTAATTCACTTGTACATATATTTCACTGACAAAAAAAGGAGAGATTTTTTCTAATCTTTTCACTGACCAACGTAATTGTATTTTGTAAATATAAACAAGTTCAGAATTTGATGCCTGCAACACAATCAAAAAAGCTGGCACAGAGGTATGTTTACCGCTGTGTAACATCACCTTTCCTTTTAATTACACTTTTTAATGAGAGTATACTAACAGAGGATACTCACTGTTGGAATTTTTGCCCATTCAGCTGCTTAACAGCCACACATTTTCAATAGGAGACAGATCTAGACTGCAGATAGGCCAGTCAAGCTCATGCACTCTGGCATGCTGTTGTAGCATGTGCAGAATGAGGCCTGGCATTGCTGAAATCACCATGGACCTCCCAAGAAAAGACGTCATCTTGAAGGCAAAGCAAATATCTCTCTGAAATCCCAATATACACCTCCATGCCAATGGCACCCTCATACAAATGCAAGTCACCCATACGATGATAGATGTTGCATGTTATGTGCGTTATTCCCAAAAACAAGCTGAAACATGGACTCATCTGATCACAGCATACATTTCCTCTGTCTTTCAGACCACCTGAGATGAGCTCGGGCCCAGAGAGCTTGGCGACGTTTCTGTATAGATATAGATTCTGTATATATCTGTGTTGATGTATGGCTTTCTCCTTGCATAACAGAGTTTAAGTTTCATTTCTTTATGCAGCGGCGGACTGTGTTAAGTGGCAACACTTTTCTGAAGTGTTCCTGAGCCCATGTGGCTATATTTAACACAGCAACATCACAGTTTCTCATACAATGCTGTCTGAGGGCTTGAAAGTTGTGCACATTGAACAGTGGTTTCTGGCCTTGCCAATATTATGTATGGTGCAATCTTGTGTTGAGAAATGTTCTTTTTGAACTGTTCAACAATTCTCTCACAAAGTTTGGCACAAAGTGATGCACCACAACCCATCTTTACTTGCAAAACTGAGCCTTTGGTGGGTGCTCCATATACACCCAGGATACCCTCACCTGTTACCAATTCACCTGCTTATTGTGGAATGTTTCAAAAAGGTGTAACTTGAATATTCTGTAAACCTTTCACCTTATTTTGCCTGTCACATTAATAAATTATAGATTCTAGTTTATACTGCATTTAACAAAATGTCCCAATTTTCCAGACATGGGGTTTGTATATTCACACATTATTAAGCTTCAGCAGCTAACAATATTGCTATGTTGTAATAATGATAACTTCTTAAACTTAACTTCATTTGCAAGTATGAGAAAACAAAAAAAAAATTAAAAAACAAAACAAAAAAACAAATTAAAACTTAAATAAGCAATACACTATTTACACTTGAGTTTCTTATGTAATTAATCTGAATGAATGCAGATCAGTGCATTTTTTTTCTTCCACAACTTCAAAAGGGCCACCTGCATAAAGTGACAGAGGATGAATCGAAGAATGTTTTTTTTATGTAGCATATCTTCACTGTGCAAAAAACATTTTACATTTTTGTCAATTTTATTTTTCATCATTTGACCAAGACAGCTCTCCTTTACATTGCGTGAAAATTTCATGATGAATAGACTCACAGAAATGCCATAACATGAATTTGAATAAATTCTTCTTACATTAATTTACACTGAAAGTTATGAAAATTTTTGCCTTCTTCTGTAAAATTACAACTTTGGAGGTACCTGTTTTCTGTGGACAGTGACAATATGCATCTTAAGGACACAAAGGAACACAAGAGGAAAGAAATAAGGCGGAGGCATCTGTATTAGGGGTGTGTGTGTGGGGGGGGTGATTGTAATATTAGTGTTGGGATGCTTTGTGCAATTTAATGCTATAGGTTTATGCTAAGCTCTTTGTGGCAGAGGCATTGTCTCTAAGCTCCTTCTGCTATTACAACTATCAGTGTGCTGAAGTGTGTCAGAGCATGTCTGATAAAACACAGATTTAATGAAATATTCTGACTTTCCTCTGTAACACACACAGACACACATACACACACAAAAAACACATTTGTCTTACATTTCTAGTGAGGACTTAGCTAAGTAATACTACACCTCCTCCTAAACCAAACCCTTACCTTATCCTCAGTATCCATAAATCATTTTTTCCAAAAAACATGTAATTTGTGATGAAAACAACACGCGTGAGGACAAGTGGGGACAAGCAAATTGTCATGTTGCCCTGTCACTAGGAGGACATGTAGTCCTCACAATGATAGTAAGATGAGCACACACACACACACACACACACACACACACACACACACTTCTCATCGTTCTTTTGCTTCTTTGCACTGTATAATTCTCTTCCTGCTCTTTATGCTCTCACGCTGAAATCATCTCCGGTCAATCAGGAACTATTCATTTAAAAAACAAAATGCAATGTTTTCTTAAAATGAATTACAACAGTGATGTAGTGATACTGCCTTCCAGCGAAGAAGGACATATTTTTATAGTTAATCAGAAGATGACTGCATTTTCATTTTCGTGCAAATTAGTGTAGCACGAGTAAGTACAGCATGATTAGCATGACATATATTATGTACATTACTTATGCTGCGTAAATGAATATTCTTATTTTTCATATCTGCACCTTATTGTTATCTTGCACTACTGACTCTGTACTTTCAGGTAGGTGCTAAACTGCATTTTGTTGCCTTGTACTCTTTCAGAATAAAATAGTAGTAAACTGTCACTGGGACAGTACCCCTCTTGTCACTGGGGTGGTATCCTCAAGGGCACATAACTGTACCATAATCCATTGAAATTATATATTCTAAGTTGTATTGACTCCACACACCCCATCTCGACTCCAGGCTTTTTATTTTATCATTCTGTTTTAAAATATTAGGTTATGAAAAGTACAAATATGTACTTTTCACCTGGAAAAACTTATTCTAGGTACACTGTTGTACCTCTGAGGGAACATTTACATTGTTCGTACCTTGATGAACGAAAAACGTACCTGCACAGAACCTTTATTTCTAACAGTGTACTGGTACATCTTCTTCTTCTTTGTATTATTGTTATTATTATTGTTATTATTAATAATAATAATAATAATATTATTAAAAAATAATTTTGTTATTATTATTGAATTTACATGTCAACTTTTTAAAGTAACAAGCATAAGTAATATTTTCTATTTACAAAACAAATGTTGTACTTCAATTTGTCTTTATTTCATAACTTACACATAAATTGATGAAGACCTTATAGCAAAGATAAAAAAGGATTTGACATAAATTATATATTCTATATCTAAATCAAATGATAACGCATGATTTCTCTAGAGGGTCTTCTTCTCTTCTTCTTCTTCTTCTTCTTTTTCTTCTTCTTTCTCTTTTTCTTGGCTGCTGTTTCGGTTTTGTTTCCAGTTTAGTAAACATGTTCAAATGTGTGTTTTGAGGAATAAAGACAATCTGAAATGCATTTGCACTCACACTGAACACTAACAGGATTTTGCCTCTAATGCCTTCTGCATTTCCCCCATTACTAATCATTACTAAATACACTAAACTCAAATGAAGTGTTAACAGCTTAACTGTTGATTTTGTGAGCTTAATACTGATTCAGAGCTCTATATTGGAGCCATAGGCAGGTAAATGGTTCAGCCCTAGTTTACTAGGTGTATCATCCATCTGGAGAGGCACCATTTTCTTGGCTAGATTGCAAAAAACACAAAAAGGAGATGAAAAGAGGAGGGGACGGATGCCAGCGAATGGGAGTGGGGGAAAGAGAGAGAGGATTATTTACCATTTTAAATGAATAAATCCGTATTGTGCGAATGTGGCACAGCGGCTAAAAAGGGTGAGAGAGGGGGAGAGAGAGGGGGAGACAGAGAGAGAGAGAGTGTTATGAGGCAGCCAAACAAGCCACAAGAGCTACAGATCAAAGGGAATGAAAAAGATGAAAACTTTAAGCACTGGTAGAAATGAGGTGAAAAGGGCTAATTTCAAAATCATTCGCAAACTCTGTTCTTCCTCCTAAACCAGCACAGAAATCCTCACTCACAATGACTGAAGACAGACTAAATGATTAAATGATGAGAATGTCACTGAGAAAATGCTATAAAACGAATCCGGATGCCTGAGGGAGGAAAAGACATTCTACTTTCACTTTGACTTTTATGGGAAGCCAGACAAAGAAGGTAAGCAGACATTCTTAGAAATTCTTATATAAACTCTATAACCCATAGAAAGGTTAAAGGGGAATTCCAGCAGTTTTCACATTTTCTATCATTTTCTACATTATGCAGTCATTAAGATGTAAGTAAAGTCATTCAGAGTGGTTTTATATGAAATGATCCATTTTAGAAAAAGGATTGTTCACAGTGGTGGTGAAGGGAACCAGACTTCTAAAGTGTGTGATGCTTTTAAAGTATGAATATTCTGCCTGGTGCCTGAAACATTGTTTAACAGAAGTTTTGTAATAAGCTTTTGGCATAAAATGTATTTTTAATTACATTGATGGCGGAGGGGTACATGCAGGGTGATATAAGGCAAATTAGTCCCATAAGAAAACTTATTTTTTTGGAATTTGACACTATTTTACCATCACAAAGATTGCATTAACTGGTGGTTTTGCGTAATAAATACATGAGCTATATTGTGTTGTAGACGTCGAGACCCCTTGTTCATATCACCACCATTGTAAAGACATCTGAGTTTCAAAAGTTACTCCACAATAAAGCATTTCACTTCAAAGCACTCTCAATGACTTTGTTTACATCTCAGTGATTGAATTATGCAGATTTTTTTTTTATTGGTGAAATTCCCCTTTAATGTTGTGACATTTTTACTGTAAACATAGCCTTATAATGTCCATAGGCACAAATGAAATACTTCTTTAGAAAGAGGATAGCAGTAGTTTTAGTGGCTTTTAGTGATGATTTTTGTGTTGTTTTGCATTTTCAGGGATGAAGTTATGGGTGTGATCAGTCTCTTTGGAGCAGGATGTAGCTCTTTCACTATGAAACCTGATAATCCTCTGCTGGTCTGTGATGCTCTGTAAGTTTGAACCATTTTAATCTCGTGCAATTCCCACCCACATTTTCATCCTGTAATACTGTCATTTGGTATGAATTTACTCTTTGCATAACACTTTGTTTGAATGGTCTCAGTAAGCATCAGTTAAATCGGTAATCAGTAAGATCTAGAGAATCTAGAGTGTTTACATTGTACATTTTAAGGGGTTTCTTGTTCTATTGAAATGTCAATTGTAGCAATAGCCAAAATTCGAATTGGAGTTTTGGTTTAGCAGAAAAATCATTCTACAGTGTCTTTAACTTACCTGAATACTTCATCTGGTTCTTCATTTCCTTAAACTGAAGCCCACGCCCAGGCTCCGCCCTCTCTCTCTCTCCCAGCCCGAATCACTGTCTCCCCTCCATGGCACTCTCTCCCTCTCTCTCAGGGTGACCTGGGCCTGCTTTTCACCAACTCCAGCCCCTTCTCCTTTACACAGTCCCTGCTGCTCATGCCTCCTCTAGGAGCTGCCTCCAAGCCAGGCCTACGGGCTGCATTTGGGCCTTACTCTGTCACTCAGGTACATCAGTTATTTAGTAGTTGTCACGTCCACTAATGTAAAAAAAAAAGAGAATGAAATGATGAAATACAGATAAAAACAGAAATTCTGTTTGACCTGTATTAAATTAAAAACCACACAAAACACAATATTTAATGTTGTACCTTGTGAAATTTCTTGTTTTATTTGTTTTTTTTATTATTTTTTTAATATATGCCCACTTCAAATTTGATGCCTGCAACACGTTCCGAAGATGTTGGGACAGCAGCATGTTTACCACCATGTTACATCACATTTTCTTTTAAAATTTCTCAACAGCACTTAGTAATCATTTTGGGGCCAAAGATATTTTTTGCCATTCTTGCCATTTTTAGTGGGAGGTAGGCCAGTCTAATGGCAGCCATGCTGTTGTAACATGTAGAGAATGTGGCTTGGTGTTGTCATGTTGAAATAAGCATGGACGTCCCTGAAAAAGACATCACCTAGAAGGCAGCATGTGTTGCTCCAAAATGTGTGCATATCTTTCAGCATTACTGGTGCCTTTACAAATGTGCAAGTTACCTATGCAATAGGCATTAATACACCCCCACATCATGAAATTTTGAACTTTACACTGGTTGCAATCTGTATGACCTTTTTCTTCTTTAGCCTGAAAAACACAATGTCTATTATTTCCATAAACAATCTGAAAGTTCCACAGTTCATGTTTCCACTGTGGATCAGTCTATTTTAGATGAGCTTGAGCCCAGAGAAGTCAGAGGCGTTTCTAAATGTTGTTAAAATGTGACTTCCACTGTGCATATCTTGCATTTGTGGATGCAGTGATGAGCGGTGTTAAGTGACAACAATTTATCAAAGTAATTTATCAAAGCCCATTTGGATGAAGTTGATAGGAAAAATAATTTATTATTATTATTCACATACTTTCTTTGCCCTTTTTTGTTTAAATACACTTTAAAGTGGATTTACAAATCATCGCTTTCTGTTTTTATTTGCACTGTCCCTAACATTTTTGGAATTGAATTTGTATTTTAAAAAAATAATTTATTTCCTTTTTCTATGTGATCCAATGTTCCTATATTTAATCTTGAAACAATGAAAATGTAAATTTGAAGATAATGAAACATGAAAAACAATTTGAGCATAAGACTCTTATAGTCTTACAGTCTTACAATACTTTACCCCTTTTTTCTCTTCCTTCAGCTTGTTTCTGAACCTATTGCTCCTCTCTCCACACCTCTTGTTGCATATCTCCTTTCCAAAACGGTTGTGCGAGAATGGGAAGCTGAAGGAGTGGAGAGATTAAAGGTCAGAGTGCTGTTCCACATGAGGGGCGATGCAAACAGAGGAACATGTGTGACTCTTCATGCTTTTAAACAGACTGAGGAACAGAAAGCATCCTGCATCACTCAGGTACTGCCAAAGGTCCAGGATTTAGGTCCACAGAACTAGTTTCACAGCATTCCAAGACATACAGTAGACAGCCAGAGTATATATGGACTGTGGAATCATATTAGTGATACTGCATTTGTAAGTAATCAGCCTAAGGGACTAATTTGTCAAAAACCTTCTGTTTGCTTTCATGTTGTTTTAACATGAAGGAATGGGCGTATTGGGGCCCACTAGTGGGCCATCGACCAGTATAGATTTATAATAGGTGGGCCAGCACACTAGAAGTCACAGGCAACCCTCACAACCTATTTAGACATCAGCAAGTTAATCTAACATGAGCCAATGATAGTAAAGTCACAGAATTTGATCCATTTGATTAAGGCCGAAACTTTTGTGACAGGAGCTATGTCAGACAGTCAGGAGTGCCCAGATTTTTTTATCTGGGGGGTCAAAGTGTTATGCCACACTTTGGTAAATCCTGTATTAGAGAATTAGAAAACATATAGTACAGTATATATATATATATATATATATATATATATATATATATATATATACACACACACACATTTTTTTTTCTAACAATTTTTAAATGGCCTTCCCAAAATATCTGTTCATCATGAACTTTTAGAGTAGCAACAGCCAAAAAATATGTTCACAAATTCCTATTTAGTCAAGATCTCTTTGTATCAGAGGTCTGATCTGATTGGCCAAGCGTAGCACAGCAAAGGCAGCGCTGCATTAGTGCAGCAGCAGTGCCTTCCCCAGGTCGCTCTCTGCTATCACAGAATACTGTGATTTATGTGTGTGTATGTGTGTGTGTGTGTGTGTGTGTGTGTGTGTATACAACTGTTTCAGCTAATCAAGGACTTCTGATGGCAAAAATTAGATGGACCAGGTGGGGTTGATTAAGTTTGGAGCTAAAGTCTGCAGGAAGGTTGCTCTCCAGGAACAGGGTTTTTGACCAGTGGTATATACAATACAAGTATGGTATGGTTTGTGTGAGTTAGGAGTGGCTAGTGGCGGTTTGTGTGTGCTGGGGGCTGCACTCAGGGGCCCAGGATTTATTAACCTATCCCTCCTCATATGTTTTGCATTCCTTTATGTGTCTATCATTTTGCTCTTTTCTAATTCTTTTCCTCCTTTTCGATCTCTGTCCATCTCCACTTGAAGGCTCCTCTCGGACTGTGTGTGGTCACCATGACTTTTTCCAAGGACTGGTTTGAATCTGACCCGACTACTCATCATCACCAGGGCAGCCAAACCTTCAGACAACGTCATCCACACAGAATCCGAGCTCGTAACCACAGCCGACGACAGCAAAACTTCTCAGCAGGCCTCAGGGCCAAACCTGGAACTTTAACAGATATGATCCAGCTCTACTACTCTTCCTTCGGCACCCTGACCAACCTTAAGTTATCGCCACCTAGATGTGTGGAGGACAGGTTGCAGCAGCCGCAGAGGAAGCTCTACTACATTGGATCTGTGACTCTTGAGGATAAAGCAATGAAAAGTAACAAGACAAAGCAAGGCTTTTCCTGCTCAGACGAACTCAAAGAGGAGGAGCTATGGCTGAATTCAGATGTGCTAGTGTGTTATAATAAAGGGCCTGTGCGAGCTGGACAACCAGTAGGAATATCAGTATATCTAAGATCGAATTTTAGTGGTGAATCTGTCATTGTGAGGTATGATAGACTCTCTTTACAGCCATCCATTAAGTATCAATAACACTTTGTAAATTCACAGTCAGGTCTGTGACACTGTCTTCCTTCCTTTTGCTCAGATTTAAAGTGAAGAAAGGATTACTGTCACTGCAAGCCCAACCTGCCATGAACTCTGACCTGTGGACTGTTAAAGTGGAGAGGACATCAGGCTCCAAACATGAAACGATTTCTATAATCTGTCATAGGACTGGTACTGTTCTGGACACACATGGGTGAGATGAAAATTTGTTTTAGAATAATGTAGCTGGGCAATGTTCCTATAACATACAGTGGAGTCCAAAAGTCCACGTCGATCACATTGAGAATCTGGCATTTTTTAATTTAGAGGGTCCATATCGTACATCTTTTTGTAACACATTATTTGGATAGTCCACTTTAGATGTTTTGTAGATAATTTACTTTCGAGTTACATTCAACTAAATATCTTCTAAATTAACCAGAATTTTCTTTCAGTTTAAACCTGGCTCTAAACCATACCCTCACCCTTGTCCTACCCCTAACCCTGGCCAAATCCTAACCCCACCACTGTTTAGAATCAACTGCCTTTCATCATATTTGTTTTTTAACAATTTGAACAGCTGTAGATAATCTATTGGAACTATAGTGGACTATCCAAATAAAGTGAGGTCCACTTAAACCATTAGTGTGGTTTTATGTACCAAAAATGGTCATAATTCTTTTTTACTGTCCACTTTCCAACCTCTCTTTATCCCTTAGAAATAAACAGACTGGTTTTGTTACTGTGTATACGTAAACGACTAAATGTAAATTACTTTAAATGTATAAAGACTGATATATGCAAATGAGCTCTGTTCTAATAGGCTGTCCTGTAAAGTGCCTCATTCAAAAGACACTCAGAGCTGAAACACTCCTTAGATCTTCAGTATGAACGGGCGGGGCTAAACTGGAGTAGCCTGAATAGGTGGATAGATGTTAATGAGTAGATTCTTGTGACATCACAGAAACAATGAAATGAAAACAGGCTGTTTTTGCAGCATGGTTTCTATTTACGGATCATACGGACTGTACAATGAATGGTATGTTTTGAAACCGACGTTTACATATCACTTCAAACTCCTTTGTTTAAAAAAAGTAAAGATAAATTAGTTTTCCATGATATGGGCCCTTTAAAACTGGAAATAAACAACAGGAAGTTTTAGAATTTTGAAAGAAACAAAGAAAAGATACAGCAAGTTAAATGAAGGAGAAATAGTCAAGAATATGCACTATTTCTAGGACACTATTAACAAATTTGTGACACTGACCATGTCTGCATTCTGTGTCTGTGATGTACACAGAATCATTCAGAGTGGTCTGATGTGAAATGTTTAATTGTAGAGAAATCGACTGACTCTATCATATCTACAGTGCAAACGTAACCATTTTATTGTTCATGGAAAACCACTAGTGATTCTACATGTGTCTAAATTTTGATGATGGTAAAACTATTTTGCCTAATAACTCTCTGCATGTACCAACCCTTTGTGAACTGAAAAAAGAAGAAATACGTTTTAGGTTAAACTATTATTGCTAAACTATTGTTAAATAAGGTCTCAGGCATTAGGTAGCACATTTGTTACCATTTCATATTCATTTTGTATAAGAAAGCTTTTAGAGGCATTAAATGCTTCAGATGTCTGATTCTTATTACCACCACTGTGATCAATTCTAACCCTGTAAGTTTCTCTAGTACGAAGCATTTCACAACAAACAACTCAATGATTTTCTTTACATCTTAACCATTTAATTACGATCAGTGGATTTTTTTCTATTGAAGCTTGTGTTCAGACAAATCTCAGGTGGAACTGATCTACTGATCACGTCATAAATAGAGACAATTCTGAAATTTCTAAAATTTCAAAGATTCTACTTTGCACTCAAATTATTATGCAGATAATAGAATTTGTAATGAAAACTATTGTATTAAATGAGAAAAGAATGCAAAATAGAAGCATTTTCACTGGTGGTCTCAGACCTTTGGACCCCTAAATGTGTGTTCCATCTAATATTCAGTTCTGTACAATCTGTGTTAAATTGAGTAAAAATAGTTGAAATTACAGCTGAAAAAAACAGCTAAATTAACCTGAAGTAGACAAAAAACAACTCTCACTCATTCATGCCTTCCTTTGTCATTCTCTCCTTCCTTCCCTTGTTTAGCACCGAAACTCTGCGACAGGTGGCCTGTCTCTCAGTGGAGGGCTTACGCAGGAGCTTTGGAGTTGCAATGACGGTTGCAGCTAGCTGGTGGGTGGAGGACTCCATGCACAACAGCTTAGTATCACCACATGGTGCAGTGATGAGCTTCCTCTCCTTTACAGACAGAGACATAGTGGGCATTGCCCCCATCACAGAGGTGAGTCACTTCAGTTGCATGCTGGTGCAAATTGGCTGCTGCTTATTTCCTCAAAGCCCTAATTAGACTGAAAGTGAAATCAGGCCGTAACTGAAACAGTAGCACAACTGCCCCAGCAACAGCTCAGAGTCTGCAAAAAATAGAGCAGAGCAAATGTGAATGCTGTGCACCTTAGTTTGCACTCCTGCAGCACTTGAAGGAGAATTTCACCAGTTTTTTGAATTGTCTGCATAGTTTGATAAAAGATATGTAAACACAGTCATTTGGAGCAGTTTGATGAAATGCTTGGTTCTAGAGAAACTTCCCAAGTTTGAATAATTCACAGTGGGGGTAATAGGAACCAGTCTTCCTCTTAAAGCTCTCACTCAGACAATTATTAACCAAAATGGTTATGAATACAATGCGAAAGTTTTGGCCTAAAACTTTTTTTTTTAACACATTCATGTCGGAAAGGTACATGTGAACAGGTGTTGTACAGCAAAGTACACACTTAAAAAAGATGGTTCTTTAGTAAAGAGAATGGTTCTATTTCAAATCAATTCATACTTAAATGCTCCTTTGCATGGTGAAATGGTTCTTCAGATTGATTGAGAATTTGTTGTATATGTTTCTACATAGAACCTTTTTGAAAATGGTTCTGTATAGCACCAAAAAAGGGTTCTTCTAATGTTACAAGGTTGACATCGTTACAATAGAAGAACCTTTTGGGTACTATATAGAACCCTTTTCAAAAAGGTTCTATATGAACTGTCCACAGCACATTCTCCAGCAATCTGAAGAACTCTTTCATGATGCAAAGAAACCTTTAATCATGCAAAGGGTTCTTTGCGTTTTCACGGTTTTATATGGAACCATTTTCTTTACTAAAGAACCATAGAGGAACCATCTTTTTTAGGAATATAACCATAGCAGAACCCTTTTTGGTGCTATGTTGAACCATTTTCTGAAAGGTTCTATTTAGAACCATATACAACACACTCTCTTTCAATCTGAGGAACCATTTAAGCCTGAAATGGTTCTATATAGATCTCATGGTTCTAAACAGAACCAGTGCCCTTACTAAAGAACCCTTGAAGAACCATCTTTTTAAGTACCCAAAGGAAATGTTTTTTTTCACACTTACCACTGTTTCAGAAGAAACAGTGCAGTTCCAGTGTATCATAGATCTATTGATTATTGTTCTGAGTCAGTAAGTGTATCTATGATGCACCATTTCACATCAGACCACTCTGAATGACTTTGTTTAGGGAACATGTCAGCAACTGAATTCTGCAGAAAATGTAACCTAGTCATAAAAACAAAATAATTGTTTCACTCAAGCCTGTTCATGAGAAATAATTCCTGATTAGGTTTTCAACAGATTGGTGAAACAAGGCTGTTACACTTCCCTTCAAGTTTATGCTAACCTTGCTTTTGAAAGACTGGAAAACTCTCACTCTTTTATTTTCTTCCATTAACAGAGCAACACAATAATAAACACGGCCATCTTGACGAGCCAACCTGTTTCCCTCCCTGTTATAGTACTGGGAGTGGGGCATGATGGGAAAGTATCAGACATTACTGCAGCAGTAAAGTGCCAATCAACCAATGAAGATATCGTCAAGGTAAACTGACTGTTGTGATTTAGGGATCCACTCAGCTTGTTACATGTGTGTTCTGAGGATAGAAATGTGTGGCTACTAATCCACAAGATCTGTTTATATTAGATTATTATATACAACATTGTCTTCTATCTTAAGGCCAGAGCACACTAACCCAACAAACACCTACTAACCTGAACTGGTGTACTGCACCTGTGTGTGATTGTTGGAAGACTCCAACAATATTTTCCTCTCATTCACACTGTTCTGGAAACTTCTCCATCTACACTGTTTTAGAAAGTTGTCACCCATTTAAACTGTTCTACAAGGTTCCCCCCTCCATTCACACTGTTCTTGAATGTTCTCCTTTCCATTCATACTGTTATAGAACGTGCTCATCTATCCACAATGTTCTAGAATGTTATTCCTTATTCACATTGTTCTACAATGTTCTCCTTTGCATTCACTATTCTACAAGGTTCTCCCCTCCATTCACAGTTCTAGAATTTTCATTCCTCCATTAACACTGTTCTAGAATGTTATCCCTTATTCACATTGTTCTAGAATTTTATCCCATATTCACATTGTTCCAGAATGTTGTCACGTATTCACACTGTTCTAGAATGTTATCTGTTATTCACAGTTCTAAAATGTTATCTCTTCTTCACCCTGTTATTCACACTGTTCTAGAATGTTATTCACACTGTTCTAGAATGTTATCCATTACTCACACTGTTCTAGAATGTTATTCCTTATATACATCGATCTACAATGTTCTCCTTTGCATTCACTATTCTACAAGGTTCTCCCCTCCATTCACAGTTCTAGAATTTTCATCCCACCATTAACACTGTTCTAGAATGTTATCCCTTATTCACACTGTTCTAGAATGTTATGCCATATTCATACTGTTATTTACATGGCTCTAGAACATTATACTTATTCACACTGTTCTAGAACATTATCCCTTATTCCCTCTGTTCTAGAATGTTATCCCTTATTCGCTCTGTTCTAGAATGTTTTCCCTTATTCATAGTGTTCTAAAATGTTTTCCCCTCCATTCGCGCTGTTCTAGAATGTTCCACAGCTGTCACCCCAATTCACACTGTTGCAGAATGTTCTCCCCTCTGTTTTCACTGTTCTATAACTCTCTCCCAATTCACTCTGTTCTAGAATGTTTTTCCCATTTACATTGGTTTGCTTGGATTATCAGTTTTTAAAGGTTCTAAAACATTAGAGCTGTTGTTAGTGTGGTGTTTGTTGGGTAAGTGTGCTGTGGCCTTAAAATGCGCATTGTCTTCTTCTCAATTATCTGCACATGCTCAATATGCGGGTTGTCTTGTTGCAGGTGTCAAGTGATTGCTCAGCCCTTTTTGTTGATGGGAGTGAATCTGGGAAAGGTAGTATATGTGTGGAAGTGGAGTTCTCTCTGGGCACCCTCAAGGCCTCTTTATGCCTGGCTGTGTGGGCTCCAGTGGTTCCTCTCCGTATCTCTCTCTCTGATGCTGTCCTGAGCCCCATCAGTGGCTGGAGCTACTACACAGACAGCGGGTATGTTCTGCTCTTTAGGTCTCTGATGCAGGAGTATAAGAGTAAGCAATGTGGAATTTTCCCTGTCCTGTGGTATGAAAATTCACCAGCCTCTGAAAAGAAAAGACACTTTGTTGAAAGCTGTGATTCACTGGCTTGGATTAAACAGAATGATAAGAACAACAATATCTTGGCCCTAATTTCCAATTGACCACTGCATGGCAATGAAGAAATTCATGAAGTAGAGGGCCCATCCCCTGCATTGTATGAGACTATGTCCATAGGGTAGTTGGTGAGTTGAAAAAGAAGGGTGACAAGGATGGCAGGGTACTGGTAATGCCAATAGGAGTGAGCAGAAGCATTCCGTAGCCCTGGACTATTATTCAGATCATCCCACTGCAATTGACCAGATACTATCCATCCTCATATCCTACTGCAGTGGATTCCGAGTCCTTTGATTAAAAACACTTATCTTTAGTTATATGGCTATTATGTAGCCAAAATTAGTAAGGTAACTGTTTTTCAAGCTAGCTGTCCCATATGGAAGAAAATTATATGCTGAATGGCATCAGTGACATTTAGAAGGATTTGCTGCCTTCTTGTTTTTACAGGTTTTGTACTGTTTCTAATTTGATCATTCACTTTCATTGTGAATATCCTCACCACTGTGGAACTTCATTGATTCATTGAGATTCCTAGATTTCAAAATCATCTTTGCTTATCTCTCTCTTTCTCTCTCTCTCTCTCTCTCTCTCTCTCTCTCTCTCTCTCTCTCTTTGACTTCTCTCTCTTCTTCAGATGCAATCCAGTCTATCAAAGATCCACCATACAGATCCTTGCACAATTCAGTGCCCAAGCAGTGGTTCCAGGGGGCCAGCCAACCTACATGCTTGGATCACCTGATTGGTTTGTAGACGTAACAAACCTGGTTCGTGATTGGCTGAGGATAGACAACCCACGTGTTGCGGCTCTTGACAAGCAAAACCACCTAATCGGCTTGGAACCTGGTTTTACTTCACTACATGTTAGTATCTGGAGAGATTAAATTCTAGATATATTACAGAAATGCAGAAATATTTAATAAACATAGATATGAAATTTTATTTTCATGGGAAATTGGACTGAGCTATATATAAGCATTTTTCTGACGTTAAATGGACAGAAGTTATTGTTTATCCTTCTTTCTTAGGTGATATCAAATCAGTGGGATGGAGTGCTTGGCAGTGCTGATGTCTTTGTGACCTCTGAACCAGTGGCCCCTGGTGACCTCTCTGTGCAGTTGGTGGGTGGGCTTGGTCTGTCAATCAATTTAAACCCTTCTCATCCTTCTGTCATCACAGCAACAGTGACTTCTCACAACACCCTTTATAACCATGGGCAGGTACGCGCTCCTTATAGTAGTCCTGATTATTATCGTGTTTACAAACTATTCTGAAGTAGAGAGTTCATATTTTCTGCCACTCAGTTACTCTACAATTTACTAATCATCTATTCTTCGGCCTTGTCTCCCAGGAAGCATCTGTCAGTGTTTGGCTACAGTTTGCTGATGATACTGCGACACTGGTCTCTGCATTCAGTGGAGTCCCATTTTCTCTACGCCTGACCTCATTGGCTGAATCTGTGGTTGTCGTAACGCCTGCTCCATCACAGCGTGTCTTAGCACAAGGCGATGGCGGAGGGCCTCTTGTGAAAGCGGAGCTTCTGGTGTCCACTTGTGAGCTCATGTCGAACCACATTGAGATGGCTGGGGTCAGAGAAGGTGGTGGGAATCGAAGACTGGCTAAAGGCTCTGGTTGGATAAGGGTGAATCTAGATACAGACCTATGGCCTCTAGAAAGTGAAGATGCTGACTTTGAGATGACTGATGCTTCTGATATGCTCGTAGAGTCAGAAAAGGACGTGTATGGAAATTCTGAAGAGGAGCAAACATCACTGAACTCCTCTAAAGACTATGAAGACAATGCTGGCAATGGCATGGTTGCCAGGAATGACCTGGAGAGGGCGGTACTGACCCCCAACCACGAGGAAAGTGCGGTCTATTTTTCTCCTGGGGCAGAGAAAGAGGGTACGGAAGGAAAAACTGCCAGTCGAGAGATGGAAGTAGGAGTTGGAGCAGTTCTTTCTCTCCTCTGTCTCTCATCCCTCCTGTTTCTCGTAAACTGCCTGCCATGCGCATTGAGGGAACACAAGAAGCGACAAAGAGAACGAGAAATAAAGGCAGAAATGGAGTGTAGTGTGGAGCAGGATGAGGAAGGAAAGGATTTACAGAAAAGACAGGCTGTGATTATGAGAGTAGAAGAGAACGAAGAGACTTGTTGTGTCAAGTCACAAGTTTGACACTTTTAAAAAATACTCAGAAAAACACCATTTATACTTTGAACCTTTCCCACTGAGTGTTTGTTGTTTGCCTCAGAGGAGGTCAGCTTTTCAAAAAATAAAGTAGAATAAAATGGAATATGTCTTATATCTTATTAAAATTTTAATACTAGAAAACGTAGTGTATGTTTTTTCATCACATAGCACCATGAACTTTTAATGGATCATTGTCAATGCATGTTTTTAATCTCCAGTTTCTACACTATTGCAGAAAAAGTGAAGACTAGCGAAGCTTTGAATATATATTTCCATGCTACCTGAGACCATAAAGCAGATGTATAAATAAAAATGTAAATAAAATGTTTTTATATTTGTTTGATTTAAATTTTTTGTTTATGTTTAATCTGTTTGTCAGTTTAAATCCACTGTGATATTACACAATGTATTGGGTCTTTAATAAAAGACCCATAATATATCTTTAAAATTAATTTTTAAATTTCCCATCTTTTCAACACTGGTTAGAATAAGGATGTATTGATTTTTTAGATCTCAGCTGCTAAAATAAAACTAAATATTTTTCCTTGACAGTATAGTGTGTTAACCCTGTTACTGACATTTCTGTAGTGATTTTAACATGATTAAAATCTATGAAGAACATAAAATATACATGTATCATAGTGTGTAATCATACGCAAATTTCAAGATACGATACGTACTGTCATTTTTGCATCACGATATGATACATTTTTGACATAGAATTAGAAAAGAAATGCTATTTTTTGGTAATTCTCAAAACTTTTTTTCTTTAGTTTTTTAAGCACAAGTTATTTTCTTATAAGACACAAAATAAATAGAAAAAGTATAAACAAAAGTGAAAGATCTGTATAAAAGTAAACAACAAATGTAAACTACAGGGCTACATCTCAGTTTACAATTTCTTCTTATTAAAATGGACCTATTATGCTTTTCTGGTTTTGTCCTTTTCCTTGGTGTGTTATGTGGCTTTTTGTGCATGTTAACAGTTTGCAAAGCTACAAAATCCAAAGTTCACGCCAGAAGAAATAACTCTTTCCCACAGAAACCACTTTTCTCTGCTGCCTAAAACACCTCATTGAAATTCCAGCCCTTTTCCTTTGTTACAAGATGATGCAGTCTCATAACACAATCTTTATTGCCTGCCTCCCGCTAAGCTTGGCACACCTTCACACAACGCACAGCAACTACTGGAGTTCACTACATGAGTTATGCTTTACAACATAGCATATAACCTTAGGCCTGTGCTATTGTTGCTGTTTCCAGGCAGTTAGCTACATGATGTAGGAAATATTAGTGAGGCTACCATTCAAATTTCTTTTCAGCAGAAATTTCCACTTCAGTCGGTATTGAAGCACCGTTTCCAGATTTATAATTATAATATAATAAATAATTCCAGAATTGTTTATTATTTAGTGTGCTTAAATAATATTGAATAATAAATAAAAAATGCACATTTCAGTCAGTCAGTGGACGAACAATTATTATCACGATGTAGAGAAATGACACAGTTATAAAATTACATCTGAAATATAAGAAAGCTACAAAGTAAAAACTTAGCACTCTGAAGCGTCCTACTCCAGTCTAGCTTGCGAAGGTGGATCAGGTCTACCAACTTGTTCTACCTGACTTTCAGAATTGGGCTCAAACTGTAACAGCAGAACCGACCCAGTGTAAGAATAGCCAGAGCAGTGTTTACAACTGCTCAGAAGAGCAGGGTTTGTCTGCAGACTGCAAGACAGGGGCAGAACTTGCATGCTGCTACTGCTTTCATGAATCAGAACAGAGTGGGTGATCTCACCATTCAGAGTAGGCCCTAAAAATGCAATTTTGAATACTGAAAATAAAAGGCCCTTTTCTGTTCCACTTTATATGGAGCAGCAGTAACATAACTGTTCCTCCATTGAATGTGCAATGGAAAAGTCAAACAAGAAGCTGCTAGGTTTCCCCTGACTCCCGTAACTGACACATTTGGTCAGTGTCTGCACAAATGAGTTAGCATATCTGAGCTATTCGCACAGGTATCAGATCCTCGTGTTAAGCAATCTTAGCTCTCTGTCACCATTCAGTCTACCACTATTTGTCCTTCATTCTTGTACTCACCTGAGAAACCTTGCCATTTCTAACAGCTTGGCTAATCACACATCCAAGGTAGGCTAACATGGATAGGTAATAACATGGATTGTGCTAATTAGAACTAGAACCAAAATTCATTATATTTTGGAATAAAAATCATACATTTTTAAAGTAACCCTCCCAACCATGCCCACCATTTTCATGAGTTAATGCAAGATGTAGAAACCATAATATGAATCAGTGTCAGTATGAATATCAACTGACATAAGAATTTAAGTTCAAATAACTATTTGTTAATTTGCATACTAGTGCAATACTGTCACACAGCTGGAGCAATCTGTAAAACTCTCACCTTTTATTATTAAATTCTGTTACAGGTATCATTAAACTCTGTTGCTGTCTTGACCTCAAACGTATCTACTGTTACGTCATAGTTATCGGCGTGCTTGTTCTGCATAAGACGATGCACACAGTTCACACAGTTTTTTAAGTTTGCGTGTAGAAAGAAAGAAAGAAAGAACATGGTCAGTGCTCAGGTTCATCACCTCAGGTATGCATTTGTCCAGTTTCAAACCTGAAGCTTCAACTTGGTCTTCGTGGTCCGTTGTTTTTTACCTAGTTAGTTAACGTTACCGACCTGTAGAGCACCAATATAAGGTAGGTTGATTTTCTTATTTCTCTAAGTGCTGACCCTACCGCATGCAGTCTTGTGTTTAAAGGAGTTTCAAACAAGAGAGAGATTTGCTAAACAAATCAGACTCGAATATCTGCGCATTTTGCGGAAGCTGGCTTTAGCTAGCAGTCAGTCAGATGGACGCTATGGTGTTCAACCAGACAGCTAGCTAAGTTAGCTAGCCAGCTAGTTGGCTAACTCAGTGGCAGTAAGTGCCGCCCTGGTGGCTACAGCCACTGCATTTAGATGGACGGACGGACGGACGGACGGATGGATACTTTATTGATCCCGAAGGAAACTGAGCAGCCAGTAGCAGTCACACAACACAGGACAGTAATAATAATAATAAGGCTGAAACAATATAAAAGGAAGGGTAAATATAAAAAATCCTATCTACGGGCATATATACAAAGAAAAATATACAAAAATCTGGAATAAGATCTATAACCTAAGATGAAAATGGCACTGCAATAATGACTATACAAGGAGGCGCAGGTTACGGCATATTATGACAATACTAAATAAATATGTGCATATATTGGTACTGAAATAAAGTGTCTAAAATAAAGTGTCTAGGTGTGGAGTGTCCAAATGTGCAAGGTGCCCGATAGGGGGTACAGAAAGTGCAGTATGTAACGTTACAGTAAGGCGTCCATATGTGCAAATAAATAAAATAAACCTAAACCTATGATTTTGCGTGCAACTAAACAGTTTAGCATGAAACTAAACTGTATTTCAACTAAACAGTTTTCTTTAACCATTACAGTTTTAAAATCAAAGATATTTCAGTCAAATACTCGTTCGCAGAAGCCGCAAATCTGTAATATTTAAAGAAAGCATTCCCGCTTTCTACTAGCATTTTGTTTCCAAAAGAAAGCTGCTGCAGCCGTCAAGTAAGTCTCGCCGAGCCCAGCGTTTAGGTGTCCGTTACCGTTGGCTACCACACCACTGCTGGGATCTGTCAGGTTACTGTCAGGCCACACTAAACAGCTTTAAACCTCCGTGAACATATCCTTTGTAATACTTCAAAAATAGTATATATGTCCAGATAAGATTTATCCACAATATCTTTAAACTTGATTGTGCAGCGCCTTTAAGATGACTTAACGTAAGCTAGTGCTTTCAGAAAACATAGATAGATAACCTAAATGAGTAAGGAGAAGGCGATGGATTTCAGACATTTCTGTTCTGTGATGTGACCTACGTAATTTATTGATAAACAATACACAGCGGATTAGTCATAGTCCTGTTATGACTGTATGATTTTAATGTGGACGTTTTCGCGGTGTGCGTTGATGAGGGATGGTGTGAAAGCTTATTGCAACACTCCCTGGTGGTCTAGTGGTTAGGATTCGGCGCTCTCACCGCCGCGGCCCGGGTTCGATTCCCGGTCAGGGAACATACGTTTTGGTGAGTGAAGCAGCCTTAATTTTTTACATCTTGCAGAGCGCTGTGCTACATATCCACAGAACTGACTTCTTCTTAATTTTGTTGTAGCTTCAGTAGTGATGGTAAGAAATAAGTAGGACACTCTTGAAAGTTTCAGTTCTTTTGGAGCTCTTGTGTTCGAAGCAGGGGTGTTGAAATGGTTGGAAATACATATTCCCTGCTTCACCATGTACTGGATTCAGCTCCGGCTTTACGACCCTTTTTTAGTCTTAACCTTATTGAGGTGTCACTTTTTCAGAATTCTTAACAGCCACTGAATTATGTGGATAAATAGGCTAAGCTTATCAGAATAACCATTTTTTAAATCTCTTGTAAATCCACACACATCTAACTTAGGAAGGGGCACTATTCTGTGCACAGATACTACGCATATGTATTGTCCATGAGTGTAATTCAGTGTATTTAGCTTTTAACAGGGCTGTTAGTTTGCACAAAATATTTAAACATTCCTGATACCATAGCCTGTGTAACGTTGGGTCACGTGCAAAATCCAGGTTTCAATACATCAGATCAAAGCAACTGATTCATTTTGCTCAAACAGTTCAAATGATTCTGTATGAGCATCATTAAGCCTGAGTACTGCTACTATGATACTGTTAATTAGGGTTTAAAACTACTTAGGCCTGCTGTGCTTAAACATGGAAATTTAAAGCATGGATTACAGCTATGATTACACGCTTCAGCTGTCCGTGTTTCAGTCTGAAGTTGCGTCAAACCCAGGCTGGATCCCAAACGGCACTGTACTCCCTAAATAGTGTGCTAACTATGGGAGTTTAGAAATTCTAGCCTC